GGTTATTGTTCAGCATTGAAAATTCCAACAACACCCTTATTTTTGTGTGTTCTGGATCACAGTATCCAGAATTTTGTCTGGATCAGGATCAACCTTTGACACCTCATAAAACTCATTGAGATCCTTTTGTGTAATTTTTTACTAAAGACTCTGGCCATTTTTATAGAGTTAAATGCAAAAATTCCAAAATTTGCCCTATCTCACAATGATAGAGAATCCTTCAAAAAATTCCTGGATCCAGAAGGCGATCTGGATCACCACCAAAATGTAATGGGATCCTCCTGGGGCTGAGACGCACCTCTGGTGAAAATTTCAGGTCAATCCATCTGTTACTTTCTCTGTAAAGTTGTTCACAGACAAACAAACAAACAAACAAACAAACAAACGCTACCGAAAACATAACCTCCTTGGTGGAGGTGATAAATGAATAAATAAAAATCTGATACAACCATATGATCAACAAAAGCACACGAGGCACCTTTTTGTCCATTGGGGGTGCCAAAGTAAAAACATATGCAGCTTCTGACAGAGCAGAATGAGGTGGTAAAAGCTTAACAGTTTTGTTTTTCCCACAACCCAACTGTTAAGGCTCCAAGTTGGGTCAGTTGGATAAATGGGTGCAGAGCAACTGCAGAGTTCATTGCTGCTTGAGTGTTTTCATGAGAGAAAACAAAATGGCACATGATTTTTAATGAGTGTTTTGGACACATGAAGTGTGAGTACACTTGCCTCATACTCTGTGCTTCGTTAAACAGGTAACATACAGGGAAAAAAAGGTTGCTGTGTGTTAAATCACAATGAATACAGTAAATGTGGGCGTGGCTAAATGAGCCATCAAGGCCATGTCCAGAGACCTCAGTTATATCAAAAGTCTTATTGCTCTACTGAGGTCAGGTGTACTGAATTGTGGGCTGTATAAGTATTCGAAGCTCCTGAAAATACTACTTCTTGTTTTATGGTGAACAGGATGCAATTTTTTCTTTTTTTTTTTTTTGTAGGATGGTAGGGGAAGGTCCCGCCCTCCTTCGCCTCTGACTGGCTAGAAGTGCTGGGCTCCGATTGGTTATTCCGAATGGCTGTGAAACGTCATCATCTGTCAGGTTAGCGTTAGGGTAAGGGTTAGGGTTAGGATGAGGATGAGGGTTAGGGTTAGGATTAGGAGATTCAGAAGTGCGATAATGTTCTGTAATGTTCTGTTCGATGTACAAAGCAGACAGCCCGCGTTTGGCTTGAGCGTGTGATACCGTTTCCAGCACTTCTGGCCAGTCAGAGGCGAAGGAGGGCGGGACCTTCCCCTACCATCCTACAAAAAAAAAATATCGCGAACAGGACAGCCCTATTGCAAGAGTGTTCAGTGTAAACTGATGTGATCCAAGTAGATCTTGGGGAAGCATGTTAGGGTGCACCAGAAGTATTTTGAGTAAAATTAAGCTGACCAGATAGAATTCATGTCATGGGAAGTCATATTGCCAGCAGACTGCACTCTGACTGTGAAGAAGTAAGTAAACTTTGAAATATATGAATTGGTTCACTCCTTGGTCCTTAGCATACATGGCATGTCGGGGTCAGATCTGAGTGTGGATGGCTAAGTTAAGAAATTACTTACTGTTTTACTGCGGTACACCTGAGTATGAGATCTTGCCTTTGATTACCAAAATCTTCGACACCTTTCATTGTTCAAGTCTCTTCTATGTCTAAAACTCCTTTACAGTGGATTGGATACACTTCCTGAGAGGAGTTTGTGTTTAAAGAAACCCTGGAAATGGTCCAAAAAGCTGTGATTTTGGCCAGAGTTTTGAATATATCCAATTTCCTGTCAACATTTCACCACAGTATTAAGATACCTCTAAATCTCAGTAACCCAGACATGTAAGACAAATACTGGAACAGGTTTCTGGCTAAAAAAAAAAAAGGTAAATGTGGACAGTATTCTTAAAATGCAGCGTGAGTTTGCCTTTGTGTGCTCAAAATTCATAAATGATCAAATATCTAACATGTCATTCCTTCACAAAGAGTCCTAAAAATCAGTATTGATAAAGTCTCAGTATTTCTTTCCCAGCCAACTCTGACAGCAAGTTTGAAACCTGAGCCAATGCTGGCAACTGTGCTAACTTTTGACACACTTGCTGAATTCTGGTCTGTGCTTTAATCCGCTTGAATTCCTGTCTCCACAGTTTTTATTATTCTGAATACTGTTGTTTTTTTCTTTAGATGTCATCTTTACAGTTTCCTTCTTTATATATTCACCTTGCAAGTGAACAAAGTTGGGCCAGAAAACCAAACAGCAGAAATATCAACTCCGAGCAGGTGTGCCAGGCTTTCATTCATGCATATACTTTTGAGTCTGCTGACTTATTGTGCTGGTTTTCTTTGGTACATTTTGGATGTTTTCCACGGCAGAATCTTCAGACCTATTTCAGACCGGCTTGATGAATTGGGGCCGCTGACACAAAGCCTCTGACCGAGGGCAAGATATTTGTACAACAGCAGGCGTTTAAATCCGCCACTCTTGTGCATGCGAATCTAGAAATTATGCAAAGTGATGGCATTTGAGCTCCCTGCATTCGAGTAAAGGGAAACAAATAAAGTGAATGAAAAAGCAGTGCCCCTGCTGTACTTTAAAGGTCATCACTCAGTACAGTACATTGCTGAATTGCTCACCCATTATAAACAAATCAGGCCTCTAAGGTCACGAGGCAGCAGTCTTTAGCTGTATCTAAAATTAGATTCAGGTTCGGTGAGTTTGCCTTCAGTTCCAAAAGGCCTGTATAGTATGAACAAGCAATAACATTTTTCATTTTTATCAGATGTAGATATGCCACGCGCTCAAGAAGACGCAACCATGAAGCATGTATATCATATAATTACTGTTCCTATTCCTGTATTTTTCAGCTCTGTCCGACACAGTATCTACATTTGCTATCAATGAGATGTTGTTCTTCCTCAGCAAGAGAGCCCTTCGCCGTTTCCCCGAATCTTCTCTGCTTCCTCAGATATTGTGTTAACTAGCCTCCCAGCTACTCCAAACTGATACAAATTAATTTGAGGATAGCTGACAGCTAGCAGGGGCTCCATCTGATTAGCTAAATAGTGTATAAGCATTGCTTGTGTACCCAGGGCTCCAGCTGATAGGCTGAATGTTAACATGCCGAGTATGAATACACTGACCGAGCGTAAAATTGTTTGTCACCCTGCTAGTTAACCTGGCAGATGTCTGCTCCATACAGCGATGCGGGGTTGAATTATGACCCTCAGTCCTTTGCTGCACATCCGTCTCTGCCCTACATTTTCCTTATCTCAAAGATTTTATCAGGCATTTCCTGCCATTACTGAGAGGACAAGACAGATATGGAAGAGAAGGTGTGAGATGAGGTGCAGCAAATGACCAGGGGTAGGAGTTGAACCCAGGAAAGCTGCTAGGAAGACGCAAGGGTGGCACACAGTTCAGCCACCATGCTAAACCATTTCATTCAGTCTCTCTTACAGCTTTCATTATCAAATTAGGAGGGGAAATTTGCAATATAAACTCTGAGGATAATTTATTTATTTAACCTTTATTTAACCAGGTAAGAACCTGTTGAGATCGAGATCTCATTTACAAGGGTGACCTGGCCAAGAGGTCGGCAGCACACATCACGATACTTATAATAATAAAGAAAAAGAAAATGACCTCCAGAAACATAATTAAAAACACAGGCACTGTTCCGTGGTTTCCCAAAGTCTGCCATGTAAGACTGAACGAAACGCTTCCAGTGAAATTAATTCAGAAAATTTCAGGTCAGTCTGGAGAGTATTCCATGCCAAAGTGGCAGCAAAACTGAACGCTTTTTTTCCCAGTTCAGTTCTGATTCACGAAACAATCAAATGGCCAGTGTTGTTTGAGTGCGGGGTGTTGTGCTCAAACAACACTGTCCATTTGATTGTTCCTCAAATGTATAGTAAGCAAGGCATTATGTGAATAAGAGCCTTAACAGGGTGAGCAGGACACCAATGGGAAGCACAGGGGTCTTGTCCCACCCTGCAGAGATTGTATTTTACATTATCACTCTGCTGTGCATCAATACATTTGTTGCCCTGCTATCAGCTGAAGCTGTACACAGGGAACCACAAAAAAGTGACTTTGCGTTATTTATTCAAAAAGGATTTTTATGTACAGCTTCAGAATAGCTCCTTTGATTCCAAAGTTAAAGATGTTTCCATCACAACTACTACTTTTCTTTGGGTCAAAATAACATGAAGCTGAACACTTCACAGTCCAGACATTGTCAAAAGTTGGCCCGCTCAAGAGAAAAAAACTCTCTCACACACTTTCCTATTCTCTCTGACATAAGGTAATAACTTTGAGTGTGTGTCCATGCTTGTAAGTATAAACCCACCTTTACAGATTACAACAGACAGCCGTAAAATAACATCATGACACTACAGCAAAAATACTTTCCTTGGTTTTAAGATTAATAGGTTGTGTTTGATATAAATAAATACCATTTCTCTCAACTTTGGAGTTAAAGCTCAAGGTTTCTGCCTGTTGCAGGGAAGTTTTTTCCTTGCCACCATAACTTGCTAAATACTGCAAAGTTCTTCACTCATGTTGGTTTTAGATTGGTTAATTCTTTTCCAGTTCAAAGTCGGGTCATTTGTGATACATTAAACAATAAGTTAGGTCTAGACCTGCACTTTTGGAAAGAATCTAGGGATAACGACTGTTGTAATTTGACATCATATAATAAAATCTGATTGATTAATTGATTGATTAGTGACAACAGTGACAGTCTCATTATTAATGCCTCAAACAGTTACAAGGGATTAAGTATCCACAGGGGATGCCAGAACTGACAAAAACTGAAAGTTCCTTACAGGAGCTTGAAGTATTTCACATTGTCATAACCCGCCTCGTGAGCCATGACAAAAAGATGGTAGGAAACCAACAGTGCTAAGAGTCAATGAGATTTATTACAAATTAAGATAAATAAACAGATAAACGATAACAAAGCATCAGTAGTGTGCATGTGGGTGTGTGAACATGGTGTAGTGAGGGGTGTTGAAGAGTGCACTAACATAAGGTTACACTAAATTAATGGTGCAAAGCTGGTCGGGCACAGTGGGTGCGAGGGAGCCAAATCGAGGGCCAAAAGAGAGAGAGTGAGGTCACCAGGAGCTGTTATGGAGTTGATACTTCCAATCAGTTCTGAAGGCACCTTGGAAGAAATCAACAAATCAGTATGTCCACCAACTAACACAAAAGCAGGGGCCATCACAACATATATCAACATAAAATACATCAGTCTTTTATTTGCAGATAATGATGACTAACAAGTTAAGAAAACACAAACTATGCTACATATTTTAAGACATCAACATTTGTGGGAAAATAAACATTATTTTGAGGGCAGTTTTTGTGGATTTTGGTATGCTGTCCATCAGTTTATAATATACCGTTGAAGCCAAAATTATTAGCCCCTATTAAACTTTAAGTTTTTTTTTCCAAAATTTCCCAAGTGCCGTTCTACAAATTAATGATTTTTTTGCACAGCTTTTCCAAACATCCTAGTTTTATTTGGGATCCTTACATTATTTTACTTTGCACACAGAAACAACATTATTTCACAAAAACCAAAAACTACCAGGGTCAAAAATATTAGCCCCCTTAAGAATTGACGTTTTTATTGAGCCAAAACAAAAACCACTGTTGTGCAATCATGTGCTTTCACTTTCGAGTGCTCACAGCTTGTCATCAATCAATCAATCAATTAAGTTAAAACAAAGGGTTGTCCTACACTTTACACACAGTATAAAAACCTTGTTACGTGTTTGAGCTGTCACTTGAGAAGGCATCATGGCAAATACAAAAGAATTCACTTTAGACTTGAGAAAAAGAAGTGTTGATGCTCACAAAGCAGGAGAAGGATATGAAAATTTACCACAGCTTTTGTGTCAAGAAGTGGAGTGAGAAGTATCATCAAAAAATTCAAGGAGAGCCACACAGTACAGAACAAGTCTGGGAGAGGTAGGAAACTGGAAAGAAAACTGGTGGGAGATGTGTCTAAACAACCTAGAACAACCACCAAAATGGTAGTTGCTGACTTAGTCAAGTCAGGAATTGTGGTGTCAAACACAACAGTCTCTAGAGCCCTGAACAGAAATGGACTGCGAAGATGCAGGCCAAGAAAAACTCCACCTTTACAAAAAAAGACACCTTCAAGCCAGACTGAGATATGCTAAAGACAATCTGGAGAAAGAGTGTTCAAACTGGAGATGTGTTCTTTGGTCAGATGAGACCAAACTAGAGCTCTTTGGTCACAGAGACATTGCTTATGTTTGGAGAAAGAAGGGAGAGGCATATAACCCCAAGGACACTGTCCCCACAGTTAAACATGGTGGTGGGAGTATCATGCTGTGGGGATGTTTCAGTGCATCTGGATCTGGGAATCTTGTCAAGGTTGAAGGAATAATGAAGAAAGAAGGATATGTGAAGATTTTGAAAAAAAAAACTCAAGCAGTCAGCAGCAAAACTGGGTCTGGGTCGTCGCTTTGTCTTCCAACATGACATTGACCCAAAACATACAGCACTCCTGGTGAGGAGCTGCCTCCAGGAAACCAAAGCGAACGTTATTGACTGGCCTGCACAAAGCCCTGACTTAAATCCTATTGAAAATCTGTGGGCTGCACTGAAGACCAGGGTTCATGCTAGAAGACCATCAGATCTGGGGGAGCTTGAAAGATTTGCCAAAGAGGAACGGGCCGGGATTCCTCAGGAGATGTGCCAGAGCCTTGTTACAAACTACAGCAACCGACTGCATGCTGTTATCCAGCAAAAAGGACACACAATTGACTATTAGCCTGAGGGGGGCTAATAATTTTCACCCTGGTAGTTTTTTTTTTTTTGTAAAATAATATTGTTTCTGTGTGCAAAGTAAAATAATGTAAGGATCCAAAATAAAACTAGGATGTTTGGAAAAGGCTGTGTAAAAAAAAAAAAAATGTGTTGAACAGCACTTAGGAATTTTTTTTTTAAAAAGTTAAAATTTTATAGGGGGGCTAATAATTTTGGCCCCAACTGTAGATGGTGGATAATGTTACGTGATTCCCAAAGTAAAAAGCAGCTTAGCTTTGCTCAATGATTTATCAAGTTATTACTCAAATCAGTGTTTAAATAAGGAGTTTCAGTCAGTCCTGTATTGAAATTTAGCAAATACTGGAATAGATCCAATTACATGCCTGTTTAAGGAAAACTTATATTTAGGATTTTTTTGTGCTTTAGTGTACACTGTGGGAAGACTTCTTTGTGCATATACCGGAATTTTTCCTCCTGGTCATCGTGGTACATTTACTTCGCCTGTTTTGAAGCAGATATTTAACTCTTGGTCTTGAAATGCGCCAGTCAAAGAAACTGCCTCAGCCATCACCATATCAATGAGTGTTTTCCATCAAGTGTAATGAGGACAGCCGTACATGTTTGATGGTAGCCTCCCTCCCTAATAGAACCGCTAATGCTATCTGTCTCATCAAACACGGAAGCATAAATCTAATCTTGTAGCCTTGGGGCAGACCTGGAGGCCAAACGGCTGCAACCTTCCTCTTCTCAGGCCAGGCCGGAGCAATTACTGCTGCTTCTTCACACACGGACCTGTGTCACTGACGCAATTAACAAGCTCCAGAGGAGCCTGGGCAACCAGAAAGGGAGAGGCTGTGTACACAGCTTGAATGATGAGAGGCATGAGAAGCGATGAGGAGTGAGGTGGAGATGGAGAGGAGGGGATAACATCTGCCTGGTTGCCAGGATTTTCTTAACAGGCAGGGTAGGCGGATGTCAAACTCTGCGAAAATAAATACGGGGTTGCACATCTCAAGGATTTTAATGCAACATTTTATTTTCCAGATGTCACACATGCCGACATATCTGTGTCAGCCCAGTAGTTTAAGATTCAGTGTGGATATTACTATGAAGCTATTTTTCACACTTATGCATTCCTTTGGGCAGATATTTTGTAAAGAAAGCTGCAAATGTTGTATTTTTAACTCCCACTCCTCTACATGTTACATTTCTGCAAGCTGTGGAGACGATTCATCACAGCTGTGACAGAGAAAGTGTAATGTGGCAGACCTCCCAGAAGGACAGTAGTAGATGTTATCTGGGAGAGAGTTCATTTTATTCACAGACACGTTCTATTGTCAGCTGGAGGAAACCAAGTGTCCCGGCTCCTCTCCACAGCAACATGATCCCCATCTTTATAAGCTTACATGTGACCACTTTAATGCCTCTCTTTGCAAGCTTGATCCCGACATGAGACTTCTGCATCCCAGTCTTCCCCTCTCTACTCTACAATTACTTTTCCCTGTCTGAGTGGGATTCTCAAACAGAAAGAGATTGCACAAAGGTTAGAAACAGAAGCCCTCAGGTGTCTTTGCTGACTTGGGATGTAGGAGTGATGGAAGCTGTCAAGAGGAGAGATGGATTTCCCGGCTCTCTTGTCTCCACCCATTCATTGTTCATAAACTGGGACTGCCAGACAGCTGTCTGTAGCTGCCACCTCTGACAGATGCCTGCTGTCAGTCAGTCAGTCTGGGATGGTCTGCAATCTGTATCACCTTCTCGCCTGCTGGATCTCATATGAGCCAAAAAATCGACAACTCAGGGGAGATTGATTTGTTCCCTGTTAGCTTTTCTCTGAAGTGCTTTAACCCTTTGCTTAGTCCTTTAAATGCCTACCTAACCTCACAAGGGTGCTGCCTAAAATTTCTGAACACCTAGCACAAAGAGACGGTTAGTTCTGTCTTTTGTGAGTGGCATGCGCTTGACACTTCAAAAACCTCTGCCTCACTGCTGCAGCACTCATCTGCTCGTATCTTACAATGCACCGTCGGGCTCCTTCCTCAACTGCACTGAACATTAAATTGGACAACGTGCCTTCATTTTTGACAGAGAGACATAAAGCCAGAACACCACCTCCATGGGTGCTGACATACAGCGCTGGTATAGATAAGGCATGCGCAGAAGCTACTCGTTGGACTGACCCTCTCTGTTTGACAAAACCTGTATTGAACTTACTGAGAAGAGATCCTTGTGTCTAATGGAAGCAGACACGAAACTGAAAGTTTGTTGACTCATGTATTTTCTCTCACTGTTCCTCCTCTACTCCACTTATCTAGTACGACATGCTGCAGAAGCATTCATATAGATTTAAAGTGAGAATGTGAAGGTTGCAACCAGCTGCAATTAGCCGGACAGACTTTCTACAAATGGAACATGATATTCATTCATAATGTTAGAAATTGGTGCATAATCATTTGAACCATACCTGCCAACATTTGGGTGATAAAATCAGGGAGATTTTTGCTGCGTGCCGGGCAGTTTTGGGGTGACCTTGTATGGTGGATATGAGCTAATTATGAGAGTATTTGTAATTAGATTACTCATCCAAATAAGTATAAGTGAAGCTGCACTCTTTTTTGTTTTGTTTTAACAATAACAAACAGTAATTAAAAAAAAGTAGCTATGATATGCCTTGAACTTCTTTAGTCTACTAATATAAGTGTTAAAGTCCTCATATGTTTTACATGCTCTCCTGTATGAGGCTTTCTGAACATCTGTGTGTGCAATACAATACTCTTTTATCTGAGGCTGCCCTGAACGCATCACTCCAAGACAGTGCAAGACTATCAACGTGAATATTATATCCTGCATTTGTTTCCCTTTCATTGAAGTGTTCGTTTTGCAACAAACACTGTTTAAATATAGTTTACAGCTTACACCGACCTAAATCATACCAAAGTGTAAAGTAAAAGTACCAATCCAGTGTCTGTGAGGCTCAGTAGAAACTGAGTGTCTGGAAACTTTGGACAAATATAGTGATCCGATTCATGAATGAACAGGGACCATGCAAACTACGGGAGATTCCTCGGAGAAATGACAATACGGGAGGTTGGCGGGAGATACGTCTGAAATACGGGAGAGTAACGGGAAAAACGGGAGTGTTAGCGGGTATGCTTGAACCCAAAAAATATCACACATCTCAAATATTATCAATTTAATTTTCAGTTGCAACCATTGACTGTATGTAGAATGGACGTCGTCGGACTCCTCAAGAACAGCACCCTCTGGTGACAGACTGCAGTATAGGTCATAAATCGCGCCTCCTCCAGCAATCGCTATGGAGCTATGGACAAACTTAGAAGTTAATTAGATAGAATATAATTTTTCCTCCCCCCTGCTTGTGATGTTGACATGTAGTTACTTTAAGACTGGTTTGTGCCCAAGTCCTCTTTTTTTCTGAGCAGCTCCATTTTTAAAAGTTATTAGGGGGTTTATGTTTTCTATGATTGACACTTGATACAGCCTATGGGCAAATGAAGATCGTGTAGCTGACCCCGGGGGATACGCTGTTAGAGCCGAGCGTCATCACAGCAACTCTTGGTGACTCTCCCACCGCATGCGTACAATGCTACCGTGCAAGTGGTGGTTCCAGGAAGTGGAGAAAATCCCTAAAATACTGAGAGATTTTTGGCTTCAAATCTGCATACTGGCGGAGGGTGGAACCAAGTTGTCCATAGTATATACAGTCTATGATTGCAACACGACACATAATGAAAGAATCATAGATGGACGGATGAATTCTTTTGTAAGAAACTGCATTTTTTTAAATTTGCTTTTCTAAGGTGTCAGGTTTCTTGGACAACATGTTTATTTATATTCCATGCTGTATCAAAATGCATCTTCAAGCGTAAATCCCTGCAAGGCAAAAACAAAATGTTAATCTTAAAGGCGACACCATCTTACACCACTGTAATAGTCACCTCCTGTTTCCCCCTCAGAGAAATTGAACCTAAACCAAACAGTGGGAAATGTAAAAACCTGGGTTAGCATTCCTCTACCGGCGCCTACTTCCTTGTTTTTGTGTGTTTGTGTGAGTGTAAAGAGGCAGAGGGGTAAGATGAATAAGATACTGCATTCACAGTGAGGGAAGCAATGCTTTCTGTTGAATGGTACAAGAAGTGCAGGTCTGTGCAAATAAACTGTCATTTTTTTCACAGGCTAATGCACACATCCTCACCAATTCCCCTGCACACACATGCTTATAGAGGCGCACACACACACACACACACACACACACACACACACACACACACACACACACACACACACACACACACACACACACACACACACACACACACACACACCTCAGGGCAATGTGTATCTGTTATCAGAGACATTTCCTTTGTGTCTACATGTTCATAAACAAAATCATTAAGTGTTGGTGGGTTGGAGGGAGGCAGGGCTGCTCTGTAAGGACTCAAACTGTCTTTTAAATGACGGCAGAGAGGAATCAGCCCTACTAAAGACAGCAATCAAAGCCGCATCACCACTTGCAGGCGTGTCACGTAGCCTAATTCAATCTCACAAGCCATGAAGCAATTAATTTATGTCAATACAAATACGCAAATAGTCTCTCTTTGTCTTCGCCGGAAGTGGAGATCTTGCGGCAGCGCTGGTGCTTATTTTAGCGTCTTTGTGTGTGTGTGAACATGCTCAGTGGAGTGAACCTGGAGGAGCAGGTGTAATTGGGTGTGGAAAAAAGGGAACCTTGTGGTCTCCCTGGCTAAATTAGATCAGACAATTCTTTTCCTCTCCATTTCCTCCCCAGACAGCAGACACATTGTCCCCCTCTCTGGTTTGTTATTATTTCTTTGATCAGGCTGGACTCCGAGACTGATGACGGGGGTAATGATTATTCTCTAAAAGCAGACTCCCTTTGGAAGCACAAAAAGCTGCATCTGGCTTTACTCCTTCATAAGGCTAAATCAATTGAGGTAGCACCACACTAAAACACACACAAGAAGGGGAAAAAAAAAACTCTAAAAGGTCTGAGTGCTCTAGTTCTTGGTCGGTCAGCAGTGGCTTAGTGGATGCTGAGGATCAATTGCCTCATGCGGTAGATCATTAAGACCCATTATTTCTGTAAGGGGAAACTCACAAGAGGATGCAAACCCACCACATGTGCTACCGCCCAGAAGACTGTGGCGACGGCGGTGGCTAAATGAGTTTCACCAAGTCGATATCTCAATGTGGGGGGATGCTGAGGAAGCGTTCTGTGCTTGATGAAGTGGCTTCAGGAGACAGCAGGTGTGAAGCCAAAGTGGGCTGAGTGGTGTGATCCTGAGGATGCAAGAGAGGGTAAGGTGAGAGAGAAATAAAAGAGCAGCAGAGAGGAGAGAGGAAGGGCTTTGGGATTTAGGCTTTGACTTGATGAAAGTAGGTTCTGGCTTGTCTGGGTGTGTAGGCATGAAACCAGTCTGCATTTTAATGCATCTGTGGAGCAGTGGAGACCCTGAAGAGCTCTGCTGCTCCTTTTGTTCACAAATCTCCAATTCCCAGTCCTATCTGGAATAGCTTTGCTGCTTTGAATTTTGATAGGGGAAAACTGGAAAACTATCCCTTGTTTTTCTGTAAAGCAGACCTATTGTAACACAAATGGTTTTACAGTACCAAACCCTGGCCAAGTTTCACTATCATAACAAACACCCAGATGTTTGTGTAATCACCAAATGTATTTTCTTTTCTCTTTCTCCTCTTTGCTGGTTATGCCTTTTCATATAAAGACTAGCAAAAGCTGGACTTGCATTTCTACTGCTATTAAAACCAGGGACTGTTCCATCTATAAAAACCTCAGAACCACATGCTGTAAGTAAAATTATAGTTAGTGCTGGTTCAGGTGTTGGCCAGCTCTTAGTTATGCTGCTATAGGTTTAGACTGCTGGGGTACTGGCACATTGAGCACCTTTCTCTCCTTCCTTATATTCTTTCTGCCTGTGTCATTAACTTTGAATCATTATGTCCCATTACAGTCACTAAAACAGTCTTTTCAGCGAGTTCCTGAGCTCCATCATGCGATAAGTTCCTCTGGATCGCTGCTGTCATGGACCTGCCCACAGCTACAACCACATGCATCAGTCCCACCATTTTCAACACTGTTACTGAGCTAATATTGATTTATTAGCATCAGTCTCTCCATTTCTATCAGTTATAAAGCTAATGTTAACTGTATTTTTCAATTGTTCTTATTTCAAACCCCATTACCTACTTTAACTTCATCAATACAAATGCTATCACTGCTGACTTTACTCTTCAATAAATCAAACTAAGGTCATTTTATCAAAGTGTTACACTCATGGGTGACAATGGGCTGGTAGCGGGTCTGATCTCACAAGGGTTCAATCTTACCCCATCTTTACACTGGGTCCTTGTAAGTAGGGTATGGTTGAGGCCAGGTTTTTTGTTAAGCATCTTGAGATAACTCTGTTGTGAATTGGCTGATTTTAACGACAGGTAATGTAGCAATAGCAAACACATCATATTAGGGCTAAATAGACAGCAAAGTGTCTAGGCATACCTCTGGTGTTGTTTAATGACCACAAAGCTGTGTGTAAAGTAACACCCACAAGCACCAGTATCAGCTAAATAACTAATTAATCTGAGCTGCAACTCATGCAAAACTGCTTTAAAGCTGTCCTTAAAGGGATATTCTGGCGTAAATTTAAGTTCTGTTTAATTACACCTCAACACAGAGTTAGACACCTCCTCAAGAGATGAATGTAGACGATTGCTTGCTTTTCTAGTTTCTACCAACTTTAGTAACGACTGCACTATAGCAATACACAACGGTCTACCTCTCCACGCGCAAACCTCAACCAAAAAGCCACTCTATAGCCACAATAATGCTCAGAACAGCACCTAATTTCATCAACGGTACATATAGGGTCCCAGCCATAGTACTAGCCATCAAACATCTTTTTAGCTTTGCCTGGTTTCTTTAGCAAAGAGACTAAACACAACTCACCTACTCTCTTCCAGAAGCCGCTTGTTTGTAGGGAGACCTCGGACAAGTCCATCACTGACTGCAGTGGAGTTTCGCAGCTCAAGGAAGAACATTTATGATTATTACTTCACGGAAATGCAATCAGACTGAGACGCTGAGGCAGAAGAACTACTGTGTCTGCAGTATAAAATGATCATTATGATGATTGTTACTTCATTAAAATGATTCGCTGCACTTGGGGGGGTCCACTTGTACTTGACTTGATCATAACTTAAATTTACACTGGAACATCCCTTTAACTGCTTTAATCAAAGGGGTGAAAATGAGTGAAATGTGTCTCCTTTAAAGCACGTCTTGTTTTTCCCAGTCATCCTCACATACTTGTAAACTTTATCTTCAAATAGTGCTTTGTATGACTTTTTTTTTTTTTTGTGGTTGGGTTTCACAAAAGAAAATAGACAGAAAAAAAAAAAGCCGGAAAAGCTCTTAAATGTAAATTAAATGTCACCGTCAACATCCAATCTAAAAAGAGGCTTTTTATTTATAGGTTTAAGACAAAAATAGACAAATAAAAACAAGGGTGAACATCAGACAGCCACACTCTCGTCTTTTGTTTCTCTAGAAAAAAAAAGAGCTGTTGGAGTCGTTTCAAGAGGCTGCTGACAGTCCAACATTTCCCTTGGGTGTGCATACAACTCTCAGTGCATCTTAGTGCAGTGCAGCAGCTGTGAAATCATGTTGTTGTCAAACATGCCACACATATTATGGGTGACATTGCTTTCAAATCCAAATTTAAGGCAATGGAATAAGTCACATTAAAAACAAACTGCTGATACAGGCTGATGTGCAGAGGTGAGGGATAGTTATAGCTTAGCCAGCCAAGGTAAAAAGTGCCCATACACACACACACACACACACACACATACACACACTGGTCTGTAATTCGTCATACCCTGCAGATTGGCTAGGAGTAATGAGCCTTTACATTATAGTACATAGAAAGCTGATACTGCGGGTGTGCTATTTTGCACAGTCAAATTACAGTTCGATTTCTTACCTAACAAAGATTCAGGAGCATTCATGAAATCAATAGGTGTCAAAATGTCCCCCGCTTCTGATAATAGATCTGACAAGCACATGAGGAAGTGTGCTGAAGTCTACAAGCGCAAGAAATCAGCAGGTAGGCCAGGGGAAAGTCGAGGGGAAGGCAACAAGATGATGGGCAGCACAAGAGACATCTTTAAAGAAGACAGGCTAAAAAATTACATTTCTTTTTTTTTTTACAATAAAAATACAACACTCAAGAAATCTGTATAAATCTTTTGATATTGTAAGGCATTGTGGTTTAAAATACATTCCCTTTAAACAGTCCCAAATGCTCGTCAAGCAGACAGAGACGAAAAAAAAATGATTCTGGGAGTAAATGAAGTGTTGCAGAGTTTTCCAATTTCTGACATCTGTTGGGCTTAACAGATGCTCCACATGGCTCATTGTGGGTCTGAGTCAGCCAGGCTTACCAGAAAGCCAAGGATGTGACTGGCTGTGGAAATTGAGCCTGATGGTAATTGATTGCACACAACTTCGCTCACTTCAATTAAAGAAAGTTAGAAGCCAGCGAGAAATTTCTTTACAAAAAAAAAAGAAAAAAGTTGGAGAGCAGAAAGAGGGCGACCATCCATATTTGTCACAGCAGCCTTTCTTCAAGGTCAGTTCACCGCCAGCAGGCTTGACGGGGGGGAGGAGGGGAGGGGAGAGGAGGAAAAGGGAGATGGCTGACAGAGAGAGGACCAGGCTGACAGCTGACAGAGACAAACTCTAAAGGACAGGTGGATGGTAAGGAGGCTGGTGTGCTGGTTATCAGGGGGCGTGGTCCATAGATGGTCCAGAATCATTGTCTTCAAAATCTCGAGGGTCCACGGGGTTTGCTCTCGGCTCAGGCAGCCTGCAAAAGAAAAAAAAATAATAATTGAGACAAATCAGCTCTCTTTTTCTGCCCCTTTTTTTTGCAACACCTGCACACAGCTGCTCAATCACCCCCCTCCACTATTATGGAAGTATAATAAGCCCTTGTGAAATGTAATCAGCTTCAATCAAGCTGTGCCTTAAGTAGAAATCATCCATACTGTCGGTTTTATATTAGCAGCTCTGCACTGACAGAGACAAAGTGAGAGCTAAATCGCAGGGACCTGTAGCAATCCGAGCCTGGCTGATAGATTTAATTTCACTGGAGACGGTCTGCACTCATCATACGCTCTAATTGGACGGTGTCACGAGGGTGATGGAGGACTGCTCCTCCCTGTGCAGCGAAACTCTTCTGCAAACTTGTCACATACCTCCATCCATCTGTTTTATTGTGATATTTTCCTTCCACATCTAAAGCACATCTATTTTCAGAAGACTTATGTCAGCATGTTTGTTCAAACTCACACACAAACACACACACATTTTTTTCTGCATGCTGTTTAATTCAATAAAGAGTCGCTGCACTTGAGAGCTGTGCCATCTAATTTCACCACTCAAATGTTTCTTTGAAAACAATCGCCTCTGTGACCTTTGGCAAAGAGTTTATATTTAGATTTGTGAATTTCAATAACAGACAAAGACAGGATTATTTCGCTCAGATCTTTAAGGTCATACTGATGTACAGGTTTATATATAGGAAGAGGAGGGAAAGAGAAGAAAGATGTTGTTACTGCTTAAAGGTGTAGTGTGAAGGATCTAGCAGCATTTAGCACAACAGTAGAGGTGTGTGAAATTCCATCCATGCGTCGATGCGTCACGATGATTCACGTGACAATTCCACATTGATTTATTAATGAATGCTTAAAATAAATTAAAAAATAAATAATAACATTTATGCTTTGCCGCAAGGCTGGAAGAAAAAAAAACACGCAACTGGAATCTTACTGCTCGCTCCACCTGCACTGTTTAGTGAGCGGGACCACAACAAACAGAGCACGTCAGTTTCTTTGCAAAATGGCAACAGCTTCAGGAGTCTCCAAAGAGCGTCCAATTCCCTCGCCACCAGGGTTGACTGCAACCGTGTGGAAGTACTTTGGATTTGAGAGAGCAAACAAAACAACTGACAAGACCTACGCGACTGTCAAATCAAAAATAAAGTACCTCAGCAACACCAGAAACGTAAGACAGCACCTTGTACGCCTTAATCCCGAAACAGAGAAGGCTCCTCCGGTCATGCCCGCCACACAGAGGACCATTCTGGAGACTGTCTCCAAACTTCCCAGTTTAAGTTACGTAGGTCTAAATGCAAATGTTTACATAACAGTCATAGAATCATAAAATCAAATATTTTGTGTCTTTAAAAAAGTCAAATGTTCAAAAAACCTTATTTACTTATTGAGTGTCGTTTTAGAGGAACTGAGTTAATTGAAAGGCTATTCATTTACAAATATAGCCACAGATGAAGACAAAATCAATCTTGTGTGGAAAAAAAGTATTAAAAATGGCAATAATCAAAGAATCGTGGCACCATTAATCAAATCGAAAGTCATTATAATCAAAGAATCGAAGCTCCCATAATCAAAATCGAATTAAATCGTGAGGTACCCTTGTTGGAACACCCCTACAGAACAGACTTAGAGGAAATGGAATAAAATATCTGTCAGTAAGTTCAAATATGGTGTATAATAACCTAAATCTAAATGAAAATCTTATTTTTACAGCAGCACAGGATAGACAAAACTCTTAACAGTCATGTTTTGGTTTTCATCAGAAGGCCACAGATAAAGAATCATAGCAGTGGTGGTTGAGCATAGGATTATTCATAATAACAGACATTTTTGATGGCAAAATCTTGAGCACTAGAGGAAGGATTGTACCTCTGCACCACAGCAGGAGCTACTTCTCCTCTGAGGCCACCACTGCTTTATGAACAGAGGGAGCATTTTAATCAAGAATCTGACTGCTGGATATTGCTAAGTATTCTCATTTCTAGGCAAGGTGAGTTTATTTGTACAGCACCATTCATACACAAGGCTATTTAAAGTGCTTTACAGATGCAAGGACATACATAAGAAATAAAAAAAAGGAGTAATTTAAACCATTTAAAATCAAAGACATAAAACGATATCAAAACAAAAAACAATCCACACACTGAACCTTTAAAATAAGTCTGTTTATGTTTATGTCCAAACATTTTAAATGATGGATTGGCTACTAAGGGTCATGAGAAACAAGAACAAGAACGAGTATCATCAGCATCAGTACTAGTCCGCTTTCTCTGTTTGTTTCTACAACGGAAAAGTGGATTTAAAAGGAAAAGAAGGATAAGCCTGCGCTAACACAGAAACATTTGAGTGTGTTCCTCCTGCAGTGTGTTATTCTTAATTTTCACACTTGTCACCGTTGTTTTTTACTGGAATCAAATCTCTCCATGCAAGGCTTTACACTTCCCCCAACATGTTTGTGTAAAGAAAACAGAGCCGGCTGAGCAGAATATTAAAAATACCAAAAATATCAGCACAGTGATGCAAATAATTTCATAATCTATCATGCCATATCTGAGTTGTGTATCTTGTAATACTCTGTGGTCTCTCTCTCTCTACACAAACCCCTCCATCTCTTGCTTCAACAATCTCCCACCTCCGCCGCCTCCGTTTTCCGGCTCTGCTTCCACGCAGAACAATCTCTGAGAAAATATCCACACATCGGTTAATAGGCAGCGAAGTCTTTCTGAGCGTGGTTCCCAGAGTATCTCTGTCTGACATACTTCTGTTGGCAGAAAACAAAGAGCTGCTTCCTTTTCCCTTCCTCGCACGTCCTCCTGGAGCACATCATCACAACACAAACGCGCATCAGGGCATGGACTCAGAAAGCAGACGCAGATGTGTGTGCATACATGAGCACCTGTTCACACAACGTATAAACAAAGAAATACAACTTTTTAAGGGTGCTGCTGGCCCTTTAAGATGAAATGGATTCACTCCAAAATGCTCTGTGGTCAGGTCATAAACAATACTTACAGGTTTTTACTACAGCAGCTGCATTATGCATACACACACACACACACACACACACGCACACAGCAAATGCCAACTCACTGACTGCCAAAAGAATTGATAATGTTGGAATGTGAACACACACACCACACACTCACATACATGGTTAGCAGCTGTATAGTTACTTCCACTCTCTGGGGACACTAGCCAAGACATAAATTATTTAAATACACAGTTCCAATCCCAATTCGCAACAAGCACACCACTTGGTTTGCCTGTCCTACATCAGTGTTACTCAGTATTCAAATACCTACACTATTACACCAGCTGATCATTCAATCTTGTCAGCAGAGTGCTCAAAAATGGCTCGGTGCGCGCACACACCTCCCTGCAAATGGTGTTCGGGGTGTAACGTCGGGGACTTCTTTGTGTAAAGGCAATTTGGTGTTGCATCTTCAGTCAACCAAAACGGTCTCCCTGCTCTTTGAGATAAAAAAATATAGAAAAGAGAGGTAATTACGAGTGTATTATTTTGCACAACGTGTGGCCCCACTATGGTGGTAAATGAACTATTTATATTCAAAAGGTCTTTGCTGAGCCTAAGGACACATGGATGTAATAACTTATTTATTCCACCCGCAGGAGAAAGGCCATTACTTGAGGCAGAGAGAGAGAAAGAGAGGGAGAAAGAGAGAATGGCAGTGAATAGGATAAGAAGACAGAGTGGAGATTTCAGCATGCAACAAAATGTCAGTGAGAGGGTGGGTGATAAATTCACCACAAGTTTAAACCCGAGCTTTGTTCTCTTTTTTTGTCGGCTCATCTTCTTTGGCCCGAGTGAAAGATCACTTGGCTGTGTGTGTGTGTGTTCTGACAACTTGGTTCTTTCTTTCTGTCCATGACTTATTCATAAGCCTTAATGCAGCCGATGTATTATTGATCAGGGTTGATCATAGCCATCTCCTCCTCCTCCTTGGTGTGACCATGGCCTGTGGACAGGGGCAAACTGAGGGCCTGGAGGCCTGCTGCAGAGCTAACTTTCTGGCTTGGCTCCTCTGTGATGGATGGACAGAAACCTGAGTGTGTGAAAACTTGGAACAGCTTATGCACTTGTGTGTGTGAGAGAGGGTGAGATAAGAGTTTCGATAGGGCTGATAGACTGGAACAAAGCTAATCTAACTAATGTCTCCTCTCTGAGTGAAAGAGAAAAGTTTCTCCAATAGCTCTAAAATGAACCCATCACTCATGAGAGAAAACCTCGGGCTCCCTGCGAGGAAAAACAGAGGGAGAAAGAGTGTGCGTGACTTCGCCTAGACTTTGACTCTCTCGTTCTATTCCTGTTTTGGTCTCGACCCTGTGGTGCTCTCTGGGAGAAACATGAGGGAGGGGGGTCTTTGCCCTGATTAAGTCTGAATTCCCTGCTCTTGGCAGAGAAGCTGCAGGACTCCTAAGTCATCATCCGGAAACGCTCCCATCACGCCACGGCAGCCCTGCCAGCCTCATTTTCAGATGAATAATCATGCTGCAGCAGCTTGGATATGCTGAATGGATACAAGGTGTGTGTGTATATAAAGAGGAGGAGAAGTAGAGCATTTAAAGGGGAGGTACTTAGGAGCAAACTTTGAGTTTTTAATAAAGGAGGAGTCAGGTTCTTCTTGATTAAACACATAGGTTGAGTGGGGATATGGCTGTGTGTACATTTCGTTGGTGGCAAACATCATCCCTGGGAGGATAATAAGTATTACAATTTGCATTTCCAAACAGCGGAGATGCCATCTACTCCATCACATCAGACGGCGGGAGCCATTTCTCAAGCCCTGGAGGCCTATGAGGTTTGGTCTAATGAGAGAAGATCCTTAATGGTTATTGATAGAGCCCATGAGGACAGACTCTTACCCTTACTCTCCAGTGAAGCGGTGCACTCTGCCTACACTTAATGAAGTAAATCGTGTCGCTTCTGCGGGATGATTTAACACTACAAACAGTTCAGAGACAAGAGATGACTGTGATATGGAGTAATAGATCAAAAAAGGGCTTACAAAGAGGGGAAAGATGCAAAGGTGAACGTTGGGTGTCAGACTGTAGCTCCAGCTTAAAGGAAAAGACACAGATCTTCCTTTTTGCACTAATGCTCTGCAGAAAAAATGCCATTGTCCTGAGAAGGTTTTTATCCTTTTTCATCCTCATATCCTGCCATCTTGTCTGCCAACTTCTCTAAGGATTTAGTTGTGTCCTTTCATGCCATTGCACTTTATGGGGTGTTTAAATTAGAACTTGGACGTACCTTTCTTTAACAGTACCCTTTGGGATCTTCCCAAATGTGCAAAAAACACATTTTTAACAATGAATTATACAGTATTGTATCTTTAACCAGAATATTATGTATCTCTTACTGTGCACAAAAATGTGAAATTTGCATTACGTGATTTACAATAGCACTGTCTACTGTGCATGTCCATTGTCTTTCATGCAATATGCATAACTACGGACTATTGCTTTACCACTTTACTACTTCATAACTACTTTAACTATATTGATGCGCAGAGTAAAGCTGTAATCAACCAAAGAAATTCTTGGTCGACTAGCACCCTGAAATTTTCGACCAAAGATCGACTAATCAGATGACAAACCCTTCTGCAGCAAGGGACGATGCAGCTAGGTGGAGCGTGGCTTAGTGGGTGAAAAATATACTGATATTAGCACAAGAAGGCCATAAAACACAAAAGGCTAAAATATAAATATTAACCACCGGACATTAAAAAACGTGGACGCTCTTCAATCTTGACCATTATCTTGGTCTCCAGTGGGTTGGGTAAATCCAAAATGGTGAAAACAAGGGGGGTGTTCGGAGACAGGCTGCTAGCTGTGAAATGGGGTGCTCTGAAAACACCCCCACACAAGCATTTGGTACGTTCCTCCTGATGAAATTAACCATGGACTGTAAATTAACGCAGAAAAAAATTGAGTTGGCCTATCAGAATTTTGGTCGACTCAGCACACATCGACCAATAAGTTGACCGGTTGACCAGGACTCTGCAGCCCTAGTACAGAGTCCTAATTGTGTAAGTTAGAAATCCTTGGGCCTTGGGAGTCAGTCGTATCCAATCAGAAGGACAGGGGATTGATCCCTGAGCTGTCCACACGCCTGCATGTCCTTGGACATCACACTTGACCCCACCTGCCTCCACTGGCCATAGTATTAGCCAAAAACTGTTGGGCTCTACACATAGCAGCCTCTGGCATCAAAGTGTGAGTGCGGTGTGAATGTGACATGCAAAAGCACTTCAAGTAGTCCAGAGAAAGCACTTTGTAAAAGTAGTCCATTAACCATTTACCTTAAAAGTGTGATATGAACCGATCAATTACCTAGTGTAAGAGTTTCTTTGAGGTTTGGTGGCCATAAAGGCTTGGATTGGATTGTCTCATAAAGGAGAGGTGTACACCCCTAATTACTACTGTGCAAACATTATTCACATACAATGTACAATATCAGTTACTGACTGTTCAATTTATTGTTATTGGGGAGCCAGACGGTTCTACACCTGCATTGATTGTGATCTTGCAGTGATCTTGATTTTCTTGTACATTATATACAACACAGGTTTTGTGTGTCTTCCTCTTACACTTTACACCACAATAATACTGCAAGTTGGAATCTGAGATCTGGATGTATTTAAATCAGGAGAAACACAAACTGAAAACTGAGGAGTGACGCACAGAGGTGGAGGGAGGTCTGAAGGAGGGAAAAAGACAGTTTATGTGTGGAGGAAGGAAGGTAGAGCTCAAAGATGAAAGAGAGAAGAGACAGAGTGTGGGCAGAAAGTGACAGCATCTTGATGGGAGCTTGTTGCTGAGGATTAAACACAAAAAGGAGAGGAGTGGTGTGTAAGTGTGGGAGCTATGACTGATGCATTTTGCAAGAGTTTCCATTACAGTTCTATTGTCACAGGTTTCGCAGTCCATTTTTAGATAAGGTTCGTTCTTTGTTCTACCTTAAAGGGGTCTTTCAAGCACTGGCAGGAACACAACCATCATGTTGATATGATGACCCAAGTTTACACAAAATGAGATGTTCCTTCTTAACACAGAGTAGAGAGGACAATTGAGGCTGTCACCAGCTCTCACCATGGAAATTAAACCATGTTTTGCGCTTGAGCAAATTAATAATCCATCCCTTTGTGATTGTATTTTCACAAAAGGCCAAACAACACAACGCATTTTGGAAGGAAATGAAAGACTCAGTGGATAAGGAGACTCGAACTTTAGAAAAATTACAAGTTGCAATCGAGGTTAATTGTTCCCAGAGATGAAAATCGGCCTGAAATAATAATTTGATTATTTGGCAAATGATACACTAACATGGTTAACATTTTAATAAGCTTTCTTTCATTATCCTCATAAATGTTCCCTTTTGAAGATCTTTAAGTGTTTGCCCTAATGTAGCTTTTATGATTTTATAGTTTGTCAATTTGCAGAAAAAAAGCCCCAAACTCCATAAAGGAAATCTGCCTTTTCAGCTTCAAAGACAGCTGTCTGTAGTTTGGGGAATAGAGAACAAAACAGTCTTCTGAATCTGGCTGTAAACATATTTGATCTTGCTGTACATTTTATAATGAGGTTTCTTTGGCCTTTTGGAGGCTACCTCAAGTTGCAGCAACACCAAAGGTTGTTACTAGTATGCTAAAAGTACGAGCTCATTTTTACTCTTGCATTTGTTGTTTTTTTAGGTCCTTAAAAGTAATCCATAAAAGTTGTTCCAGTTCAATAACTTTTTAGCTCAGACACAGAAAGTCTACACACACATATAATATGCTGATTACATATCACATAACCTGAGATGTTCTCTACCCATCTTCAATGATTTAGAGTTGTTTTTGACTGAAGAAATACCTCAAGGTTTCTTAGCTTCAAGAAACTGTGCAGAAATGTGCAGCAATATAGATAAGTTACAAAACAACTATTTTTCTATACTCCAGCGATCAACCATTGATTTCAATAAACTTATGAATGTTACATTACCAAGGTTATAATACATTTGGATTTTTCATTATGGTTTAGTTTTTAATTCATTTGGACTCTTTTGCCTCTAATTCAGTTAGTTTTAACTAGTTTTTAGAGCGGGTTTGTTTGGTTTTATTAGTTTTTATTTTTTCCTAAATGATTAGTTTTAGTTTAATTATTAGTTTTAATACTCGTTTGTTTTTCATACTTGGCAATATGGTTATTTACTCGTGCAGCACCTGGTAATTTAAAATTTGGCTCAAGTGAAACTTTTTCAAGGCAATCAACTCACACAGTCTTGTTGACATACCAGTCTCAATTAACATATATAAACGAAATATAACAATTTTATATCAATCCGAAATGGACAAAAATGAAAACAAAGGGATTTTTATTAATTTAATTTTAATACATTTTAGTTTGTTTTGTAAACACACAATACAGTTTCAGTTAGTTATCTTTTTTTTTCTTCCAATTTTAGTTTTTATTTAGTTAGTTAACAAAAACGTTTTTCAATTCTACTTTTTGTCATTTCGTTAATGTTAATTAACGATAATAACCCTGCTGATTACGAAACACTGCACCTTTAAGTGTCATCCGTAATGTTTGTACTGATATGTGTCTTTACTCATGTTTAAAATAGAGATACATACTTAACATTACTCCAGGTCATTTTTAACATGGCTACTGAAAAGAAAAACAAAGCACCCTGCCCCAGGTCTCAAACCAGCACTCCCTGTGCTGGTTATTTTTAGTCATGTGTTTTAAAATTTTGATTACTTTCAATGGATGACTGAGTCTGCCCTCTTGGTACATCACAAACCTTCTGACTACATATTTCCCAGAGTAGACTGTGGTTATAAGAAGAGACAGGTCAGTGTTTTTAAAATCAAAGCAGACTAAGTATGGCAGCTCAGAGTGAACTGCAGCGCTCAGACTTCTAAGCAATGATGGCTCTTTCTCTTACTTTCGTCTTCATATATTAAACATATCTTATTTCTGTGCTGTTGTTTTTTTCATGTTGGAAAACATCTCATTCTGAGTCCTGCGTCTTGCTCTGAAGAGTTCTTATCCTGTCATAGCAAAAAAAGAAGAATCCTCAGTGTTTTTGACAGCAGCTACGGAGGAGAGGAAGCTCCATTAAGATTCTGTGGTGTGAGGCTGCTGTTGGCGCAGGTGCTACCAGCTCTGCAGGTGTCGAGGGTGGAAGGCTCACAGCTTGGGTTTTATGACTCTTTCACTGTTTGGCTTTGGAAAACACTGTCACATTGGATCTGTGTGGGATGCCTGTTAGATTGTATTATCACAGAGGAGTATACAATAATCATGCATCATGGAGTTGTGATACAAATAAATAAATAAAAAAAGAATATTGCTAGGTCTTTATTGTTCGTTGTTATTTTGTTGATGCCCATACATCTTCCTGTCACTCGTTCTCTCTGTCTTTCACTTTAACCAGTTTTTTCCTAGTCCAGCCTGAGTGCAGCAAATGGCTGCCCTCTGATCAGTCTGGTCCCACTGAGGGTTTCTGCCTGTCTGGTAGAGGTCTACCAAGTTCACTTGAACCTTTTTTAGATTATGTTTTACAATGCAACCTCATTTTGTTACCTGTAGAGAGTCTTGTTGTTGTTGATAAGGAATAAATGTGCTCAATTCAGTAGGTAAAGGTATACAATAAGTATCCCCATTTTAAAATGTATATAACAAAGATATTTCTTCATGACTCTCATTTTAATTCTCTAGGAGGCGACGCAACTCGATATTTTCAGTCCCTTACAGAGTAAGTGGGTTTGATGGAAGCTGCTCTTGTGCTTATGCAATGTTTTTTTTTTTTAAAGACAGAAATTCTTCAACAAACTCACGTCTTTCCTTCTGACATTGAGCTTCTAAGAGGGAGAGTTTATTAAATTTATGAGCTCTTGTTAGCAGGCTGCCTCTCTCTGTTTTTGATTTTTTTTCCTGTGGGTGGTCATTGTCTGTCTCTTGCATGTCCAATTAACTGAACTTACTGCTCATTCATTCATTGCTCTCTTCAATTATAAAATCATTAGGATATTGCACTTTGTTTAAGCTGGCGGTTGGTGTAGAATTTCTTTAATTTGTAAGATGACTTTGCTGTCTTCGATGTTCTTCTCTCCATGATCAGTTTATGGGTGGGGGACTTGAACCCTGCTCAAAGTGAAAAGAGGTAACATGGTCAGGTTGTTGGGAACTGCAGTGACCAAAATACTGTTTCTTTCTGTTGGTACTATTGACTTTAAATCATCATGTCCTATTAAAGTCACTAATCCAAAGTCTTTTCTGGGAGTCCTTGAGCTCCATCAAGCCGTAGGTTCCTCTGAATGCTGCTGTAGACGTTTTGCTGTCATGGTCCTCCCTATTTTCCAACTGCTTCAACTACATACATCAATCTAGCCTCTGTCCATCTTTCTTTCTCTATCTAAACCCAATGCAGTAGCAGCAGATGACTGTCTTACATAAGCTGGGTTCTGCTCCAGGTTTCTGCCTGTTAAAAGGGAGTTTTTCTTTGCCACTGTGACAGTTTCAAATGTGAAAAACACTTGGATCTGTCGGGGTGGCCATAAATCACACCCACATTTCAGCATTTCATGTTGCCATTTTTCAAGTTTTACAGTTGATTCTTTGAGTCTTTAAATGTTTTATTCATCCTACAAATGACAGGACCCTTGTTAGGTAAGTTTTTCATTATCAGTGTTTCCATGTACTTGCTCTTAGGTGAATAACTGGCAGGTCTCTGTAAGTACGATCTTGACTTTAGATTTGAAACTCCATAAAGAAAGAGTTGATCAATTCATTGCTCTACAAAAATGCAAAGAGAGGTACGGAAAAGTTGTTTATAATGTATTGCATAAGTTTTGATTTAGTTTTGCTCTGGTTTTTGTCTAACTTTTCAACTCAGTGCTGTCCATTTCATATCCCTATTTTTTTGATTTAGTAAAACACACACACACAAACTCTGGGAAGCTAACATGCAGGGATTTATGATGTTAGTGATTTGCCTGTAGACAAAAAATAAACCACTGCACTGCTCTTCCTCCATGAGATGAAAGAATTACCCACACTGGTGTCAAATCTCCCTGGGCGTTTTTATGATAAATTTGACACATTTTTTTATGGCCTGCATCTGGGCAGCAACCCCTGTTGAGCCCTCGTCTCAGCAGTATTGGCTTTGTTTACAAAGTGATTTATTGGACTGAGGCATTTTTTTTTCTTCCCGGAAATATAACTGTCTACACTCACTATATCCAGACTTCACACAGCCGAATGTTACAGTCTGAAATCTAAAATGACAGCCTGAGCAAAACGAGACAAGCGCTCTCTGTTCTCTTATTAAATATGAAATAAGCACATGAGTCTTTTTGTAATTACATTTCACTTTGGGATGAAACTCTTCAAATATGCAGGAATGTACAATTTATGCCCACATTAAAATAAAATGAATTATTGACTGAATCTTAACTCCTGAAGATCAGTGAGAGATTTAAAAAAACTGATGAAAAAACGTCCTGAATCTCTCCAAAAAAAGGACCATCCGGCCTCTTTTCTGGCTCTCTGATTGCTTCAGCTTACTGGGATTCTCCTCCTTCTTGAAAACATTGTAAAACTGAGTGGTGATTCCATGATGCTCTAAAGACTTAATCGGTTTATGGAGGAAATAAAGGGACAACAGATAATATGTTATAGCACTGAGTGCAATAGGCTAGGGGCTTTTTAATATGACCCTTCTGTGCACCGGAGCTTATTCATCAACAGCAAAAATGCGGGAGGTAAGGATGAACCCATCTCATTAAGCAGCAGATGCATTGCCTCAAGTAGGCCCCATTCATACTCATGTTCATGCATGCCATTACTTTAAATGTACATCACAAAGTGTGGTGTGCACCCATATGACCCGGGATTACGTGTAGCCACCTCCAAACATGGTGCATGTATTACGGCGAAGATGCCTCTCAAAACATACATCAAACAGTGAGGCGGAAAAGTCCAGTGAAGCGTAACACAACACTCGTCCGATGAAAATAATCACGCTGTTTTGTTCTGTTGCCACAGCAGGTGTGAGGAGCTGCATGAACACCGTTATCCCTCCATGAACTCATTTCTCGCTCACTTTGACTCAGGTACCCGCCGTTAATCATACAGAGGAATTAATGCAGAGCTGTACAGATAAGGGCATTAAACTATGGTGAAGACTCTATCTTACACTGGCTCATTTAGCTGTTTTACATTTTCCGTGGCCACAGGGGCAATTGAGGGATTAATTGGGGAGAACTGCAGCGACCCCACCCATGTAGACCACAAAAATAGATCCACTCATTAGTTTGATTGTGACATTACAATTGACTCCAAGAGGAGGACAAGAAACCCTGTTGTCACTTGCTTTAGGGTTATGACTGTGTGTGGAAAAACATGCCACAACACTTCTTTAATAACCGCTCTTCAACGAGATGCAATCTGACAATCAACAATTATCCATAACAGCACCCTCCTGTGTAGGAACAGGACTGCGCCATCCAATTTTGCAGGGCCATTATACTCTTGGCCACAAATTAAATGGCAATGAATGACGTTAAGAAGATCCCTTGGAGGACAGCGAGGAGGAGATAATGGAATCACCGTAATGGTCCCCAACTGTATCACTAAAAAGAGAGAGAGAGGACAGGCGGGTTGGATGGAGTCTGCTAACAAGAGGTTTGATCTTCAGGAGGTTATACAGTGTCATTTCTAGCCATGATTCATTCAACACGCTTACAATAGGCAGTAAACCGAGAGCCATAAAGAAGCCCAAGGGCTGTTTATGAAATGGGATAAATGGCTCACTGTGGTCTACTGCCCATTGTCTACAGATACAAAGGTGATACAAAGTGAAAGTAGCTGTTATGGTTTTGTTGCGAGAGAGAACCCGGTGACTGATGGCTTTAGTTGTCACAGTTTACACACTTTTGCTGAAGTAAAATGCTTTGTTCTGTGAAAACTGGCAGAGCACTGGTCCCATTGGGCCTGCACAGATTTCAGACTGATAAAAGTTGAAGTCAATCATGCATCGCTAGTAAACACTGTAATTCCATGAGTCTGAGCCTCACCTTTCCAGTGTGACACCAAGTCTGACACTTTAAACTAAAAATACACCTAGCAGTTGACCATAATTCAATTTTCTGTGTGGTCGGTGAACTCTGGCCATATTCCAATCCATCAAGTGAAAGCATCACTCTGTAACATACAAGTATGGTCCAGTTTATGTGCCCAGCTACAGGATTTAGGTCAGGAAAAAATAGACCCAGCGTTTTTACATACTCATGTACGGTGGCCCTGAGATGCAGAATACAACGGCAAATAAGAAAACACAATGGCAAATCAGAAAGCATGACAGCAAAAAGAGAAAACATGACGGCAAATAAGAAAACACAACATTAACCATTGTGTTTTCTGATTTGCTGTTGTGTTTTCTCTTTTTGCTGTTGTGCTTTCTGATTTGCCGTTGTGTTTTGCACCTCAGGGCCACCGTAGTGATGGGCTGATGTAAATAGTCTAAGAAATGAAACACACAATTCAGTGTTTTCCCAAGAATTTTTTATATCAGTGGCGCTGCTGTGGCCGTGGGGGGGACACTTGCCGCTCAAGGAGCTACGCTGTTACGTTCATGTTAAGTTACACGCGCTACTCGCTATATAGACCAGCTTGAACGTTACCCTTCACATTAATGGAAGTGGGTCCGACAGGAATTCATGCGCTCATTGATGACTCAAAACAAGTCGAAAATAACGTTGTATTTTGTGGTGCTCACATAGTGCAATTACAAATAAGTTCTACAATGCTGTAGGACACACAGTGACTAGGCTTTGGTATCAAAAACCACATCAAACCTGGAGCCTGTTTCAGATTTATGAGATTTGTGGGGGCACGAGAATTTCAGCCCAGAACATTGTCACCACTGCAACACTTCCTCCTCCTCGAACCCCCTTCATTGACTGCTCCAGAGTGTGAACACCTGAGGAGAGCAGCAGTTTTGGGGACACTCTGACCCAGTCATCTTACCATCACAACTAAGTAATGTGATGGCAGTCCTCATCTAAGTGGCTCACACTGTTACACTGGCTCATTTTCCTTGCTTCCAATACATCACCTTCAAGAGCAACAAGGATGATAGTGCGGCTGCAGACGTTTATTACCTGATTTTGGATCAAAGATGCACCCCCCACCGGTACTCTTTGACAGATCTATGACTATTCTTCATGCAGTGAAAATCTGTCTCTAAATCCTCTGCTAAATTTGTTCCTTTGCAATAATTGAATTTAATTCCTAACCCTGAAATGTGTGAAAGCTCAGAACATCTCTCTTGATTACCTGCTTTGTCAGCCTAGTTAAATATAAAAAACCCAAATACTGAACCTATTGAACTTCCGTATCTAGAGCAGAGCACCAGGTTGATCTGGATTCATTATTCAGGTCTGAGGATATCTGATCCCTTCCAAGCAAGGCAATTCTTTCCCCTGTGTGTGTTTTTTTTTAAACACAAACTTTAAATGCAGACTAAACCTTTGACTGAAATTGAAATTTTGCTGGTATCTAATACTGCTTTGAAGTTTGGATCTCAAATCCACAGACGTGAGAAAGGAAGAGAAATTCATATTAGAACGATAAACTTTTATCTGTCCTTCAGAGAGCACACAGCATCAGCTTAGAGGTAATGAATAGTAAGCACCTGTGCTGTCCCCTGTCTCACTTTTACTTTGGACTTATGTTCAGCCATTTCCACTCACTCTTTGCTGACTTTCAGTTGAGTGTATTCTCATGTCCTGGTCCACTCTCTATTCTTCCTCAGTTCACTTTTCCACTTTTTACTTGTCGACTCTCCTTTCTCCTCCCACTCTCCATCTGTAATGCTTTACCCTCTCTGCCCTTTGCCGTCTCCGCAGGCGCCATTGATCCACGCTTACTGATGGGAGCCCTTCCTCGCCTGGTCTGCACAGTCAGTCAGTCATGTGACCGGTGAGCTGGCTTTGTCCCAGAGCCAGACAGCCATTATGAAGACTGACTGGTCACAGCAGCGCCCACACACTTGGCAGACTGGCAGAGCTGCCCCCTGTTGCCTGTTTCAAACAACCCCCCTTCTCTAACAGCAGAACGCCGGCGCCACCTTAATCAGCCGACTGCCCAGGTGCCTGTCCCGGAATCTTGATCGCTCTGAAGAGGTTTGGAAAATTAAAAGCCTGTTTACACCACACATGGAGTGATGATGTGGACCCCTCCTCTGCCTGCACTCTCCTCAATCACAGATGAAGGGATGTCGGAGGCGCATATGGCCAGAGAAGAGGAGAAGGAAGAGGAAAAAAGGGGGCGTATCTATGAGACCGAGAAAAACAGATAGAGTTGGCGATCAGAGCGGCTATTAGGCAAAGCCTTCTGTCACATGAAAACGTCCCTTCCCCTGCATCCAAGCTCCATCATCCAAGCCCTCGGTGTGAAGGACACCCAGACAGACAGCCCAGAAAACCTGAGCTCCAGACTGTCACAACTGCCATCTCGCCTGATAAAAGTCTCATATGCCTTATCCATCCCTAACTGCTTTTCCCTCTGCAGAATGTTAAACACACTGTGGAATAAAGGACCTCCCTCAGGGTGCAGCACAAAGATCATCCTCATGGAACAACATCAAAGACTACCGGTTATGATCTCCACCCACATAAAAAAAAAAAAAAAAAAAATTAAAGGTAAATTTCGTGCTATGATGTAGAAGTGTAAGAACCAGACCTCACAGACATGGCTGCACAACCTGAGACCATTATTAGTCTGTAAATTTGTTGTTTTGTTCTTAGTGAAACAGCATTGAGATGCATCATGGCAGAGAAATAAAGCAATGGGGCTTGACAGCTCCCAGCGCCCCCTGACTAATAAACTTTTATGTGCATTAATGCATCCTGTAAAACATCAGCGTTGAAAGCCTGTCTTCTCCTGAAGGTGATACGCCTCAATCACGTACTTCATCTCCAGGAAACTAGACGCAATTTTGTTATTTTCTTATTCAAATCCAAAAGCGGCCGCAACCTTTGAAATTAGATGTTAATCTGTAATCACATGTGAATGTCGACAAAATTTCTATTCTAAAAGCACTAACGTCTCTCCATCTGTGGATTTGACTCAAAAAAATCTAATTAAAAGCCTCTCATATTTCGTTCACATCCTTCTTTTCACAGAACAACGCCGGATTAAGGTGATTTTCCAAAGTGCAAGCTAAATCTCCCATTAGCATCCTGAGGCATTTAAATCCCAACTATCTCCTCATTCTTCTCTCGGCAGTCCTATAAATCTAGGCTGTGACGGGGCCTGTCGTGAGGCTGCTGAATTAAACATGCCAACCTTCAGTCCTCCTCCTTCCTCGCGCTGGGGGAATAAGTAAGCTGAGGGACGGAGTGTGGACTGGAAGAGAGGGAGAGTGTCCTGACAACTGCCCCACTGAGCCGTGTGACACATGTGCTGTGACGCTGTTGCTCTGTCCAACTGCGGAACTAAGATGTTTGCCAATGGTGTGTGTGTGTGTGTGTGTGTTTGTGTGTGTGCTGTCCCTGTGTTGACACTTCATACCTGAGGCCAGAGGTCTGATAAGGCACTGATTCATTGCCCCTCGGTTCAGCCTGCCACTATCGTCCTCCTGCATCTCCACTAAGCTGAAATCAGACCTGTAATTCCACCTGAAGGCTAACACACCACCATGTGCACGTGTGTGTGTGTATATGTTTGTGTGTGTGTGTGTGTGTGTGAGAGAGAGACAGAGACAGAGAGAGACTGGTTGCAAGGGACAAAGTAGGTGAGACGCTGAGAGGAAGGCATATGTGTGTGGCAGCATCTTCCTCCCAGTGTAGAGACAGCTCTTTCTTCCATCTCACCACTAATTATCCTAACTATGCAAGTGTGTGTTCAAGTGTTCATGAGCATGTGTGTGTTTATGTGCGCTTTAAGAATAAGTAATGAATGTTAACACACAGTGTGACATCTTCTGAGTGCTTTTCCTTGTGTGTGCGTGTAAGTTGCATGCATGATTGGGTGGAAGGAAAAGTTTTCGCAGATTGGGTATGACAAGCTGCCTTGTGGACAGAGCACCAAGAGCCGGGGTGTGTGGGTCCAAGTGTGTATTTTGTGTGTTTGATAGAGAAAGATGAAATATGAAGGAGCATGTGCTAATGTGGAAAGACTTTCCATGGGGCTTATTTGTCCTGTTTTATTTTAATTTGCTGACAAGCTTCAGAAAGAAACAGAGGAAGCTCTAATTGCTCAGACTCCCTGTGCACTTCGTCATATCAGCCTGATCTCAACCAAATCATGTCTGTCTCAACGCTACATACAACTCAGGACTCCTCACAGATTGCCTATAGCACAGGCAGGCAATCTGCCCATCAGGCCAATTAGTAACTCAATGATTGGCAGCTGGTGATTTTGCATGACATCACTGACATTTGCTGGTCATTACAGTCCAGCTGTCAAAGGTTCAGATCTGATAAACTGTACAGTATAAATCAGAGGCCTCCCAGTAACACTACTGACTGACGCCAGAATATAGCCCTCTCCATTCAATCAATTAATGAATAAAATCAATAAGCCAGTATTTATGTTTGACTGTAAAATTATCAGATGAAGCAACCATCATATCACCCAATGGTTTTGTAAATGTGTTCTCGGGTTTGACTTTTCTGGAGCTAGGCATGACCATATTTGGAGAAGTATCACGATATTTTGTCTGGTGATATGTCGTATCGTCTCATTTAACAAGTATTGATTTTTCAAATTAATTGTTAATATGAAGTCAAATCTATGATGGAAAAATAAAACAGTTTGTCCAGTGAGCTTGATGGAGGTGACATCATAGAGCAGGAGAAAGTTAGTAAAACAAATATATAAAAGGTTTGCAAGATGTGCAACATGAAAATAAATACAGCGTAAATAAGACAAACACAAAGGAAAGACAAGTGCTAAATTAGCTCAACAGTTGAAAAAAAAATATTGCAATATAATGTATCACAATACTCACTATATTGCAAATTTTTAAAAATGTGTTATAATATTGTATCGTGGCCCAAGTATCTTGATAATGTCGTATTATGGGGCCACTAGTGATTGCCACCCTTAGTGATAGGCACCCTTGGTCATCAGAGTTTAACAGTCTAGATCCATTGTTGGGATAATGTAATTCATCAAATTTAAAGATGCTCAGAGAGCAAGTGGATTGTAGCAGACATGCCATTTACTTGCTCCAATCTCTGGGAAAAGATTTGCAGGTGACCTACATGTACCATGTAACTCGCAATAACCAGCTCCTTCTGTCATTACAGACTGCCTCTATCATGTAGAAACCAAACTCCCATGTACTATCTGACAAACGGACACATAAAAATCACAGAATGAGCCAACAATTGAGAGATGGCAGGTTCGGTGCATACCATTTAATTATAATTTTGCTAGCATAACAATAGAAACAGAGGCACAAAGGCCATTTAGTGAAGATGTCTGTTTGATATGTGGAGTCAGTCTGAAGTGGACACTCAAAAAAACGCAGATTTATGCGTGTTAGCATTTGCTTACTTTCCAACACTTGAGTTTAGTGCTGGTGTTGCAACTGTTAATCAGGCTAGCAGGGTAATGTTGGTCTTCTGTGGCTCATTAGGGTCAGAATTTAAACATCACGACAACTATGGGATGAGCACCTGCAAACTACTGACTTTCTGTAACTTTCTCTTACTTTCCTGTGCGATGGCATCTACCAATTGTTTCAGGCTACCCTGATTTATGAAAATTATTTACATGGTGACTTTAAAAACTGCAAAAGTACGTTTATTTTGTGTGTGCGGGTATGACAGCATTCAGATCTTCGCGTACTACGGAACACAAAGCCCCCAGCATGACTGCGTCTTTGTTGTCACTTTAATTAATAACTGAAAACATGAATACTCCTTACTGCCATCTAATTTGATGTTACAGATGGAGCACACAGGCTTTACAGCCTGACAGCAAGAAAATTCAGTGGACACGGTGCATGATTTGAAAGACTAGGAATAAATCAAAACCTGAAGGTCATTCAATCACAGCTACATTTCTCCAGATGTGCGATGATATTTGAGGGAGATAAAAAAAACAACTAAACAAAGCAAAACAGAAAAGCACAACATCTGCACCTTCAGTGTCGCAAACCATCTTCTGCTGTCTACCAACTTTCTTCCTCACTGCACCATCTTCTATCACATTTGCACTCTCATTTTTTTTGCACTTTCTTCCTCTCAAATAATTGCATGTGTGCATAAACACACATTGCCACGCACACAGGCACACAGAGTCACACAGGAAATATCTGATTTTAGAGGAAGGGAAAGTGAGCGGTAATTAACACATTTGGATTTATTTTCTATTTTAATACCGTTCCCTCTCAAACTGCAGAGGACTCCATCACGATGTGATTATTAGACGGGACAGCCAGAGAAGTCTGCACAAGTAATTTAATGAGCAGGTGCAGAGAAAAGAAATTAACAAGACAGGCTGTGTGTGTGAGAGAGAGAGAGAAAAAGAGAGAGAGAGAGAACAGCAACTCATAGGAACACACTTTTCCGTACCCATAAATGATGAAGTGGATAATAACACATCAACACATTTTACAGCGTGGCATAAACCTGACATGTTCCGCCTCAATTTACAGCCGCAGAGACAGTAAAAGACTGAGCAAAGATGAGCATAAGCGTCTGGGTATCATGTTAAACATAGAGTAACATTAGATAGTGCTTGGTTATCAGGGAGAGGTAAGTGTTGGAGCAGATAGAACAAAATATAGACCACTGGAGGAGATAACATGTTCATAGCAGGAAGCTCGTATGAAGCGCACCATCTGAGTCTTCGTCATAGTCGCTGTTTCGTGCTCTGCAGCCTGCAGAAATATGATTCGCTGTGCTCTCGCCCATTTTTCAAACCTTTCCATTCTGTATTACCAACCTGCCCAGAAAGCACACTGAAACACTGCTGTTATCACCCTCCTTTTACTTCACACTTTTTTTTTTCCTCTTCAGCAGTCACCACACATCTCCCTCTGTGTTGAAATACACCTCCTCACACACCCGCTCATCTAAGACTGGCTGCCTCATACCTAGGCTCAAGATTTTACAGCTACCAACACTTCTATTTATCTTCTCCTTTTGCACTGTTTTTATTATGACATAACCTCTAATGATGTTAACAGACAAACAACTTCTTTTTCAACTTATCCCTCTGGAAGACAGCAGCAGCCTGATGTAAAAAATATGAATTGCAAATGTTCTCAAGCCATTGCCTTGTATTAAATCTATGTCTTTTATTCTTTACGGCAAAGTTCAACAAAACTGAATATTTAAAGAGGTTCTGTGGTAGTCCTTGTTAAATTGTTCAATTACACTCTCTTACCAGCTTTTCAATGTCAGCAGAATAAAACCGACAGTCATTGCTTTTTCTCAAGGTAAAAAAGTCACAATGCCGCTGACACTGATTTCTGAAGGGAGACGCACACACAGACAAAAGAAGTGCGAGTGCAAACACACCTTTGCACGCTAGCAAGAAGAGCCTTGTTGGAGAGGGGAAAGAAAGGTGTGTGGGAGAAAGAGAGAGATGTATTTTACACACATGGATTAACAATCCATTATTCATGGGCAGTACGGGCTGGGAGCATCAGCACAAACACGGCAGTAACCCGATTCTGCCACACTGTACTGTAGCCTCGAATGCATCCCAGGCACTTACAGCTGGCTCTCTGCTCTCTGGGATCACAGACTACAGTATGTGTATCTATCTACACAGCAGATCGATAAAAGATGCGCTCCTAAAGCTCTGGTCAAACTCTATATATACAGTGTGCTTTGCTGCTCAAAGGCCTATATGGTACAGCTAATAAAAAGAGATTTTCACATACCGCTCTCCCCTGATAGCGACTTCAATACCTGATTTAGTTTATATTAGTTGATTCGGACTTTATCCAATAGTAGCAGTATGAAACCTGTATAGCAGCAGCCTTGTGTGGACACAGTTTTATTACTTTCACATCGTACTGCCAAATCCAAAGAGTAAAGCACAGAGTACTTTCCTCTCTGACCTCAGGAATGAAAAACAATTTCATATGAGGAAAATTAGCTTGACGCAGTCTCAGGACTTCGTTTTTTTAACAGAAAAGCAGATTTATTTCCAATTTTAGACATTTTATGATAAGATTTGCTTGATTTGAGAAGAGGAAAAACTTGTTTTTATTTGGCTTTGTTAATAATGTCAATAACAATCTCAAAAGGTTTGAGGCCAGCAATCACCCATATCTGAAACCCTTAGGCCCAAAACCCATAGGATGCATGTTGGATGCGTTACGTCAGTGTTGCATGCTATGCAGCAAATACATTCCCACTCTAATCAATATAGCAACACCCAAAGGATGCATCTCAGCTCCATTCCAGAAGCATCCCTACACACTGCTTCACTAAAGATACACACCAAGTCTATTTTTGACGGAGCACGCACCCAGCGCAAGTCAATCTGTGCAGAGAATATCATCCTAGACAGAATGTAACGCACAGGTGAGGTGCATGTCATTTGGTAAATTCCAAAAAAATACTCCATATGTGGACTCTTAACTGTTTACCAGATCGTGTAAATGAGAAATACTTCCCAGTTATGGATTTATCAGTAACACAGGACAACCGGTCTCTGATCCATGTGGACTTTTAGCAGCTAACTCTGTCTGAAGGTAACAGCACGGCATAGAGGAACATAATTTACTTTACTAAAAACGAGTAAACCTGCAAAAATTGAAACCCTAAAATCTTGCTGCTTGTTAACAAAAAGTAAAAGCACAACAGCCACAGAATAAAATCCAAATTATCAGGAAATAGACCACAGAAAGGCAAAACAACCTGTTGTGAGTATGTTGTTTCCTCTATAGTGAGTCCAGCTGCCTGATGCTGCACTACGCTGCTGCTACGCTCCAAACACACTTCCAGCGGGCAATGACACGCACCGCCCGATGGTGACAGTTTAGGACGGTTATGGAACACGCTCAATGTGAATCCTGCAGGTTTTTGGCTTCCCCAAACGACTTCAGGGAAACCTAGAAAATGTCAAAAAGAAGGATTTGAGACCACTCCAAACAAAAAGGTTGGAAAAACTCTTAAAAGCTCTTGCAGTGACCTTTCTACAGTGTTGATTTTTGCACCACCTGTTGAAAAAGGGGTTTTCTTCTCCGTTAGCTGAATTTGTCCTGTCGTTGTCTCAAATGTAACAGGCATCATTTGAAAATCTTTAAAAAAGGCTGTTTTGCTCATGTACAGTTCATCATGTGACACCACTCCCCTATCAGAGGATTTAGCACTAAAAATAACTCAATAAAAACAAAATCAATCATGCCACTGATGGTCTCCTTTGCTTATGTAGGTCACAGAGTGGCTTCTATATCAATCTTAGTCTGTTTTGTAAATAGCTCAATTTTCCTCACTGGCGCTTTAATTGAACATTATCAACCTTCCTTCTGCCTTACTAGACTGTCAAACCTATGAGTTTAGACCCACAATGCTAATGAATGCTGCCTAAGCTGTAGCCCAGTCTCCTACCACTAGCCAAGGCTGTAGCTGTAGTCAGTGGGATTGCTCTCTTTGCTCTACGTCCCAGATGCAAAAAAGCTCAAATGAGCAAATGGCATCTTGTGTCAGCAGTGCATTTTGGCAGTGGTTATGTGTCTGCACAGACTGCTCCCTAATGCTTTAACCGGAACAATGGGTAACATTAAGCACAGACATCTGGGACCCAAGATGGGAAAGCAGATCAGCAATTTGGCATTTCGGACTGTGTTGTATTGTTTTGTTTTGTTTTGTTTCAGCAACTTGGAGCTTAATGCTGAAGAGAAAGAGGAGGTGGTTGTGGATTTTAGGTGGAACCCAGCCATGTCCGCCCCCATCACCTGCTGAGACTCCTGAGTTTCCAAGTGGATTCTTTCTACTTCCTCGGGACCATCATTACTCAGGAGCTAAAGTGGGAGTTGATCAAAAAAGGACAGCAGAGGGTGTACTTCATGCAGTAGCTGAAAAAGTTCAACTGCCAAAGACAATGACGGTGCACTTTTTCACCTCCATCCTCCCCTCTTCCATTAGAATCTGAACTGCTGCAGCCGCTGCTGAAGACAAGAGCGAGCAGCAGCGAATCATCTACTCTGCAGAAAACTGCAACCGGCTATCTCTGCAGGACCGGTACACCTCCAGGACCTTAAGGCTTGCAGGTAAGATTGTGACCAACCCCTATTACCCCAGACACAACACAAGTTTCCTCATAAATGAGACCCTGACCCACCGCTGCCTTCCACCTGACCTGAACTCCCATGCTCCTCCTTGTAAGAATATATTTCCTTCTTTTGTTGTTGTTCTTCTGTTTTCATTGTTTATGGACCAAAATACCAAGACAAATTCCTCATATGTGTAAAAACCGGCTGATTCTGGGGTTGATGGTGCTAGCACTGCTAACAGTAGCCACACTCAGCAGTCATGGTTTGTGGTCATTTCACCTCTTCCTGATTGATAAGCAGTCACATAGATGATAGAAAGTGGTCATCTGGAGACAGCAGGCACTATTTCAAATTGAAAAACAAACCCCAGGAGTTCCAGGTATGATGGGAAATGTGAAATGATTGCAATGTCTTTATTAGGGGTGTCCTGATACAATATTGATATCAGATATTGGTTATACTCAGACATACTAGGGTAATAACAAAGTAGCAAGGAGCGGGAGTGATGTTAGCTGTGTGGCTGTAATTTTCATTGAAGTCTGAAAGAGACATTACAGCAGAGTGCGAAACTTGTCATACACAATTTTGTGCCAATATCGGATCAATACTGGTATTGGCCAATACTGAAGGCTACAGTGTCTGTATTTCATGGGAAGTAAAAAAGTTGTATGGGGACATCCCCAGTCTTAATATCGTGTCCAAGCTGGCACTGAAACCCTATTCTGCTCAGTTTTGACTGTTTTCTGGGTGCTTTTGAACCTTTGGACTGTCAACTAGTCCGGAATTAAACATCCATTGTTCACTCTATCTTGTTGTTTGCTGTAATGATACATGACCGGAAATCTGCATTTCTTTGCTGTGCTAAAACAGTGCACTAGTTTTAAAATGCAGTAATAACACATTAATGATGGCAGTGAAGTTTACTGTGCTGGCTACTCATTTGAAAGGGAGGACAAATTTTTGGTGGAAAAAGTTGTTTTTTATCCTGTTACAGCACTGAGTTGGTGTATTTGCTGATCAATTTAAAGGGATATTCAAGCATAAAATTAATTTAGGGTCAAACACACCGTAACACCGCATTAGATATCCCCTCTAGAGATGAATATTGCCAACTGCTTACTGCTATAGTTATACCAACTTTAATAATGACCGCAGGATAGCAATAAGAGCAGTCTGAGGAGCCATAAACAAACCTCAACCAAAATGCTACTCTATAGCCACAAATAATGCTCAGAACAGCACCTAACTTCATCAACAGTACATATAGGCTCCTAGCCATAGCACTAGCCACCAAACATCTTTTTAGTTTTGCCTGATTTCTTTAGCAAAGAGACTAAACACAACTCAGCTACCCTCATCCAGCAGCTGTTTGTTTGTAGCAAGACCTCAGGCCAGTACATTACGTACTGCTGCGGAGTGACGCAGCTCAAGGAAGAACATTTCTGACCATTTCTTTATCATTTCCTTGGAGTAATAATCACCAAATTTATCATTTTGCACTGCAGACATGGTAGTTATTCTGCCTTAGCGTCTCGGTCTGATTGCATTTCAATGAAGAAATGTTTCCTTTCCTGTATGGTAATAATTCTATGATTGTCGTAAACCAGTCAAGTGAAATTAAAATCCCCGAAGAACATCAAACTCATTGTCTGTCAATTAAGACTGCAAAACCATTATATCAAAGAAGGTGTTTCTGTTCGACAATGTTCTCGTCCTGTTGTTTTGTTCTGACTGTCTAGTTTGTTTTACATTTGGACAGGTGGGTACACAGCACTGATTTAGCTGTCACTTCAGCAGGATATTCAATTAGACAGCTTCCATGCTCTTTGAACCATCATATTATGCTGGAACCTTTGGATGGACTCTGGATGCTCCCGCACGCAAAAGTGAAATAGATGGTGCCGAGATAACTTCAAGCCAAAGTCAGAGGCATCTTTGTGACGGTAAATTACCTTATCAGTATTCAGGAGAAAGTTTCAGCAGAAACAAATAACTGCCATTAGTCATCACAAAAGACAGAGCAAACAGGAAAACACACACACACACACACGCATGCATACATTCATCGACTTATTTTCTCTCACACACTCCTCTCCCTACGTTGACAAAAACTGTTTGATGTTGAATCACGCTGATGCCAACAATGTCTGCGTTACACACAAAGACTTTAACAATTGGGACATTGTGCACATGGCATGCATTATGCATGCTTATGGTCTTTTGTAGTCCAATTGCAACGTCTCTGTGTTTGTCAGTTTGGACTGTGTATATCTTGAATTTATTTGGGACCTCAAATACACCCCCGTGGAGTGGTGATGGCCAGGAAAGAGGGAGCAATAGAGAGAGAGGAGAAGACAGATAAAGACAACGGAGAGTCATAAAAAGACAGACATCGGGAGAGAAAGAGACAGACACAAACAGCGAGAGAGTGACAGCACAGTAAAAGACTTGAGAGAGGCACAGAGGGAGAGACAGAGAAAGAGAGAGACAGAGAGAGAGTGTGTGTGTGTGCTTGTGTGTGTGTGTGTGTGTGTGTGTGTGTGTGTGTGTGTGTGTGTGTGTGTGTGTGTGTGTGTGTGTGTGTGCTATGAAGTTTCAGTACAGTCAGAAAAAAACAGCTAGGCCTTACACACACAGGAAAACAGATACAGCTGCATCTCTGAGACATTTTAAATTATTAAATGAGGGCATGTCCACATAAACACACAAACGCAGAGTGGTCTGAAGGCAAAATGGCCTGTAGTGGCTCCTCTTATAGAAGAAGATGTTAATATTTAATTAGAGAAAATGCTGCTCCTTCCCTCCCTCTGTGCAGTGTCCTCTGGCCATGCTCCCTTGGCACCCCACCGCCTCCCTCCTGCTCCACCCAACCCGTCTATCTGACCCAGTGAAGGGCATGCAGCTCAGACACACTGATAAGCTGTGTCCCAAAGTGCCCGCTTCGTTTCCCTGTCAGCCCCATCTCGTCGGGGGTGTGTGTGTGCGTTGGCGTGAATGTATGCCATGATAGAGGGTGGTCTACAGCCGTCACTCAGCCAGACATAGTGAGCGATTTGCCCCATTGCTCTCATCTGGCAGTGAGCTGGCAGTGATGGGGGGATTGAAAGCAGTGGTTTGAGAACGAGGGATATAGGACGGAAAATGTACACAGCTCATTTAAAATCACATCTGCTGAATATTTTAAGAAAAGTTTGCTTTAAGCGCTGGAAATGGAAACCACTTCTCAAAACTTCTTCAGCCCCCTGGGCAGAGGAAGAAACATTTCTGCAATATGTGCAATTTATGACCGCTGGTCCTTATTTCCACTGTTGAGATTATAACAAAGGATTATAGTGGAGGGTGGACACAACACATTTCTATTCAAGTAGTGATAAGTGATACAGAGCTCTAACAACAAACTTACTATCATTCATATCCAACTAATTCATTGAGGATACAGTTTTATTGTTTTTCTATCACTGAAAAATTCAATTAACTTGGTCTCTGTAATAAAGTAAGAGATCTTTTTTACAAGAGAGACATAGCAAACAGTAGTCTTAATTAGGGGATGGGAGAAAAAAATTGCGATACTTTGTCTCATGATATATCGTATTGTCTCATTAACCAAGTCTTGATAAATACAAAAATACAAATATATCAAAGGTTTTCAAGATGTGCTACATGAAAATAAAATACAGTGTAAATAAGACAAACATAAAGGAAAGCCAAATGCTGAATTAGCTAAACAGTTGAAAAAATTGTATGAATTGTAATATATGGTATTGCAGTGCTCACTGAATTGCAAAATGTTAAAAATTCCAATATCTTAATATCGTTTCGTAGCCCAAGTATCGTGATAATACCGTATCGTGGGGCCACTGGTGATTCCCACCCCCAGTCTTAATGCACAAGTTCAACAATTACACACATTCAGAGGGTTTAAAAAACATGAAGATGATCATATTTCACAAAGCATCGACAAAAATAATTCAGTTACTTTTGAAGCTGTCATTATTCTAAGCAGTAGAAACCTTAAAATATCAAGTTTTGAGATCAGAAACACTGAGTTGTACAATGTCTTTTAAAATTTCTAAGCCGAAATTTGCCCTGAAGGGATCTGTTATTTTTCACAGCTTCACATGCAAAGGAGTCTGATAGTTTTATCTAAAATATTACGTGTCGCTCTTCCAGGCTGGAATTGATTGCGTGATATAATCATCACCATTCCACACACCCGCTTGAGTATTGCCTGCTGCAATCAGCTCACTCCTACTTTATGTGGATATTTTATTCAGATGATGGTAGGAGAAGTCTGGGCAAAGTTGGGATGAAAAATCTGTCTGCTTGGTTCACACATGCAGCACACCCTGAAAAATGTTGATCTGACATGGTCTGAATAGTAACTGATCATTTGTGTCAAAGTACATTTAAGGTACATCAGTAAATTGATACAGTGTAGTAATGCAATATTATGTCTGGTTATCACCAGACATAATCGTATAGTCTCATTTACCAAGTATCAATTATTTCAAATTAATTGCTAATATGAAGTCAAATCTATGATAATGGAAAAATAAAATCAACTGTTTGTCCAGTGAGGTTGGCAAATGTGACATCATAGAGCAGGGAAAAGTGCAACAAATATATATAAGGTTTGCAAGATGTGCTACATGAAAATAAAATACAGCATAAATAAGACAAACACAAAGGAAAGACAAATACTGATTAGCTAAACAGCTGAAAAATCGTATCACGGCCCAAGTATCGTGATAATATGGTATTGTGGGGCCACGAGTGATTGCCACCCCTAGTTTAATGTAGGGTTGCTAAAAGGTATCTTTAGATTCTTGTTGAGTTTTGTACTTAGTCATCTTGTCCATTTACAAAGTACTAGTGAGGCTAATGTTGGATCACACAATTGTACTGTGTAATTCTAGTCAGAACACATACAGAGTCTTAGTACAGTACACAGGGCAGTTTATATATATCAAATACATGCCACATAATTAAATCGTGTTCATATTTGGGAAAATGGTGAGACAAAGAAGACAATTGAACAGAAAATTAGAGGACAGAATATGCTAACATTCTACCTGTGTGCCCTTGTGTGTCTGTGTATGTCTGTGTGTCCGGTGCATGCATGATAAAAATAGCAGAAGCAGGAGGCCCAAGCCCCTGTGTTACAGAGGAGGCTTGATTGATTGCAGCGATGGATGTGTGGACCTTTCTTTGCAATTAGAAGTGCTGCTCTCTCCAGTGGGCTTTACCATTTAAGTGCCATTAAACTGTGGGATTGATACATTTACACAGCCTCCATTACTCCTGCAAAGCAACCTCACCACATGTTGCGAAGCTTTTAGACTTCTTGTTTTTAAACCATGAAGTAGAGGTTTTGACCCAAGCCTTTTACCAGCCCAGGTTCTTGAATTTTACAGAGTTTTCTACTTTTATATTTGTACCAGTTGCTGCATAAACCTCTGCTTTCCTAATGTCACTTATTTCTGCCTATTTCACTTCCTTTTTTTGTTGTGTACCCTTGGATCATTTCCCCTTTCTTCCTTCAGGATGACATGCTTTTATGCTGTAAGCCCTGGGGTTTGCCAGACTTTTAGTTCTTTTTTTCTTCCCCCGACTGTTTAAATTATTTCTATCAGCAAACAAAATAAACCTCACACAGATAAACGCTGAGATTTTTCTCAAGTATTTCTGAAAAGACTGCAATGTGAGTGAATATGACACTTTGATCTGCTCCATTTCATTCCTCAGTATTCTTCCGTTGCCTTGTAGATAAGACATAGTTTAAGAAACACAGCTCGTTTGCAAGATATTTAGAAGAAAAACAAGTCTCTATTCACCTACATATATAAAAAAAAGAATACCGTAATTATACCAGCCGCTTTTGCTTAATGGTTTTTTAAAGGTGATGCTACCTTGACACAAATCTGTGTAAAACATATAGACAAGCCAATGTGTATAAAACAACCCAGGGCTGAGCTAAAGAGAGTCGAGCCAAACAAGGATACTATTAGAGTTCATGCATTTCATTAAATAATCAACTTTAATTCTGTCTGAGGAAAACATAGTCAAATCATAACTTAAATCCTCAGAGAAACTAGCTTATCAGTTATATCTTATACTGACGATGACCTCTATAGCCTCTGTTTATGGGGCACATGCTTAAACTCCTGAACTAAACAAGCACCGGGCTTTTCCTCTTCCCACGCACACTTTAATAAGGAGTCTTATTTTCTTTGCTGCAGTTCCCTTTCTATGCATGGAATGGTAGGAAATGAAAACACAGGGGGGATTGTCACTGAGAGAGGACACAGTCGACTACATCTTGACAAGCCCCAAACTTAAAGTTGATGTTACTCCCAAAAATACTTGGAATCACTGCTGTGTATTGCTATATATTGAACTCCTGTTTTAGTGTTTTATGGTTTGTTTTTAGTTATTTGTCTCTATGTTTTTAAATTAGTTTTTAACAACATTGAAACTATATTTAGGGCCCGAGCGTAGCTGCTAAGCAGCTGCGAGAGCCCTCTTGTTCCTGATGGATTCTTCTTTCGTTATTTTTCCTCCGCTTTAAACTGGAAAATGGCCCACTTCCCACTGGCGAAAACTCAGGAAATTTGGCAGGACGACCGGGCCTGGTGAAAAATTTGATATTCTGGTGTCGCCCAAACAAAAAAATGAAAAATTGCTCCATAGCGCCCCCTATGGTGAAAACTCACCTGACGCCTGTACGCTTTGTCAAAATGACACAAAATTTGACACACATGTGTATCTCAATAAGATCTACAAAAAAGTCAGTGCGGGCGTATCTGTCAAATGTACGGTTAAAGGGCTATTTCGCATTTTTTGCCGATCCGCACACATTGGAATTTCGCTAACTCCTCCGAAGGCTTTCGTTCCACCGGCACCAAATTTGCTCAGGCCAATCTACACCCCATGGCCATTAAAAGTTGTACAAATCATGACGCTGCACCCCACGGTTTATGTTCTAGGGGGCGCCAAAGATAACCCAAAAATCCACATTCTTAAAAGTCTTATAACTTTTTATTTTTGTCCTCACTGGCCTCCAAGTTTTCTAGGATGATGCTATGTCCAGCCATCAACACATGTGTGAAGGAATTTTTACTCCCCAAAAGAGCGCCCCCCCCATGGCAGGAGAAAAAAGTCCATTTTTTCTTGTCCCCCAAGGCGAAAATACACATTGTTGAATGTCACGCCTGTACGCTTTGTCATATTGACACAAAATTTGACAATCACGTGCATCTCAATAAGATCTACGAAAAAGTCAATGCGCGCGTATCTGTAAAATGTACGGTTAAAGGGCTTTTTCGCATTTTTTGCAGATTCGCACACATTGGAATGTGGCTTAGTCCTCCTAAGGCTTTCGTCCCACTGACACCAAATTTGCTCAGGCCAATCTACACCCCATGGCCATTCAAAGTTGTAAAAATCATGACGCTGCACCCCACGGTCTACGTTCTAGGGGGCGCCAAAGAGGACCCAAACATCCACATTTTTAAAAGTCTTATAACTTTTTATTTTTGTGCTCACTGGCCTCCAAGTTTTCTAGGATGATGCAATGTCCAGCCATCAACACATTTGTGAAGGAATTTTTACTCCCCAAAAGAGCGCCCCCCCATGGCAGGAGAAAAAGTCAAGTTTTTCCTGCCCATCGCTCAATGGCTCAAACGCATCGCTCTCTCGGCAAAACCGAAAGGAGGAGCAACTTGCCATTTGGATATATACTAGCTGTGTTTGTGCCCTCACTCATGGTCCAGACTTTTTTCAAAAAGGACATGGAGTTTGTCTGCAGCGAGCGTTTTGGTAGAAACTGCGCCTCCCATTCATTATAATGGTAAATGACCACAGACAAGTGCGCACACCATCTTTGGACCTTGAGTGTGACGCGATCGGGAGGGGTAGGCGGTCGCACTGGGGGCGGCGCGACACGGCTCGGGCCCGCCAGTGCCCCACCGGGGCCCTAGTTTACTTTTTAATTCTGCTTTTATTTTATCCATCGTTTTAATTGTTTTTTATTTCGATGTTTTGTCTAGTTATGTACAGCACTTTGTTCAGCTGTGGTGGTTTTAAAGTGCTTAACAAATAAAGTAGAGTTGAGTTGAGTTTACCAATACTAACATCATTTTTATAAATAATTCAATTCCCCCCTGTAGTGCCAGTCAGAGTTTAGTATTTCGTCTGCTCCTGTGAAACTGAACACTTATTTTCAAAGCTATGGTTTAGAAATGCAGATCACATAGCAGGCAGCTGTGCCCCAAATTTAGCTATGTAACCAAAGGCTAATATTTCCACATGCTAACTTTTTGTTTTGGAAAAGTTTTTGTGTCTGACAGCTGATAATAAACAGCTTTATGTCACATGGTTATCAGACAGAGGTTATTTCATATGCTTGTGAGAAGGACAAACCATGACCATCTCAAACTAGATTTAGCTAGCATTACATACAAAAATGTGTGTACTTTAAGCTAAAAATGACAAAAAATTGAGGAAGTAATTGTTGAATGAATGGTTTTATTGCCTGCTTTGTGTGGTGTCCATGTTTGTTGGGCAAGGACACCTGTCTAAGCTACACGCATATGAACATTAGCTTTGAACAGCATAGTCTAAAAACCTGAGAGAAATCTCTCTCCCAGGTGTGAGTAAACTGTAAAGTGTTTTATTGTTTGTGCTTAACACCACTTCAAAATCATCTTGGTTTTATGTATATTGGCTGACTCAAAGATAAAAAAACTGATTCATGGTAAAAAATTCATATCAATTAAGACTACAACAATCCTGGAGGAGTACCTTAAGGACGACTTCTCAATGACTTCACATCCTAGTATACCAAGTATTCATACGAAAGAGTAAAACTTCAACATTTCTTCGAAAACCAATTCTCATAAGTCCTAAAAGAACATAAAATTTAAGTCGAACTTGAGCGATTCCTCTGTGCACATCTTTCTCGTCTCATTGACTGTCTCACTGTCTTTGTTTCTGTTTCTCTCTTTAGCGCACTTCCCGAGAGTCAACATAAAAGAGTCTTTCTGGAATTAAAGTGTTACTGAAGCAATAAGCCCCATCTTTCCACTTTTTTTGTGTGTGTGTGTGTGTGTGTGTGTGTGTGTGTGTGTGTGTGTGTGTGTGTGTGTGTGTGTGTGTGTGTGTGTGTGTGTGCAGTGGTGTTTCAAGGATGGTCTCCCACTCTCTATTGATCAGTAGCACGATGACTTCAGATGTCCTAAAGCTCGGTGAGATCACCGTCTACAAAATGAGAATGCTGATGAATAGGGTGACATTATTAGATTAACCAAAGTTATTTTTTTTTCTACAAAATACGTATTAAGGGCACATTCTATTCTTAGTAGTGCACACAAAAACATGGCAAAGAAATACATGAAGTTATAAAGTCAATATAGGTGGATTTGGCTTCGTGGGTAGATTAGGAGTGGTGGAAATGAAAGACATTCAAAAGGGCAGCAGCAGGTATCTGATCGTCACATACTTTTGACTGAATCAGCTGGATGGAGACTTAGTTCATTTAGAGAAGAAAGTTGTTTGTGTGAGAGAGCAGACATTTTTGTGGAAAAGACCAAGTAGGATATTACTGGTATAAGCTGACATTTTGTAAATTGTATTTTTTTGATTTGTTGCTTGATCATGTCTTTTGTTAAGTTTGAAATGACAATTTAAACCACTGAACTGAGTTTATTTGAACTGTAAGTGACACTGGGATGTGTTACACTACTGTTTCTGTTAAATTCAGAAAGTCCATGGTGGTTAAGGATAGACTTCAGGTTTGGGTAATGCATGGGTATTTCTTACAGTGGTAAATGCCAGGTGATAGCATGGGCTTTTGAGTTTTAGAATTATTGAAGTAAAATTTAAACAATTTCTTCATTGATCCATCCATCCATCCATCCATTCATCCATCCTTCATCCATCCATCCTTCTATCCATCTATCCATCCATCTACGACATTAATCCATCATCTATCGATCCATCTATCCACAAATCCATCCATCATCCACATAATCAATCCATCCATGAATTCATCCACCCATTCATCTATCCATTCACGAATCCATCCATCCATCCATCCATCCATCCATCCATCCATCCATCCATCCATCCATCCATCCATCCATCCATCCCATATACATGGTCCAAGTCAGAAGGGTTGAAACCGATGAGGGCAATCGAAATTTGGAGAGCACCACTAAGAGATGAGACAATTCTTGAGAGGTCTCGGCTAAAGGGAGCTAAACAAGATTTATATTCAGAGGAGGACCAATCTTGGCAGGCATGGAGTACCTATGTTAAAAGGCTCGAGGGAAGGTGGTGGGAGTGGAGGCTCGTATTGACAAGGAAGTCCGGGAAAGATGCGTGTGGGTGCAGGATTGCGCTCCTGTGGGGATTCTCTGTCTACAGCAGCGATATGGGGCTCAGACAGCGGATTAGTGTTTCTGCTCCATAATCAATTTGCTGTCTGGATCCTATTGCATGAAGCCCTCAACATCCAGTCCTCGTCTGATCCTGAAAAATCTTCCTCACTCCTTCCTTTTCCTCTCCACCAAAGTGATCTCTTTTTTTCACCTGGATGCCTTTTTTTTTGTTTGTTTTACCATCACACCTGAAAAAATCCAATCTCTAACACTCAACGGCTATAATAAAACTCCACTCCAGGCTGTCCAGAATTCACTTTTATCATTTCTTTTTGGCTCACCTCTTCAAAACTTCCCTCCCCTGCAGTGTTATTCTCCAAATTGTGTGTCATTTTCCACCAGCCACAGCAGCTCCTGCACCAACTGTATTTTAGGGCAATGTAGGGACTCTGGGAGTAATTATATCACAGAGTGTCTGTGAGGGTGGAGAGATGTAACGGCTAACCTTGACCAAGGGCTAACTATTAGCTCTATCTCACCCTTGGGCCTGAGCTCGCTGCCATCTGCTCTGGAGCTTAGGGGTCGTAATGCTGGCTGGGCGATCAATAACATATTCCATGTTGGCACAGTTTACAGCCGTGGTCATGACTTTTTTCGCTTATTTGAAGCCGGGCACATTATAGTTTGTATTTCCAAATTACAAAACAATTCGGCAAATCTACCACAAGCATGCAGCAGCACAGTATCAAGACTACAAAGTGGAATTAGAAATTCGATTTCCCTCTGTGACAACAAACATACTGCCCATCAAAGGTTTTTTTTTTTCTTTTTTTGAGGGCCACAGGATGTAATACTGCATAGGCCCTATGCAGCCTTCCTTTTAAAATGGGTCTCAGAAGTAAATTGGGTTTCTTTGTTAAGGGACAGATGTGCTGAGGGTGTCTTTGTCTGAGAGTATGTGTGCCATGTCTGTAGAGGGGAGCAATGCTTCGAGATGAAAGCCCAGAAAGACATCTAGGAGGAGAGGCAAAGACAGCAGGTGGTGCTGAGAGTGCTCCTGAAGGAGACGCACAGGTTTTTTTGTCAACAGATCAATAAGTGTGAGACCAGAAGATGGCTATCTATTTCAGACTGTCTGACAGCAATGGACAAAAAGTGAAATATGTATTTTAGGGGGAAAAAAAATGTATAAAAAAGTAAATGATGAGAAATAGTATGACTGCATTTTTCCAGCTCACTTACTCATATCTTCAAGCACATGTAACAAGCTTCCCGACAGTAGAAATTATTATACTCAGCTGTATTAGAGGGCGAACTTGACCCTGCTAATGACCAAACACCCTGTCTTAACACAAGTGCACACATAAGGATCGCATGCAAATAAACACACGGCCTCACACACACACACACACACACACACACACACACACACACACACACACACACACACACACACACACACACACACACACACACACACACACACATGCACGCATACACCTTTAGCCTGTCAGCCACTGTCCTCAGCACTCTTATTGGACCGGGCAGATCGTCACCTCCTCTGATTCCCTGCAGCACGCACAGATGAGAGCTACTAATTGCCTTGCTGGGGCATGGACGTGACTGGCATGTGATGGGGTAGGTTCAGAGGAATGCAGGGCTTTTTAACGTGCACGGCTGAGTCTGTGTCTGTAGCCAATTTAAAGGCATGTCTTTGATGAGCGTGTTACAATGGCAGGTAAATACTCAGCAGTCTTGTGGTGGTTGGCGGGACGAGGGCCCGAGTGACACAGTTCTGAAGTGTGCTTAGTTATTTAAGGATCATTATGAATAAATCTAAGGTCTTACCTTGGCCTGGCCTCGATGTCATTCTGAAAACAGAGAAAGAGAGAGAGAGAGAGAGAATGTACATTAAATGTTTGCACAGGTGTTGCGGATTACAAATAAAAGGTAAACAACATCATTTACATCAACCCAGTCCACAGCTGGTGCAGCTCGAAATGTGATCCATTAATTTTCACTTTCATCCTCCACTTGCGCTCATGTATATTCATGAGCTTTTTAAAGGAGCAGTCTGGGACAAAGTGCAAAGCCAGGCACAAAATTCACATGCTGGTGTTTCTGCGTCTCTGTTTTATCGGGGCCAAAATGATTTTTCCAATGTCAAAACGCCGGACGTGATTTGTTCCCTGCCCGTCTGTGACAGTTACACAAACACTGCGAGGGGGGAAGGTTTTATTCATGAGCCAAATGAAAAATTTAATCACATTTCAGATTCAGTCAATTTTAAGGAGATGTAGATGCATTACTTCACAGGGTGATGAATCTACACCAGTCTGCTCCAGTGTTTGTTTAGCACGCCTAATACACACAGCTTCAATCTGCAAGCCCAACACAAATCACTGTCATGTGTTAGATCAAAAGCCCTTGTAAACAATTCTTGATCTTAATTGGTATTTCTTAGCCAGACTTCAATATGCTGCCCGGGAGTATTTGTACTGTAGCACTGGACCCTGACTGGAAGCACTAAGATGGCTGCGCCAGAAAAGGGATTCTGACACTGTGTAACTAATGGCGTCTTGAGGAGGCAGTGGCTCTTAGGCAGCATGGCAGATGAGAGGAGAGCTGATGAGCGCGGGCTGCGGAGCACTGACTGGCTGTCTGCCTCACTGACTAAGATTTGGCTTTAAATTTAATTAGCTCCAGATCTGGACAAATAAAAAGTTTCAAATATTGGAACACAGTCAGATGTGTCTTGTTTTACCTTGTCAAGCACTTCAACGGATTCAAAAGTCAATTTGTGGAATAAGAGCGCAAAACTGACATTCATTGAAGAGGCTTATGGCTGCTTGTTGTAAGGCTGGTAAAACCTCTTTTTGTTCCTCTGCTGCTTGGCTGTTAAAGTGACCCATCATTAGTTAACGGCTTAAAACGGCAGGTAGTCAGACACCCAAAGAGAGGAAGACAAATAACTAAGTGAGTCTGCTTTGAATTACAGCCACAGCTTTTATATAAATACCAAATTTTCTGCTTTAAAAACACATTAAGACACAGTTGATATATTCCTTCAAGAAACTAATTATGTTGCTGGGTACCAATATTTCCACTAGATGCTTTCAAGTCTACTGCCTTTTGCCAGGGAGCCAATAAATGGACTGTATGTGGCATATCATTAATCATACTAGCCATAAACAAGGAAGTGCTACACTTAAGAAAAATATGAGCACTTAAAATGGTAACATTTGCGTTATACTACAGTTTAATTAAAATCAGCTATTCCCCTAAAGAGATGGAAATAAACAGTTGAGTTATGTTCCTAAAAAGGATCATCCTCAACGCCTCAGTATCTTGTTAAACTTCCAGCCTTATTCATAATAAATATCCTGGTGGTCAGATGGAGTCAGATGCTATTAAATGTTTAAATCAAAGTTACTACTTTACCTTTTGTCTGCTTTCAGCCTCGCTGCCTGTACCTCACAAGTCCATTTTACTAACGACTGCATGTTAAGTTTGTAATTTGAGCTGTTTGTTCTCCGATACTTTCATTGGCTGGATTGGATCCCCACAATAAACCCGAGCGCTCTTACAGTCCCAGCTGTTTGCTTTGTTTTCATTTGGTGGATTTAAAGTGTTTTTTCAGTGCCACTGCCCAGAAAATTAAAAGAAATATGTTGTCAGAAAGCTGCTGTAGGCTATAGAGCTTTGTTCTGACTCTAATTACCACAGTTACCTTTGCAACCGTAAAGAGGAAAATCAATCGCTCCAGGGTTGAATAATACTAGATTCAACATTTCTCAGATCATTCACATGGCAGCTCAATCAATATGTGCACACATGAAAAAAAATGCAAAAAAAAGTGCATTTGTCTGTCAAGAAGTAGCGAATAAAGGCTGCCCACCTCTTAATTAAAAAAACAATCTCAATGGAATCAGATCAACCATCTGAATGAAAGCTGGGCTTTATTTCAAAAGACTATTGTTAATGCCGACTTCAAAGTACCTGCTGAGAAAAACTGATGTAACAAAAGGTAATCAGTATCCACAATGAGCCTGACTGATGTGTTTTAGTATACTGTAATAAATCTGAATTGAAAGGTAGATTTAATTCAGCTAATTTATAGCGATAAGTATTCAAAATGAAGACAAAAAAGAATTAAACTCAAAGGACCTGAGGGTTAATGGGTATTTAGTGCAGGAGGTATACAGAGAAGTATTCCCCTTTATCCATTTGAGGCAAACAAAACTGAGCAGAACAGCTTGGAAAGAAGCCGTCCATTGAGCAGCAGCTTGTTAAAAAAAGGTAGAACCAAAAAGGCTGTGTTGTCTCAGATCAGCCTGCGGGCAGCTCATTGTGACCTGGGTCACGGCTGAGTCAGGGCTGGGTCACTAGTGCAGACCCCCAATGCCTGGCTAATGAGGCATCCTAGCTTTGTTTTCATGCTAAGAGTCCTTTATCACTTAAACAGTGTGGAGCCTCAGCCTCCGCTTCTCTGAACAATATCACACACTGAGGCGACATGATAGAACTTGTTCAGTCATACATGTGGAAATGCAGAATGATGCTGTTACATCATGAGCTGGGCAGAGCAGGCACAAGAAGGCCTCCATGTACACAGGCACAGATATACAGTGCATCTGGAAAGTATTCATACCATTTCACTTTTTCCACATTTTGTTATGTTACAGCCTTATTCCAAAATGGATTAAATTCCTTTTTTCCCTCAAAAATTCTAAACAAAATACCCCATAATGACAAAGCGAAACACTTTTTTTTAGAACATTTTGCAAATTTATTAAAAATAAGACACTCAAATGTTGCATATACATAAGTATTCACACCCTTTGCTTTAAAACTCAAAATTGAGCTCAGGTGCATTCTGTTTCCACTGATCAGCCTTAAAATGTTCCTCCAACTTGATTGCAGTCCACCTGTGGCATATTCAGCTGATTGGACATGATTTGGAAAGCTACACCTGTCTATATAAGATCCTACAGCTGACAGAGCATGTCAGAGCACAAACCAAGCCATACCAGGACTCTTCCTAGAGCTGGCCGCCCAGCCAAAATGAGCAATCGGGGGAGAAGGGCCTTGGTCAGGGAGGTGACCAAGAACCCGATGGTCACTCTGACAGAGCTCCAGCGTTCCTCTGAGGAGATGGGAGAACACTACAGAAGGACCACCATCTCTGCAGCACTCCACCAGTCAGGCATTTATGGTAGAATGGCCAGACAGAAGCCACTCCTCAGTAAAAAGCACATGACAAACCGCTTGGACTTTGCTAGAAGGCACCTGAAGGACTCACAGACCAGGAGAAACAAAATTCTCTGGTCTGATGAAACGAAGATCGAACTCTTTGGCCTGAATGCCAAGCATCATGTCTGGAGGAAACCAGGCACCACTCACCACCTCGCCAATACCATCCCTACAGTGAAGCATGGTGGTGGCAGCATCATGCTGTGGGGATGTTTTTTCAACGGCAGAAACTGGGAGACTTGTCAGGATCGAGGGAAAAATGAATGCAGCTAAGTACATATAAGTCCTTGATGAAAACCTGCTCCAGAGCTCTCGAGACCTTCGACTGGGGCGATGCTTCATCTTCCAGCATGACAATGACCCTAAGCACACGGCCAAGAAGACAAAGGAGTGGCTTCAGGACAAGTCTCTGAATGTTCCTGAGTGGCCCAGCCAGAGCCCAGACTTGAACCCGATTGAACATCTTTGGAAAGACCTGAAAGTAGCTGTGCACTGACGCTGCCCATCCAACCTCACTGAGCTTGAGAGGATGTGCAAGGAAGAATGGGAAAAACTCCCCAAATCCAGGTGTGCCAAGCTTGTTGCATCATACACAAGAAGACTGGAGGCTGTAATCGCTGCCAAAGGTGCTTCAACGAAGTATTGAGTAAAGGGTGTGAATACTTATGTATATGCAACATTTGAGTGTCTTATTTTTATTAAATTTGCAAAATGTTCTAAAAAGTTTTTTGCTTTTTCATTATGGGGTATTTTGTGTAGAATGTTTGAGGGAAAAAAGGGAATTTAATCCATTTTGGAATAAGGCTGTAACATAACAAAATGTGGAAAAAGTGAAATGGTATGAATACTTTCCGAATGCACTGTATACTAATGCTAAAGCTTATAAGGGCCCTTGGATGCATTTTACAACCTAATTTTTTTTTCTAGTTTCACATAACTCTTTTTATATAACCCATAGCAACAGTAATGGGCTATTCAGAAGTATTAATGTTGGTGTAATTATAATAAATTCCAATGACTGCTCAGAGTCTCTTTTGCTGCGTACTTTGGAGCTGTTAAAAAACACAGTCTAAACTGTTTCTGAGCCAGACACTATTGAACATGCTGGTCAATGCACGGGTCCAATTCCATCACTGCCCCCTCCCCCACTCCCACCCAACAAACACAAAAAGCTCGTTCAGTTTTGGATAAATGATTTTGTGACAGTGACATTCAACGACAGCATAGTGCTATGAGAGAGCTTAATATAATGGTCAGTATTGAGACTGTTTTTGTATGTTGCAGTGCACACATACTGTATGTGTGCGTTTTGTGGATGATTAGCCTGTATTGAAGAAAACTCTCTCTGTGCCAGTGCCAAGTCAGGCAAAAAAGATCACTGCCTTCCCAGTGACACACTGCAACTTTTTTAATTACGGTACAGTCAACAGAGACTTTTCCAGTAAACACACTACCTGGTTGTAGAAATTAGCACCCACAGGCGTTTTTGTAATGAAAATGTGAAGCCCCAGAAATTTGATATTAAATGGACTCAGACCAAGACAAAGTCTTTTAATATACTTCCCCCTGGCTCCCACTGATTGGTCAATTTCTGGACTGTTTTTTTCTTCCCTGCAGACCTTCATTGCAGCGTGTGTGTGTGTGTTTGTGTGTGTGTGTGTGTGTGTGTGTGTGTGTGTGTGTGTGTGTGTGTGTGTGTGTGTGTGTGTGTGTGTGTGTGTGTGTGTGTGTGTGTCTACAGCTGTGTTCCTCTACCTAAATTAAAAGAAAGACGTGAGATTATTAACAGAACCTGTGGTAATTTGTTTATTTGACCTCGAGCAAAAAAAGGCTCACCTCAATTATGCGGTCTATTCTGCTGGGAGCATGGGTTTATATGCAGGTGAGGAATATTTTACATCATAGCTTCTCTACTCCAGAGGCTTGCTATTGCACAGCTGCTGTGTGTGATGTTTTTACAAAAGGACCAATCCCTTTTCTGATTTAGTTCAGAAGCTGCCAGTCTTCCTTTTTTTTTGTGTGGAAAGTTGGAACTTTGAAAAAGTGCTGGAGGCTACAACTGCAGCTCCCTGGCAAACAGGATTAGCTTGTGCCTTACATGAGGAGAAATAAACGAGGGGCCAAAACAGGTCAGCATATCTAAATACTGTTGGTGTTTGCATTTATACAAAGCTTCAGGTAGTTGCTTTATTTCAATGCAGTGTGATGTTCTTCTAGCATCATATCTGGTACCTTTGGGGTATTTATAGATTAAAATTCAAATACCACTTAGTAAAGCAATTTAAGCTCCAGTCCTCTGGTCAGTTTGTCAACAAAAGGGCTGGGCTGACCTGCATTGCCTGAGGGTAATACCATTATTATTATTGACAAGTACCTCATGAAACCCCATTTAACGAAAAAAATCACAGAGGACAGTGGGATAAAGTGAGTAGTATTGAAATAGTAGGAGTAACAGTAGTAACAACTAAAAAAGAGGTAACAGACCTTATAGCGCTAACCATCAGTCATGAAGAAAAAAAAAAGGCTATGGCTATAAAGCAATAAAGCTCCAGTTTCATTTCAAATGATTCTTTCAAATTCAATGTGCAATTTTTACACACATTTAAAAATCCCCCTATAGTTCTGAAACTTAAAATACAAAAGTATTCTCATCATCTCATCTCAGTGAAACCAAACCAAAAAGCAAAGAATAAATACTTTAATCATCATACACTTTGTCTTTAGCAAAATGTAATCTTCAGTTTATATGATAATGTGATGTTTCATTTCATGATTTTATTGATCAATGTACAGTGTTCAGCATAAATAAGTACACCCCTTCAGAGTTGTCAGAAAACCTTTCGTTTCCTTTTTAAAATCAACATTTTCTATGTCAGACTATCCAAAATACTCCCCCAAATGTAGGTCATTGATCCCAAACAAGATTTTTTAAGTTCCATACAAAAAAGTTTTTCTTTTTTTTTAATTTAAAATCAGGATGCAAAAATACGTACATCCCAATCAAATTTCTGGGAGCAAAGCTAAATTTTAGTTACCATATCAACCTTATTTTCATCTTATGGTAAATAAAATGTTATGTTAAACTTAGCTTTGTCAAAACTTTGTAAATTGTACTTTTGCTCATCTAGATATTGAGTAATGTATTACTTTTAATAGGAGGTGTACTGACTTATGCTGGGCACTGTACATCAATTGGTTATCGTAGAACTGCTGACATTATCAGCCATGTACTGCAAAAGATTTTGTATGGTATGGTATAATATCAACTTTATGGTAGATTTTAAATTCTTCCTCTGACCTTCAAAGCTCTTTATGATCAGGCACTATCACATCTGCCACATCTGCTCATCATACCAGTCTCTCAATGTGGTCTCAGTGGTAGAGCTTTCAGTTATCTGGAATTGGGAGTCTTAAAGACCCGATGCAAAGACCCATCTTTACATTGGGTAAATAGAGTATGGTCTAGACCAGCTTCATTGTTAAGAAGCGTAATGCACTGTAGGTCACCTGGGGTTTTTCTCCCACCTATAATCTCTCTCCTATTTAAAGAAGGAATTTACAGCCCTGGTATCATAGAGATGGAGAAGAAGCAACTGAATTGCTTTGGTGCAATGTGCCATCTGCCTGACACCACCAGGCACACAGAGAGACAGTGGAGGAGTCTGTGAGGAAGTAGAAAAACTTATTTTCCTCTGGAACTATGAGACTGCGCTCATTTAAAAGGCTGTTGCAAAGACAGAAACTGCTGCAGGTGTTTGTGGGTTCAGGTGGACTTGATTTGCTTTTGCAGATTCACTCTCTTGAAATTTTGGGCTCCACAAACAAAAACTCAGTCCGACTTATTTAGTATTGTGTGCCTCTCAATACACACATTAAGCTACATCATTTCTAGGTGGGTAAACTGCTAAATGAGCCTCTTCTCTACACCAACACCCACACACAAACACACACACATACATACATCCCCTGTGACCACACATTTCCAAAGAACACCCACTGCCCATTACTTACCCTAACAATAACTAACACATGTGAACAAACAGGGTTACCATCAGCATTCAATTAGAGTCTAATGAACTTGGCCTAGTGTGGATTATTTACTCAACTAGAAAAGCATTCTGCAAATCAGCCCTCAACATTACTGCAGCCTGCTTGGTCCTGCAGAGTATCACCGGGGAACGCTTTAACCTGCTTTCCTAACTGTGGCTGTGAATCAAGTACAGAGAGTGACAAATGGAGCAATGGGATATACTAATGTGGGAACCATAAGCAGTAAAAGCATCCTCTTCAATGTTCAAAATAAAAAATGAGGGAGTGTGGTGCTGCAGAATCTGAAGTGATGCACTGGAATAGCATGGCCTATGTATAAATGGATACCTTATATACCTAAACTGCACACATGCTCAGGTATTTAAAGCACTCTGACATAAAGACCTTGCTTTGACTGAGTGTCTGATGGGTAAAAAGAACTCAAACAGCTGTGTTCATTACTTACAAATGAGCCGCCAGAGTAACACATTGTTGCACTCATGCTTCAGGATGTATTTGTATTTAACTACCTGTATCACACTGACACAGCTGACAGTATGCAAGGAGGACTGCATTTCTCTTAAGGTGCATAATGTATGCCTGGATAAATACAGCCAGTCTCTCCTTTTATTTGGAACAAAGCTGCCGTATAGTCGCACCTGTTTACCATATTTCCTTTGTTATAATCAGGCAGCAGGTGGTGCCGTCGTTAAAAAAGATCATCTTTTGAGTTGGAGAAATGGGATTGAACCTCTGTGCGCTCTTTGAACAGGCACCAAGTTCTTCTGTTTTCAGTTGGGCCACATAACAAGAAAAGAAAGCACAGCCAAGCTCCAGCTGCTGGCTATCGTTTGTCTTAAATTATCTTGATAATGCACAAGATGCACTATAAAGGAGGCTTCACTTGGTCAGCAACAAGGCAGCTTTGTGCTGGCCAGTAAAGTGTTTGTAATTGTTTATTGACAACAGCAATAGTGTCTGGTTTTACAAGGCTGCCCTCAGTAACAATGTTGGCACTGGACCTCTGGGTTTAAAGTTTAGTTTAATTAATCATTGACCCTGTTTGGGCTCTCAGCAGACCTCGTGATCTGATTTGGTTCTGTCAATTAGGCTGCCAGCCTTGCTGCAAATCCAGATCTCATGCATGAGTTTTCCATTCATTTCAGTGGCTCCACTGAAGCCTCAACTACAACCAGCTACAAACGTTTCCCAAGAATATGACTCATGATCATGTAAACAGCTCATACGGGTGACACAGTGGCATTTGAAAAAGCCTGTTTTAAAGACCCACTCTGATGAAAATCATGTTTTTCTTTTTTTGACATATCATGAGAAAACTAAGTGCAAAATTGCATTTCTGAGTATTACTGCATTCAAATTGCTGTGAATCTCTCACATACCCAAACGGCAGGATCAGACACAGTGAGATTTCCTATGTCACAAATCCAAGCTCCGCCCTTGGAGCCGTGCTATGCAGGACGGACTCGATAAAATAGAGAGGACGATTGCTGAACAAGCGTGTGCGGTAGCGGATCGCAATGCTCGAAAATTATGACATTAACTTTCATCGTGTCCCTAAAGACATTAGCATCCGAGAGTTGAATAGCAACTATGTTACCTGCTACCTTGACTACACCAACAATGTTAGGCTACATCTAGCGTGAAGAGGAGTGTGCAGAGCAGCGCTGTCTCTGCCCACGATTCAGAGGCGCATTGCTAATGAGCTACTGGAGCTCTGCAGAAGAAAAACTCTTGAAAATGACACAGGTGGGCTAAAAACTTCATAATCACAATTTAAAGACCACTGAGAACACTTTAAGTGGTAAAAAAATAAAATAAAAACGATTGGAGTGGGACTTTACACTTGATGCTGCTGATTTCACAGGACATATTTTAACAAGACGAACCTCTTTCACTGCTACACATAAGACTGAGGTGATCTGCATCAGACTGTAGTGCTTACATAAAACAAAATTATAAAGAAGTGAAGGGGACATGGTCTGTTTCTAAGAAGCCAGAGCCTAAGAGCTTGAAATATCTCACTAAATAAATCACAGCATCCTGAGTATGAGTCACACTGGGCTTCTTTGACCTTATCAACTCCCTTCACTTTCTTCCAGCAATTTACCGCACAGTGAAAGCGCAGTTTAAGAGGCAGAGTATGAGGATAATACGGAAGGAATGGTCTTCTCACCTGCACTCTGTGGGCTGGTCCAGCCCCTGCTAAGAGAGCCTGTGCTGCCAACGCTTGGTTTATACCCAGCCCTTCAGCCTGCTCCAGGATGCACAGCTGATGTGTGATGTTGGCCATCTCCTCCTGGAGGCGCTCGGTTTCCAGACTGATCTCTGCGATTTTCTCTGCAGCTGATGCTGTGAGGAACGCTTCTTTGAGGTCTACCAGATGAAGGGTCCTCCTCTCCTCCAGTCGCACCAATCTGCGAAGCTCATCGAACTGGGTGTTCACATAGGCCTCAAGCTCCTCTGTTGTCATCTGAGGTATGGAGATGACAAAAGGAACAAAGGGAGACACCATGCAAGAAAGAGGGTTAGAAAAACTTGCCATGGTAGAGTTATATACTGAGGCTGCAGATTTAGAAATCTGAACTGAATCTTTAAAATAAATACTATAAAAAAGTCATAAGACATCCTGAGACAGATATACAGAGGCAGAGATACACAAGACTCAAAAAGTGAGTAAAAAAAGATGAGAGGACAATAAAATATGTATAGCCATGACTCCAGTACCTAGAGGCCACAGGGATACATACAAAATGACCATATACAGAGACCACTACGAGACCTCCGTCCTTTTTTTGTATACCAATATTATTTTCATCAGAGCACTGGTCTCTGTCGTGCACTACCTAATTGATAGCGTGAAGAACATCCCCTGGAGGCAAACTCTGTGCATCCCATCTGTAGATAGAGACCTCAGAGGCTCCTTCTACCACAGCAAGCCATCTGTTTGGCTTTCAAGGCAACTGAACTGCTCACTCAGATAGTTTTTTAATCCATTTCCCTCCTCCCTGATGAGTCTCTCTTTAGATATGACTCATTACCTTAAAACACCTCAATAAACAGACGCCTCCCTGCACTCCTTCTCTTTGGGGTGGCTCCACCTCTTAACTCGGAAGCTGCCATGAGGGTGAAAAACTAGAAAAACACCCCAAAGTCTCTTGTCATGATCTCATCTTCTGAATATGTTATGATCGCTTCAATCTATGAACATCAGCTGCTCAGTCTCCTCTCCTCCCTTGAGCGGATCTTTACTCCCTTCTTTTCTGTCAAGTTTATCTTGTTCCCTTCAGCCTCCCTCTCTCGAGTGAAGCAAAGGATCCTCAGTCTCTACACAGGTTGGCAGAGACGTGGCCCTCGGGGGCCCAGGGCTCTATCACTTCTACGCAATTCCTCCCCATGAGATAAGATTCTCTTAATTGCCCATTAAAGAAGTAGCAAAAACTAACTCTACTAATTTTCTCTTTTTCTGAGCTCAAACAGAGAAAAAACCAACGTAGTTCACTCTGCACCAGACAGGAATAAATTAGAAACGTCTAATTGGAAAGCAGAGATTACTTTTCTTTTTCTTTTGCTTAAACAAAATCAATACCCTAAATGTAAAGCTGATGAATGTAGAGTAGACCACAACTGCCCTGAACTGATTACAAGCTCCACTCCTGGTCCAGATACCTCAGTGAGATGTTTCAGAGAGATGTAGAGGATCTAAGAAAACAAAGCATTTCTCCAACCTCTCTCTCTCTCTCTCTCTCTCTCTCTCTCTACCCCTCCGGATGTTCTTTTACTTTAACTCACAGAGAGTAAAAGAGGGAAGTGCTTAAATAAAATAAATCCTACTAAATTACAATAAAAGTCGGTTGAATCTTCAAGAAGAGTCATCATTTTCAATCTAAGCAGTGAGCACTTAAAAAACACATTAAAAAATGATAAGGCTTTAAAACATTTAATATTTAACAGGGAAAGAAAATGTAAGTCTTGGCTGCAACTCATGTTATGTTGTCTCAGTTATCCTGCTCGGAGAAAGTTGACTCTGGGGTGACATAGACTCAGTCATGAAACAAACAAACAAACAAACTAACAAAAATCTATATTTAAGATGTGTTTTCTATAAATACAGCATCTAAATGTTCATTTTTAATAGTTTTGACTAAGCACTGGCATACAGTCTACCAAACAAGCATAGATTATCTTTGAATTCACTATCAGCAAATCATAGAAAATACTCGGGCTATTTAAAAATTGATTGGATAGGATAGGCACTTGGGCACATTATCATTTTATTCAAGAATACGGCAAACTTTCTGTGGAAGCAAACCCATGCAACAGCAGCAGTATGGGTTCAGTCAAATGTAGTTTCCAGCATGAATTGGGCAAAGGTTCACTAATTTTCACTTATTACAGTGTAGGGCTGTAAAGTCCTAGTCGATACTTGCCGAGTTGACCAACATTCCGATAGGTCGATTTTTTTCTGTGTCAGTTTACAGTCTATGGTTAATTTCATCAGGAGGAACGTACCAAGTGCTAATGGGGTTGTTTTCAGAGCACTCCATTTCACAGGTAACAGCCTGTCTCAGAACACCCCCCTTGTTTTTACTATTTTGGATTCACCCAACCCACTGAAGACTGGTTGGAGAGGGGAAGATTGAAGAGCGTCCAGGTTGGCTGAATACTTACATTTATTTCAAGCGTTTCAACTTTCATATGAATCCTCCTCTACCATCCATGGCAGTATATTTTCACTCCACCGAGCGAGCCACGCTTCGCCGAGCCCCCTCCGCAGAAAGGTTTGTCGTCAGAGTTGCCCCCTTTGTCGACCAAGAATTTCTTTGGTGGATTACAGCCCTATTAGAGTGATTTACTACTCTGTCGATGATCTAAACAAGTGTTGAGTTTAAAAGTGTAAACTTCCTCTTATTGATAAAAATTGTGGATTTATGAGTTGAGGCTATGATTAGTTGTTGCTACTCTGCATGGTTTATAACATTAGCTAGCTGACCACATAGCATATTAATATAGTCCAAACTTAATCCTATCTTAAAGATGAATGAAACCTTTTTCACTATGGGGGACAGTTGCCCTACAGTGCCAAATGACAAAACACCCAAAGATCCCAAAACACAACAAACCACAGAACAAAAAGCCAAATTAGATACCACACTGATGGAAAACCAATATCAGTTATATATATATATATCCCTGACTTTGCACTTGGGGGCAATATGACTTTTCGCTGATCGGAAGAATTTACTGCCAGTCTCTGCTGATTCTGCACACTGAGCAGGACTGCAGGTTGACACTGAGTCTTTACCTTCATAGAATATTTAGATACAGGGCACACACATATATTTGATCATCTGGTAACTTCTCTCTGTTTGCTTCCAAAGGCGCATGAAGCAGTTTCCTTCATTCAGTCAGCAACGATCCATGTCAGTCTCAGATGAGCCTCTTTTTTATGTTGTCTTTGTGTTTTATGATTTGTTGTGTTTTGTCATTTGTCAAATTGTTGGTTTTTTTTTTTTTGGGGGGGGGTCATATTTTGCACTTCAGGGCAACTAAGCACCACTAAGCATGTACCTCTCTGGCAACTTAACAAGGTGTTACTTTACATGAATTAAATCTGTAGTCTTGATTTCATTTTGTACCAACAAGTTTTAGATTTAAGATTTTGGCTGTTAGCATGGCTCAGGAAGAGCAATGTTACAATTCAAGTTGCATGAATAGATCCTGCTGATTTTTTTAATTAAACCTGCCCTCTTCAGTCTCCTGTCACCCATCAATCTGACACATTCCTCTACTGGTTGTCCTGGCCTTCACTGGGCCCCCATGCCCTCTCACTGAGTCCCAGCAGCCTTTGTGGCAGATGGTAGTTGTGATCCTGGATCGGTGTTCTCTGTGTTTGTGGAGCAGGAGCACTCTGCCCCTCAGTCCTTTCACTCGGCGACAGAATTCTCTGAGAATTTGTCCCGTGAGCAAGGATCGAGGCATTCATGTGAACTAATCTTCATTTGCATTGCGACAAGCTGAGACCACAGAATGAGGCCTTGGGAGAGAAAGCTGCACAGTGTGTACAAGGACAGAGCAGGAGAGGGGAAAGGAGACCAGAGAGAGAGGGAGAGATTACGGGCAGAGGTAGGACATCTGGCTGGCAGATTAGGAAGGCTAATTTCTTTTTCAAGCCCAAGTAGGACAAAAGGGAAGCAGATTAGGAAAGACAAATTCATTTTAGGTCATTTTTTTAACATACTTTGTATTAGTACAATTTTTATCAACCAAATTCAGAGGGAATGGTGGTGCAAGTCAATTTTGCAAAGGTCTTATCCATGGGGTGTAATCTGAAGCATTGCCCCATCACTGTGAATGTGAATGGCCACCTAATCTATAAAAGTGTTTAAAAAGCTTGATTATATTACTTAATAAACATTATGGGAGGAGATGGGAAAGGTGCCACTGAAAAGATAAGTCCTTGTGAGTAAAAATTCCCCAAAAGAAAAGCTTCGATCTGTGGCTTAGTTAAAAATAGAAAACTTCTAAAGACATTACTCTAACACTCCACATGATTCAAATAAAGCTCGAGACACTCAAACAGAATTAACTTCACACACCACTGTGCTTTGTGACTGGCTACAAAAAAGGTTGTGCTACTCATTAGTGCTAATGAAAAAAACTCCTGAAAAACAACCAAAGCCCTGGGGAATGAAAATATAAAAGCAAAAAACACGACAACAAAAAAAAAAAAGTGTCGTGTTTCTTTTTCTGAGACGGAATAACACTCAGCCAAACATCAAAGTAGCCTCAGCTTTTATCCTCACCTCTAACTACATGGATCCAAAAGTGGGTCATCTTTATAAATGCTATTTAATTACAAGATATTGTAATACTTCATCCAGACATCTTTAATTTACTGGCTCATTTTAAGCATAAATGATGAAAATCCAGGAGCAGAATACAATTTCAAGATCAGCATAAGCAGGTGAAAATATTCTGATTTAGTTTTTATGCTTTTTAGGAGATTTTTGGGATTTCAAGAGTTCAAATGGTTAACTTTCTTTAAATTTTCTATCCAAGGAAAATGCCCTGATGCTTATTAAGAAGCCTGTTATAATTGATTTCTTTCTTTAAAATGGTGGTCTTACAGGCATTCATAGAACATAAGGAGAGGGGGGATTTGTACTGCCTTTGCCCTTGGCAGCTATGGCTTGCTCCAAGGAAAATTTACTCTTTCTTGCTCCTTTTTCTGAGACTACATTTGCGCCTGGCTATTCAATAAACGGACATTTCACCCTCTCCGTTTACAAAAAGAACTGCGTGCACACCACTACGTTTACAGAAAAGTTTTAGATTATACTAACCCGTTTTGTTTCGTTTACACTAACTATATGCTGTCTTGCACAGTCTGCCTTCGTCAGACAGGTAATACAGGGTGCAGGCAACTCTTTTTGTGACACTGACAGAGGACCGCATGATGTAGGGACGCAGCAACTCGGAGAGTGACAGCAGCAATGCCTGCAACATCCAGAAATTTTCATGACACTTCTCCGGCAGAACCACTCCATTTTTGAAGTTCTCCCACCAGACTGCAGTGCACCCAGGTTGGACCCAAAACCGGCAAGGCTGGCGGCGACACAGATGTTGGAGGTAGAAGTTGCTGCAACATTGCTGACCTTCGAGCACACACATTGTATTTGCAAATGCAAACAAATACAAAGTGATTGCACCAGCGTACATGTGACTGCTATTCTGCATGCATCCATGATCACCATAGATTGTCAGCATAGACTGTAGATTGTAAACAACGTCGCATTTAACCCAGTTTCAGCCACAATATCTGCCATCGGCTACCCAAATCTAGTCTTTCTCTGTTCAAATGCAAACATGCAAATGGAGTTTTCCAGAATCCGGCCGGAGTTTTTAAAAGCATAGTTTTCAGGGGCGAATTCTCCATTTGCGTCTAAATGAAGGGTGCAAACGATGGTTAATGTCTCTGTTTTTTAAAAATAGCCAGGGATGTATAAGCGGGGCCTGACTCTCTCTACTTGATCTCCTCCAGAAGTTAGAGCCACTGATTTAGCCTCTAACAACGTAACAATTCAGATCAAGTTTATCAAGAAAACACAAGCTTTCCCGAGATGCTATGATGTGATACAAGGAGGTAAGAGGAGTTAAAAAAAAAAAGGGGGAGAGGGGGGAAATGAGACAGAAGGCTTTTGGTTTTATAACAGCAGAGTTTCAATAACCACCACCTTTTATTGGTTTTTAGAGAGGCAATGACAGCCAAGCAACTTTCTGGGGAACGATACTGAGTAATTCAATTAAAATGCGGTGAGAGGAGAAAGAAAGGGGATGACAGATTTAAAGAGCAATGGGAGAGGGGGTTAAGAAAGAGAAAGAGGAGGAAAAAGGATGAGGTAGAGCATTGCAAGAAAAAAAAAAGGAAGATGAATACACCTAACAGCAGCAGCCAAGTCTTTTCATGCCTCTTCCGTCTGTTCCTCAGCCTCGGCTCCCTATAAGGCGGCTTTAATGTGTCTGCTGCCGCTCTTGTAGATTTTATGAAGCAAGGAAAATGGATGTAGCCATCTCACACACACACACACACACACACACACACACACACACACACACACACACACACACACACACACACACACACACACACACACATATACACATTTGTGACTGGGGCTGATACTGCTATGCTGTGCTGTGCTGCCTACAGATATGGGACTCTTCTCTCTGAAGCTGTGCTGAGCGGCTCCAGAGGCAGCAGGGTGTCCTGGACGACACCCTGCGCGGCAGAAGTTGGGTAAATAAGACATGAGAGAAAACATGAGGTAAATATTCTGACGTCCTGCTGTCCTGGCCCAAAGGCACAACATGCTGCACATATAACTTTTACTTATTTGGAGAATGGCAACACAAGCTGACTGGCTGGGTGAGTGATAGACAGCAATCTAGGCCCTACTCATGTTATGTTTCCCTGCTGGTCCTCTGTTAATATGTATGCAGCTGTATTACTGACTTTTTGCATTATATTCCATCCCCCGGCGGAGAGCGGAGATATGAGTTATTAGAGATTATAATCCCCAAACCTGCAGCCTAGTGTTAATTAAGTAGAGCAAGTTTGATAAGCAGTGAAGGGTTAACTCTCTCTTCACCTCCTTTCAGGCAGCTGCTCACGTATCTCCCTCTCTTCAGTGCTCCAAGACGTCAATAAAATACAATTTCACCTCCTCCAACTCCATCCTGTCGATCTCTTCCTCCTTCTGCCTCCATCTCCCTCCCAAATCTGTCCTCACTACGAGCAGTCGCTCTGATGGTCGCCTGTCATGCATAGTAAGGAACACTGACATCTGGAAGTGCAGAGAGGACACGCTGACAAATCCACATAATAGTCCCCAACACAGCGGCCCTGCAAGTGGTTTTCAGTGGGCACTTTGCACCTCTGCAGAGGAACAGTGGAAGACTTTAAGTCCGGGAATCCTTGGGGCAGCATTGATATTTCAGTATGATAATTGACGTGAACTTAGGTAGGGTGCAAGGGAAAGTGTTACCTCTCACAGGCCAGTCGAATTAACCTTCTACATTATGCTGCTGTGCTCAGGTCACATCTCTTCAGGTGGTGAGAAATGCTCCGGTGTGCCACAGCTCTCTGGTGGTTTCAGATGGAGTTTTTTTTTATGAGCAGAAAAGGTACCTCAGAGGTGTAGCTACTGTCAATAGAAGCGCAGACCTTTCTGCTTATTGTTGCGTCTCTCACTGCACAAGTAACTGTCTGCGGTCAGGTTTCATTTTCAGTAGCTGACATGCCCCCAATATGGCATATGTAATGGAAATACAGCCACTGTTTTCAGGGTTGACTTGTCATGAAAATTCCGTTTGCAGCTTTTGTTTTGCTTGATATCCAGACAAAGGCGACTGAGTGTGAAATGAACACAGCGCTCGGTTTTTCAGACGGCAACCTGGTGAAGGTCAGACTTATAGTTTGAAATGTAAGCTTGCGGTTACTGTTTCAGCCTGCGAGCCCTATTTCATGTGTTTGTTTCATACGACTGAGTGAGATCATTTAAAGGTGGGGTAGGCAGGATTCTGTTAAAGAAGCATCTTTTTTTGTGGTTAATATACAAAAAAACTTTTAATATCAGTCAATAGCTATTAGTTATTGATGACATTTGGTAATATAACAATATCGCTGTTTTGTTAAGTCTGTGTAGTCAGCATTTTGATTTTTTTGATCGGCCTGCTCTTTCTGACTGTAAACAAAGCCATTCTCCGCCTCCCCTAACCTGATTGGTTGTGAGGCGAACATGCATTAGCCCAAACAAAGTTAGCGTGCTACAAGATCGGACAGTAAAAACCAACCAGAGAGTAAGGAAAACACAAGCAATGAAACAAAGTAAATACTGGAGACTCTGGCGGAACAACGGGTGCTTAAAACAGAGGTAGACCAGACAAGAGCTAAGAAGCCGGGTCAACATCAGCATAAACGATGGAGGGTGCCTCAAGATCTTACGGACCCTGTAACCTTTCTGCTGGACAGGTAAACCGCTTTAACAAAGTAAGCCAGGTGTAACAGAAGTGTTTCTTGTCATACGGGACCTGCTGCGTGTTGTAGCGCCGCTAAACTGTTTAGCTCGGGTCATGGACTATGTTACTTTATCCTAGTTGTAGAAGTCCTGCAAACATTGTGTTTGCTGGTAGTCTGTTGGCATCTACAGTAATACGTTGACTGGGCCCCATTTGTAATTATCCGAAGTATTTATCTGCATTATATCAGAATTTAATTGAAATGATAAGAGCGAACAGGAGCATGGCTTGCTGGAGCAGAGTCGGAGGGGAGAGGAGGGGCTGTGGGGAAAACTGGTAGGGAGGGGTAGTGTTTACATTCAAGATTTCTCCCAAAAACTGGCACTTCCTCAGATCCTGCCTACCCCACCTTAAGTGGCAAAAACAATATCGTCTCATTTTTGCATCCCTCAATAACAACCATGTGCTCACTCCTCTACACTGATGGGTAAAGTTACCTGTGAGTTCACAGAGTTTGTGTATGTGTGCTAAAAGATTTAATGAGTAAACAAAAGAAGAGACCTATAACTCCACTGCCGTGCAACCCTGTAATAGAGACTTACTTCAAAAGCTTTAGATATATGAATATATTAAGAAAGCCCTTATAATTCGCCGTGTCTACCCTAAGTAGAACATAAGAGTTTCTGTCAACGTACTGAGTTCATCAAAGGTTTAAAGCAGCCTGAAGGCTTCTCTGATCTGTACTTTTTTTGCTTTATACATTACAAAGTCTAAATCACAGTCAGTTTAAATAAAACTAAACATCTAACGACAAACAAAAGTGGAGAGTCAAGAAAATTATATTAGTCTATGCCTCAAAATGACATCACTCATTCGTTAAACTATGATGTCATCACGGGCAGAGTAGAAGTACACCCACAGGAGCCTTGAAGACCAGAGCTGAGATCCGTGAATGGGTTGGCATGATAAATGTACGGATTGAATTAATTAACTCTCATGTTTACTACCTAATGCCTTTATGACATAATCCTGTTTAATCCCTCTTTATCTCATTCTAGACTGCTGTTTCCACCGCTGCAGTGTCTAGCCTGCTGCAGTGCTTACTGCTGTGCTCACTGAATAAGAAATGAGTCCTTTTTGTGCTCTGTTAGGGCTCCCGATGGCTTGAAAACCAGATCCAACCAACAGCATTTCTTTTAACCTAACCAGAAGTCATGTTAAATATAAAAGGCTATTAACCCGTAGGCATAATCCATTTATCAAAAATACGCATTTGGTTTTTTTTTTTATTAAGGGCATGACAGAAAAATAAATCATTCATGGCCCTAAAATCTGAGTTGTTATAGTTACTGAGAAAGTCAAGAATCAGAGAAATGGATCTTCAGGCTCTGTAGGTTTCATTTTCAGGTTAACTGAAACTGCTTAGTGTGATTTTATGTCTACCGGAAAGATGCACAAAGGATGGACAATTTCTGTCTGCTTTTATCAACACCACCTGATTGTTGTTATGCATTTTAAGTTGGTTTTGGCCACGCCTCTTTAGCTCATCTGCAGCAGGCTCAGAGCGCTACAGCTCATATTTTAACTGATGAATCTAGCAGGAACACACCTCCCTTGTTACGGCTCCCCTTCACTGGCTCTCTGTCAGGATTGATTTTAAGATTTTATTACAAATGTACAAATCCATAAATGGGCTTGCTCCAACTTATCTCTCTGACCTTTTTAAAGAAACACATCTTTGATCTAAGACTCTCAGATCTACAGACCAGTTCCTTCTGGCTATCCCAAGGTCAAAGCTGAAGCTTAAGACAGACAGAGCCTATTCAGATGCAGCTCCAAAGCTCTGGGTGGAGCATCTCAGAGCGCCACATGTTCAGCTGTCCCCCTCACTCTCTGTTATTAAAGCAGATCTCAAAAATGCTTTTTCATCCTTTGGCTTTAGGCTTAGGATGAGAGGTGGCTGTAATCTTTACCTGTCAAATTGGTCTCAATGCCGTTTATTATTTGATGCTCCTGTTGTTATATGCGGACCAGGCTGTTTTACTGTGTTGTTTTTATGCTTTTATAAGCTTCTTTGTTTTTTGTTGTTTATATTTTTATGCTTTTTTATGCTACACTGTAAAGCAATTTGGTCAAATTCTGTTGTTTTTAATGTGCTTGATAAATAAATTAGGATTGAATCAGATTCTGCTGACCTTGCTGCAGAGAAACTCGCAGTTATGAAGTCATGAGAGTGTTGTTAGAAATGGAGAGGGTTGTGATAAACGCAAATTTGAATTGCCTTCTTTCAGTCTTGTCCTGACATGCCGCTAAAATCAACCTGATTAAATCATCATAATTTTTCAAGCACCGTGCATTTGATTAGTTCAATTAGGTAAACATTGTCAAAATCCAGTGGGTGGAATTGCTCAAGCATCAAACAGAGGTGAATAGTAAACATCAAGTGGATAGAAGCAAACCATTGCACCATAGTAGGATGTTTACTGACTGTGGTTAGCACCAGAGAACCACTGGAAGTTTGAAGAAGGTCAGAGGAGCCTGCAAGCCTGTTATATATACTCAGTTAGTGTTACTGTCTGGAATCAGTGGTTCTCAAGTCCAGTCCTCAAGGCCCACTGTCCTGCATGTTCTGGATGTTTCCCTGCTCCAACACACCTGATTCAAATGATCAGCTCGTTATCAAGCTCTGTAATGGCTTAATAACGAGCTGATCATTTGAATCAGGTGTGTTGGAGCAGGAAAACATCCAAAACATGCAGGACAGTGGGCCTCGAGGACTGGACTTGAGACCACTGGTTTAGATCACTACAGATGAAGCAAACCACAACACGAGTTGTATTCTTACAAACAGCGATCCAGCCAAATATTAGTGATGCACCGATTTGATATTCGGATCAGATATCGGCTCAGATACTGACAAATTAACTGGACCGGATATCTGATGAATGACGCCGATCCAGCACTCCAATCCATTCTTTTTTTTCTTTTAATTAATATCATACACAGCAACACAGTGATTCTGTTCGCTCCATATATGTCTGTCTGTCTGTCCTTTTGCACTAAATGTTTACATGGAAGTCTTACTTCTTCTTGCTGTGTGCTAATGTGCAATTTGTTATTTGTTAATTGTTAATAAATAATATTCAGTAAATTTATATCTGTGTTAATTTGTTTCCTTTTTTAAAAAAAAGACTAATGTCAAGCCTGATGCCTTCACTCACAGGGCAAGGTATACAGTTCATTCATTCATTCATTCATTCAACAGTAGTTTTGGATCAGTATCAGATATCAGCTGATATGCTCAGCCCAGGTATTGGTATCAGACTGGATCGGAAAAAAAATGGATTGGTGCATCTCTACCAGATATACAAGTCCTCGAGTACATGACAATCATTAGCTGGGGATATCCCTGAGCCAATACCTACAAAACCTCAAGCAACTAAAACATATATAACCAGAGCTTATTAGATTGAAATGAATCAAGAAAAATAACATAATGTGCAACTTATCAACTACAACTCTGCTGTTACTGTCCATGTTTGGTAATGCTCATTTAAGTTTGTCTGAAACGCTTAAAGAGGCTGTCAACATCTCTACACAGCACCAGGACATAGTTTTTGCAGAAGGGGGATCAGCAAAATAATTCAAACTATGACATCAATAACATAATAATCACTATTCCACTGTGCACATGGTGTGCTATCATTCCTTACATGGAGGTCAAATCTGTCTTTTATTGCTGCTGAACATTTTTCATTTCATTTCATATGAATCGGTTAAAACCAGTGACCAATTTAAAGCAGTCTAGACTCGATTTTTCAGGAAAGGTTTTCTAAAAGTGTCTGTCAAGCTGAAGCATTGAACAAGATGATCTGTATGCAGGAGTCTGGTCTCACCTCAGGGTTTGTCCACTTTGTCTTGATCTTCTCCGCCATCTGTTGTGTGCAGCCCAGCAGGTCATGACCCTGTCTGCTCTATACAGGTGGAGCAAACAAACAGACAGTCAAGACAACAAAGTTTCAAATGGAACTCATAAATGATTCTGTTTCTGTGTCTCATACAATCACGTAACTAAGGCTGCAAAATTAGGGCTTGAATTTCATTGATAATGGGATCCATGTTAGTATTTGCAACATATTGTAAAAGCCTAAAGTTACAGCTACAAGTGGAAAAATATACCTTATTCACTCAGCATGCATACATCTAACAGGTTGATGAAAGCCAGGGGATACAGGTCAGGCTTAATTTTCAGATAAAAGTCAAAATAATGCTTTGGTGTTTACTTATCACACTTCTACAGAGCCTGGAAGGTGACATTAACTTTTTTCTTAAAATTCGCACATGCAATTTAGTATCTCGAACGTGCCTTTCATACGTATCTTGCGCATGCATTTTTGTAAATAATCCTCTGCGTGCCTCAATTGTGAGAGAAGGACAGTGTCATGAACAGAGAGCATATTATCAATATGTCCTTTCATTGAGGATTGACTCACAAAGAGGTACTTCATAGCTTTGCCACATTTGGTATTGTTTTGAGTAGGAGACACCTCATCAGGATCCTTAAAGCACAGCAACTTTGCCGTCAGGGATATTATGCCTTGCAGGAAGTGATTTTGTTTATTAACGAACAGTTAAATTGCACCTGCGATATAATAAAACGCACGTGCAAGATACCAAATCGCACATGCAAATTAAAAAAAGTTTATGTCACCTCCTGTGCTCCAGACACTTCATATAATTGTTGCTATAATAAACAATACAATCCCAAATTAGTTGTTACATGAAGCAATAGCGTCCTAAAAAGTTCTTCATTGAGTGCAAAGACTGTGCACACTGACAGAACAGTGAATATCTTCGTAGCCCTTCTGGACAATGTTTACACACAAGAATGGGCATTTTACATCCTTGATAGCTTACCAGTCAACCACAGGCTACAGTTCTTCTAATGGAGTTTGTCATGCTCAGCGCAATGTCAGAGCAGCATGAAAGCATATCACTCATACTACAGATGAGCATTAATACACTGACACGGGACGCATGATAGAAACCAGACAGAGTTTAGAGTAAACAATGTGGCCTTAGGCTGAAAATGTCTGCTGTGTCTGTGTGACCCCTTTGTTTCCCATCAATCTACATGCGGCTGTGATGTAAGAGTGAGCCAGTGAAGCGTGCCGCTCTACTTTGGTTTTCTGATGCACAGCCACAGGGCAGAGGATAGATTGCAATTTGCAGCCAGCACACAATGAGGGTCATTACTACCAGAGCTAAATGCATCTTCTTTTGGAGAACATTTTTAAATGAGGCCTTTGCTGAGATTTTTTTTTCTGTTCCAGTTTATTTTAGTGTTCCCAAACAAAACCCTTGTCTGTTCAAAATATTAATCCAAAGCTAAGTCATGTTTTCTGATGCTATCACACCCTGTTAATTGGTCCTCTGTGCAATAACACGGTCCGAATGTGTTCAGTGTCCTGATAACATCAGACACTAAATGATGCTGTAATCATCCCAAACGGTATGCCGTGCAGAACTGATGACAGTAATCATGGTGGAGAAATTCTGCAGCTTACTGGACCGCCTGCATTGCTGTAATGAGCGACTGGTTAGTCCCTGGACATTCTAAATCCGCTGGGAACAGAGAGACATCTGGGAAATGGGGGTAGACATCAAGCCAAGTACATATGTATATAATGTTTAAATTTAATCTACCTTTTACTGACATAAGTTATTCATCAAACAGTGGAACTGAATAAATTTTATAATGACACCAGGGAATCACAAGACATTGTTAGGTTTAAAATATCACACACAGCTCTCACTGAGCCCTGGTGAGTTGACTTACAGACTACACGGCCTTTGGCTATTGGCATACTACTTAATGCTGAATTAGAAATGCAAACCGGATAGGCGATGATCTGAATACATAATGCTATACGTTACAAGAGTGCACATTTTGTGGAGCATAGTATTGTAATAAAGCCCATTAGAGGGGATAAACCAAATCAAACAGAGCTGTCCTGTCTGTTGTGTCCCACTAACCTTCTGCCACACATAGGCCTCATGCAGCGTGATGATCTCATGCTCTTTGTGCTCGCCTTGCACCGCACACACTACACAGATTATCTTCTCGTCTGGTTTGCAGTAGAGGGAGCCTTCCTGTCCGTGCTCTTTGCAGCGCAGCCTCTCTACTGTCACTGTGTCTCTCTTGCCCGCCTCTCCAGCAGCTTCCTGCCCTGCCTCTGCACCCTCTGCTTCATCACCAAGCTCTGCCTCCATCGGTACATCTTTATTCCCAGCATCACCACCATGCACGCCTGCATTAGCCATTGCAACTCCAAGCAGTTCCATTTCTTGATCTGCACCTACTCCTGCAGCCCCTTTTGCACCCGCATCCTCTTCTTCACCTTCAACTCTATTGGAGTCTCTGTTTCTGCCAAGTCCATTAGCTTGAGCCCCCTCATGGTTATAAGGCATTAGCGGGTGATGTGTGCTTGTGGCATGTCTGTCAGCATGGACAGGGCAGAAGGCGAAACCGCAGGTGTGGCAAACTTGTGTGGCCGGCTGGGCCTCGTCAGGCTCACACGCATCACATGACCCATCCATCTGCGGCAGCTCCTCCAGTTTCAGCCCCATAGCTCCTTCCTGGGGTTCCCCTTTGTGGTCCATGGTGGCTGATAATTCTGGGGATAAGAGGAGTAAGTCTTGTAGGAGACAAACAGAGGAGAGAACAGGTTATTAATAGCCGTGACCTTCTGTGAACAGCTCTAAAATTTACGCTGGGGAAAGTCCAAGCTCCTTGGGACTAATCTCATCTGATAGCTACAATTTTCCCACAACAGATGATGTATGGAGGGAGCCTTATGCTGCGTTCCAGTTACCTCGGAAGTCAGATGTCAGAGCTGGGAATGACGTTAAACCCGAGTTGATGGTGTTCCAGTTAACAAGTCAGAAAACCAAGATGGATGCCTACAGTTACCCGTTGTTAGCTGTTGTTTACAATTGTCATCTGTCGTTAGCTGATGTTAGTTGTTGTTAGCGATATCAGTTGTAAACAACCCATAACACAGTATTTTACTCTTACAAACACCATAGCACCGTGTTCACAAGTAGACGTTCGGCAGTACAACATATACCACTTTTTTAATTTCACAAAAACAAAACAGAAGTGCTAATAAATAATACATTACGAGAGCTTGTACTGTTATTCTTTACTGTTAACGCACTGTCCCAACTTCCGAGTACAACTGGAATGCAGCACAAGTCCACAGGAGGAAACACCATGACACAAGCTATGGTAACAGGAGGATCCCATCTGCAGTCTTTAGACTGTCTTTGTATGCAAACACAGTTTGTTTACTGCCTCACAAACTAAACGTGCTGAGTGTGAACTGCTGCACTTCTGCCCTGACCGCACACCCCCGCACTCCAACTTTCACCTCCCTTAGCATGTCACCAGGCCTTGACCTTTTCATGCCTTGTTTCTCCCTTCCTCCTCTTTTTCCCTCCTCCCCTCCACTTTTGCAGGAGTGAACCTGAAAGAATGTGGAGAGACTGCTGTGCACAGACACACATAAGGAGACTTCTTTTTTATTTTCTCCTGGAGCCTTCCTCTCCTGAGCTCTGTTTGTGTACTCTTTCCCACTGCTGACACAAACAACCGGTAGAAAAAGAGCTGTAATACACAGACCCCCTCCCCTTTCCCCAACACCTCTGTGGTATTTCTGTCTCTGACTCACACACAACCTCTTCCTCACACAACAACACTGGAAAAACACTACCGTCATCCTGTGGGGTTTAGCAGGTTGAAACTCACTGTAGTGTAGGCTACTTACTTACTTGTGTATGCCTTCTCTCCCTTCTGCTTTTCCTTTTTTTTTGTCCCTATAGAGATTAAGTGGTGTCAGAGCTGGACTAATTAGCTTGACGGCTAACTTCCGTAGCGCAGCCTCAGTGCTTTAATGCTCTGTAAATAGCTGTCGACAGAATTGCTGTCACTTTACAGCAATAAGGGGGACACTTCGATCCGACTGCGTTTACTTCCTTGTTTTCATAGGCGTCCGTCTTCTTTTTTCTACTTCCTGCTTGTAGTCTCCAGTGTGTGTGAGAGCTGCAGAGACACACAGAGGTTGGAGAGAGAAAACCAGTTCGACAAGGAAACACTCGAGGACTCCAAACCAGAGGCAGCAGGTGAAGAGAAAATCATCGCAGCTGTAATGCTTTGTAAATGCGATGAGTGTCTTTGGTTTATGTTGCATTTGAGTGATACAGAATTGTATTTTTAGCGATATATTTGTTACATTTTGACCATAGCTGCGCAAAGAAAGTGAAAGTTATTGAATAGTTTTAGCCATTCGGGGTGGTATGAGGTCACGCGACCGAGCCAGCTTGACCGATGGTTGTGGAAACAAGCAAACAACTCCTCCAGTAGGCCGACAGTCTTAAAAATGTGTATGAAAAGAGTGGCGAAAGATGAGCCATTTTTCATATTTGGGATCACTACATCAAGGCAATCATAGTTTTGTCTCTAACGAGTGTATCTGCATATATTTCAGGCTGTTGTGCATCCCTGCAAACCAACAGAATTAGTGTAAACAGAACCGTTTTGATAATACAGCATGCCAAAAAAAGTGGTCTCCTACGGTCAATTTACACTATTCAACTATTTATTATTATTATTATTGCATATAAGTGCTAAAAAGCTGTTTTGTAAAGAACTATTTTAACATGAGAATGTCTTTAAGTGATTCAGAATATTCACAGCTGTGTTTTTGAAAAGAAAAAGTAACACATTTCAACAATCTGAACTGAAACTCTGATCCTCTCATGAGACTCCTTTACTTTCTCAGTTAAGCCACTGGCTCAACTTACCCCAGAACTACTATGATGACTTAATTAGTCCTCTAAGCTAAAATGGTGGACTTTTATGCTAGGTTTTTGACCTCATGTTTTCGCTCATAGATACCACAATTGATGTATAAAACAAATTTAAAATGATCTTTTTTGGTCTGAACACAATTCAGACTTAATTCAATTTCAAGAATTTCAAGAAATAAATGTCGAACCCCTCCATCCATGTGCTTCTAACCTTCACAGACTCCATGAATTGATGCCCATCTCCTAAATATTTGGTCACATGATCAATTTCTTTTACCATTTCCAAGCAACAGGAGGTGGCTCAACTTACCCCTCTCTCCCCTATGCATATAGTAAAGCACATGTGTTCTGAAACATTCTGATATTAGCAGTAGCCTGATGCCTCGTTGAGTTTAGAGGTTTGTCCAGGCGGTATTTCTGAAGACTATCACTGTAAAGGTGGTAGAGCAAGGTTTCAGGAGTTTTCATCCCTTTTACTTTTTCCACAGCAAATATGCTCATTGACATTTTGGTGATCATAGCAGGCGAATAATTATTTTGAGATAAGCAAAGAGAGAAGAGGTAACACTGTCTACAGAAGGCACCCAAATCAACCCCAAACTAAAGGTCCCCCTCAACCTGACTGTTTATTGTGCTATTATTAAATATCAATTTAATAAAATAGCCATTTGTTGGAGCAATTGGTATTGGCAGTTTTCTGTTAGAGCACATATTCTATCATTGTGACAGTGATAAAGTTTAGCCACTGATGAATTAAGACCATTTATTTGACCATCTATTATTAAAACAATTTGTATAGCCAATATTTGTCACAAACTAATTTGAATTAATTGAAAAGTTATCAAAAGTTTTTGTTAATGATAAGCTTTGCCATAATTATAGTCTGCTAGTTCTTTTTTTTAATGATAATGAATACAACCATTAAATTTCTTATAGCAAACATTATAATTTATGTTGTAATTCAATAAATTATTTGTTCTTGACCAATACAAATCTTTAAAAAGTGTCTTTGGAGAGAGAATAATGAAGTTGATTATTATAAATGACAACACTCATCATTTCCTAAGACAATTTTGTACTTGATTTTAAATTGAGACATGACAGAATCCAAATCCAATGAAAAAAAAAGCAGCACTTTATCCCTGTGAATCATATAACTGCCTGTGCACATACTGTAATAATAAGAATAGTGGGGCCTTGAGGATGTGATTAGATGAAATCCTTGTATCCCTGGGGAATAAGGTAAAGCAAAAAAAAAAAGGAATATATGTTTGTGTCATATCATGCAAAGCTATTTGTGAGCATTTAAATAGTTGGAATTTATTACTCATCCATACCTTTTAAAAAGATTGCAACAAAGTGAGTAACAGAGCAAAAACACACTGTATCATTCGAACATGAGAAAAGGATTTGGAAGAGAAGACGAATTTTGGATTTTTAACACTGGTTTTAATTTTCAAATTATGGTGTCTGCTTTCCCTGTCTGTTCACGTCCTTCCTTTCCATAAACTAGCACCGAGAGACAATGGAGAAGGATTAGAGGTCTTGAGAGAGACAGAGAGATGAGGAAAAACAAGCTGTTCTCTGTAGAGAGATCTAAAGAGGCTATTGAGCCAGGCTTCCAACAAGCAGTATTTGGCAAATAATTGTTTACTGTTTTTTCTGATTTGAATGCCGCACCATAAATAACCGTGAAACAAGTTCCAAGAAAGCCTCCAGCATCCACTTGAAATGGATGATGATGTTATTTTTGCCAAGGTTTTCTGAGCTGTTCTGAGAAGGATTTGTCTTATGGAAAGACTGCCACTGCTAAGAATTATTATAAGGCTCAAAACCAAAAGAACGACTATATGAAAACAGATTTTACTGAAAAATTAAATATGCCTCAGGATGAGGCTTGTTTCACCCAAATTGATGGAAGTGTGAATCAGATGTTTCCAGGAGGCATTTTACAGTAAAAGCTTGTTGGAGTCGTGGTTGGAATTTGCAAGCTCACATATTTTGCCACCCACATCACAGCAATATCACATCTAACGGTACACAATCAAATGCTATGGAGCCAAATAACACAGCATAGATAAAGTGTCACCTTACCTTTTAAAGTCTATCCTTACATTAAACTCCAGTGAACAATAAAAGACAGCATAATTTTGCTTCGTGCATAACACCAAAAACAATTAAAAGGCTCATTGACTTGCAGTTCATTAGAATACGCAATCAATATAAATACAATATGTGGTTAATGATGGGTACTTTGATTTGTTCTTTGACTCTGAGGTAGTGAAAACAATGTGACAAGCAATAAGAGCTAAATTTGTTTACCCAAATTGTGTTATCTACAGCTCAGAGAAGCCTGAGCGTGGAAGTTGGCAACATAGTGAACATGAAGCTCTCAAAAATGCCAGCCAAGAGTGACGGGGAAAGCTTTGGCAGAGGAGTAGAGTAGACAGAGAACACTTACCTAATGGTTCAGTTTTAACATTGTTTTATTGGCACAGGGTCAGCCATCGGTCTTAAGATGAAATGCCCTTCAGCTCAATTGCTATCTCTAGCCCTCTCTCTCACTCTCTCACTCCCCCCCCCCCCCCCCTTTATCTGTTAAAGTTTTGTTCCCCCTCTAAGCTCTTAATCTGCCCTCCGGATCATCCTCTGGATGTTTTTGACTTTTCCACAACTCTTTCACCCTTCCATAGCTGTGCATCATAAAACATATCAATATTCTTGTTTGAAGGTTGCTTGTGGAAGCCCGTCTCATGAGGTACGATTTGTAAAAAATTGCTGCAAATTAGTTATGCATATTAGACATTAGTTATCCTGCTTTCTAACACAAGACACCTGTGCAGATAATGTTTACTTTCTGTTTGTGTGCATGTGTGTGTGTATCTGCAGGGCACAGAGGGGAAGGACAGCTGTCTGCTCTGATCAGGAGCAGTGACCAGTGAGGTTTGAGTAAGAGAGGAAGACATAAAAGATGAAAAAAGAGTACAAGTGAAGGTCAGAGGTTTTGAGCATTCTCTGAAAATGTCATCCAAGACTTTGTAAAATCAGGATTTTATTAAACTCTCCAGGAATACAAATGTGAACTGAATGCCTGGGATGTTATGCTAAATCATTGATCTCACCATTATTTTCATTAAACACACTAACACACTCTATGCTGAAATAAAAAAGAAATCGCAATTTTGTTGACTGCATTACCTACAGGTAGCTGTGTTGATTCTGATTTCTTACTAAATCTAACACATCTACTTTTGGAAAGCCCAATAATGATGATTTTGTTTAAATAAAATCTTATTTCATACATTAAACCTGTTCTTAATACATTTTTTGGAAAACTTGATATTGTTCAACAGAAGATCGCTGTGACAAATATACTCTTAAAATATTCATGAAAAATCCCATGTGACGTTCTTGTCACAATCAAAACAAAAAGGTAGAAACTGAAGCCCATTAAATAATTTTTAATTAATATATTTTATGAAGGTAAAGTCAAAGAATATTTAAACAAATATGAACAAAAAATCCCATGGAAATTCTTCAAACTAACTAATAAATATGTATTGAAATGAAAATGTGTATGTCAAATGTAAGTCAGCACTAAGAGTGACAATTTGTTTGCAGACAACCTTTTTATTTCAATGTCGCTAGTGCTCAACCTTCTTCAGTGAAAGATGTACTTCATAGGAACACTGGTTGCCAACTTTAGGATGAAAAAAGTTTTGCTGAGAGAGGCAGAGGATCCATTGATGCCAGGGTGGAGAAGGGGGAAAAGGTGGCCATTGTGAAGTAGTAAAATACTAAATCTGTCACCTTCTTCCCATCCTACTGCACAAAGCTTGATGCTAGAGCATATCAGACAAAGCATTTGTGGGGGATACCAGGTCACACATATGAAAAAGGACAAGACATTTATGAAGGGCATGGACCTCCTTGATGCATGCATCCACAAGTGGCAAGTACCACATGAGATCACCGAGGTGGCAAACCATCATGTTAGGCCTGGTCAATGCATGGTTGCTTTACCCCTGCAACTGCAAACTACTCGGTGTCAAAAAGCCACTCAAACAAAGAAGCCTCCAAGCAGAGGTTGCCACAAGCCTGATTCTCCTGCATTCATAAAGGGGGCGCCCATTACCACCCAAGAGAGTCCGTACTGGTATTCCAGATGATGTTTGAACTGACCACGTTATACGCTGGCCAGTGAAATGTGAGAAACAAGGTTATAGCGCACTCTGCAACCTTAATGCTACCACCACTCTAAAATGTGACGTACGTCTTTGCTTCACATAGGAGTAAAATTGCTTCAAAACGTACCATTTGGCATAAGCTAACTCACTAAAAAGCTGTTCATAATAAAAAAAAACTGTTGAGATGTGGTGCTGATTATGCAAAAGAAGTTTTGTTTTCCAGCAGTTCTCTGTTTAATGTACTTAAGTCCATATTTTTGGCAGGTTTTCTGCATGAATCTGTTGTTTATTGTTCAGTTGCTCTCTAATGCAAAAAAAAAAAAAAAAGAAAATGGTTTGAGAAGACCAAATGTGTTTTTTCACTGTTTGGAAAGATATTTTCTCAGTTTAATTGCAAATAAATGCAAATGTTTGTTGCTATACAACCAACATGTATTATTTCATTCATTTTCAAATAAGGAGAAAAAAATGGTAAACACCCAATATGAGATGATGAGATGAGATGAGATTCAATTTATTGTCAATGTACAGTACAAGTACAGTACAGCGAAAAGTGTTTTCGCATCTCACCAGAGTGCGAAGTAAACATGTCAGTGCTAGTGATACATTATTTCATAGGTAAGGTAGTAGTGGGAATTTAATAAATAATTATGTGTATTATAGCGATAAATAAATAAATAAATGCATTCAATACTGTCAGATTGATATTGCACGTAGCCCATATTGCACAGAAGTGCTAGACTAAGGTCCAGTGACCATATTGCACATGTCCACAGGATGAGTTATACAGTCACAAGATACAGCAGGAATGTGGGTGGGTGGGGGGGGTATTACTGGAGGGGGGAGAGGAGTGGATGAGGGGTTTAGGGAGATGACAGTGGAGGGGAAAAAAATGGTCCTGAGTATGCTTGACTTGGAAGCGAGGTTCTGGTATCTTCTCCCAGACGGGAGGAGGCTGAACAGTCCATGCTGTTAAGAAAAAAAGTTTAGAAATGCGTTATTTATAGTCCATTTGGTCTGTTCTGTAATGCACATAATTTTCCAATGAGGGGAAATGGGTGTCAAGAAGTGAACCAGCTCAATGACATGCTGAAAAGAGCGCAGGAGGAGTTGGTCATAGAAAAACTAGGGGGGATGCTGTTGAGTGGAGGTCAAACCCCTAGGCTGAAGGACTCAGACAGCATTGTACAGGCTTCAGTCGATTTATAACTGGAGAGGCTGAAGAACCAGAGGCTGCAGGAAGAACTGGACAAACTCAAAGCTGCTCACTGTGATCTGAATAGAAGGTATCAGGCTGATGTGGTCAGTGTCAAGCAGCAAATGGACAGCCTTCAGCAGGAACTGCAGAAGCAAATGAAGACTAATGGTGACAGTGTTTCACAGGACCAGGCTGCAAAAAGATCCTCAGCAGCTAAAAACAACAGTCTCCTCAAGAGCATGACAGAGGAAATGGACAAACACAAGCAAAATTTGATCCATGCTGAACAGACTGTGGAGAGTCTTCAACAGAAGCTGCAGAAGCAGGAGAGGGCTCATAGTGAAAAAGTGTCCTGGGATCAGGCTGTTAAAAGATTCCTAACAGCTCAAAACAAGGCTCTCCTTCAGAAGATGGCAGAGGAGAGGAAGAAACACCAGCAAAATATGACCCTTCAGCGTAAGCTCAAAAACCAAAGTCAGGCTCCCCTTGGCCAAACATCCCAGGACCAATTAGTCACCAGGTCTGTAAAGGCAGAGCATAACACCATCTGTCAGAAGATGAGACAGGAGATGGAGGTCCTGCAGCACAGTGCAACCCAGAGGGAGCAGATGATGGCAGAGCTGGAGAAGCTAAACAATCAGCTCATCATCCAGAAGAACTCCACTACAGAGCTTCAAGTCACTGATGACCAGAGCCTTGCACAACTAAGAGCTCCAATTCTGGAGGAGAGGAAAAAGACAAACTTCTTCCTACAACAGGGGTCGGCAACCCGCGGCTCTGGAGCCGCATGCGGCTCTTTCTTCCCTAAGCTGCGGCTCCCAGTGGATTTGGAAAATAAATAATAAATACTTAATTGCATTTTATTTTATTTTATTACTTTTTTGTAATTCTAAATTCAAAGATTATAATGCTCTTGTAACATTAAATAAACTATTAAGGCTGCAACAACGAATCGATTAAGTAGATTCGTCGTGACGAAAAAATCAGTTGCCAACAAATTCTGTAATCGATTCGTCGGGTCTTTATATATGTCCATGGACACCGGCGTGTAAACATCAGCAGGACGCACAGAAAAGAAACAGCCATGGCCGAGGCAGCGGCTGAGAAAAACATGGACACAACCCAACCCAAATCCCGACCTAAAACATCAGTGGTGTGGGAAAACTTCACCAAGACTGAAAAGGAAGGCGTTCAGTGCAACATTTGCAAAGACCGTTTTGCATGTCACGGGAGTACATCGATGATGCGTGAGCACAGGGCTCTCAAGTCACACGCATTCAGCGTATGACACACGCATTCCCACTCGTTCACACGCTCACACACCACACATTGTATTTCTCATGCATTTAAATGAACACGGTGATGTCCACCAAGTTGCACTTCTTCAACTATGGAACTGGGGGAAATCAACTGAGTTCCTCCGAGAGTTCAGAAGCTGTGTGCCACGCACAAGCCAATCAAATAGAATATATCTACTGAACAGCCAATCAAAAAGCAGCATTGCTGTATCCGGGTAGATTTTGATATCTTGCGGTTTAACTACAGAAGAAGACAGACACTCGCCGAAATAGTTCATTTATTTCATAAATGCAACTCGCTACAGTTTTTTATATACTTTGTATAAAGGTAAAAAAAAAAAAAAAGATATATGCAATGTTATCTTCATTTTAGATGTCAAAGAGGTTTTGTGGCTCCCTGTGTTTTCTTTTCTGTGGGAAACTGGTCCAAGTGGCTCTTTGAGTGTTTAATGTTGCCGACCCCTGTCCTACAAGAACTAAAAAATTATAAACCAGCTCACAACGAGTTCACTGAGAAGTACAAGTCTGTGGTCCTCTGTGAAAAAGCACTCTGAGTACCTCAGACTTTGGCTTTCCAAGGGTCTAATGTCACCTGGACCAGAGCATCCCAGGCTCAAAGATACAAACAAACAACCAAAAAAAAAAAAAAAAAAAAAAAAAAAAAAAAACACCCTTAACAAAAAAAAAAAAAAAAAAAAAATATAAAAAAAAAAAAAAACACCCTTAACAAAAAAATAAAAAATACAAAAAAAAAAATGTAAAAAAAAAAAAAAAAATGTAAAAAAAAAACCAAAAACACCCTTAACAAAACAAACAAACAAAAAAAAAACCCTTGTGGTTTTCCCTCCCTTGGGAGGGTTTTTACTCCCCTCCTCGAGCTACCACCTTACCGTGGTGGAGGGGTTTGCGTATCCCAATGATCCCAGGAGCTATGTTGTCGGGGGCGTTATGCCTCTGGTAGGGTACCCCATGGCAAACAGTTCCTGGGAGAGGGATCAGACTAAGGGTAGCTCAAATAGATCTCTTATGAAAATAACTGGTACTAAGTTTCACTTGCCCAGAAGAGGGTCACCAGGGCCCTGCCCTGGAGCCAGGCCTACGGATTAGGCTTGATGGCGAGCGCCTGTTGGCGCTTCCCATGGGCTCACTACCCATAGGAGAGGCCAAAGGGGTCCGGTGCAGTGCAAGCCAGGCAGTAGCCGAAGGCGGGGCCCTTGGCATTTAGATCCTCTTGCAGGAAAACCCTACCCACTTACTGGAACTGTTTGTTGTTTAGCAACAAGCATTTGCATTTCTTTGCATTTAAACTGAGAAAATATCTTTCCAAACAGTGAAACAACACATTTGGTCTTCTCAAACCATTTTTTTTTTTTTTTTTTTTGCATTAGAGAGCAACCGAACATTAACCAACAGATTCATGCAGAAAACCTCTTCTCTCAGCAAAACTTTTTTCATCCTAAAGTTGGCAACCAGTGTTCCTATGAAGTAGATCTTTCACTGAAGAAGGTTGAGCACTAGCAACATTGAAATAAAAAGGTTGCCTGCAAACAAATTGTCACTCTTAGTGCTGACTTACATTTGACATACACTTTTTCATTTTAATACATATTTATTAATTAGTTTAAAGAATTTCCAATGGGATTTTTTGTTTATATTTGTATAAATAGTCTTTGAGTTCACCTTCATAAAATATATTGATTAAAAATTATTAAATGGGCTTAGTTTCTACCTTTTTGTTTTGATTGTGACAAATACGTCACATGGGATTTTTCATGAATATTTTAAGAGTGAAAGCCGGATGTGACAAATTTGTCACAGCGATCTTCTCTTTTCTTGAATTATATCAATCCATGTCTATATGCTTCTCTCCCTTTTTCCTGCAAACAGGGTTGAAAAAACATGAATTGAGGATTTGTCATGGAGCATGTAGACATGGATTATAACTGATTTTAATGCAGGACAAATAAGTTGATTGTGATCTCCATTCAGAAATGAATGAGAGTCACAAATAGAAATAGATTAAATTAACAGGAAATTAGATGCCATGAATTCTGTGTTTGAATCACTTGGGGGTATAGCCACAGTGGAATAACATACAGTACATGTCTGATACATATGTGAGTATGCCTGAAGAAGTGAATACATTTTTATTACTATTTCAGGCATACTCACATATGTATAAAAAGCATGTATATTAAGAACACACAATTTGTATTTTTTTCATCTTTTTTGGATTAAAGTGCCATAAAGATACATTTGAATTTGAATCTGGATGTGGGAAAACCTGAGCACCAGAAGGAAACCCTATAAATGATGTCAGGACTTGGGGTCCAACACTGCTGCTGCTGTATGCCTGTGGAGAACTAAGGCCTAAAGTGCTCAGGGTTCCTGTGGGTGGGGACCTGATCCACCTCACTGTTATCCTGGTGATTTAACAGCAGCCTGTTCTGCTCCAGATGTTCTTTGATGAGGTGGGATTGTCTTGTTAAATATCTGCCTAAAGGATCCCCTGTAATAGCCAAAGAGTAAGGGGATCTCTCAGTTCCAGCAGGTGGGTAGGGTTTTCCTGGCTTGCACTGCACCGGACCCCTTTGGCCTCTCCTATGGGTAGTGAGCCCATGGGAAGCGCCAACAGGCGCTCGCCATCAAGCCTAATCCGTAGGCCTGGCTCCAGGGCAGGGCCCTGGTGACCCTCTTCTGGGCAAGTGAAACTTAGTACCAGTTATTTTCATAAGAGATCTATTTGAGCTACCCTTAGTCTGATCCCTCTCCCAGGAACTGTTTGCCATGGGGTACCCTACCAGAGGCATAACGCCCCCGACAACATAGCTCCTGGGATCATTGGGATATGCAAACCCCTCCACCACGGTAAGGTGGTAGCTCGAGGAGGGGAGTAAAAACCCTCCCAAGGGAGGGAAAACCACAAGGGTTTTTTTGTTTGTTTGTTTGTTTTGTTAAGGGTGTTTTTTTTTGTTTTTTTTGTATTTTTTTTTTTGTATTTTTTTTTTTTTTTTTTGTTAAGGGTGTTTTTATTTATTTTTTTATTTATTTATTTATTTTTTTTGTTAAGGGTGTTTTTTTTTTTTTTTTTTTTTTTTTTTTTTGGTTGTTTGTTTATATCTTTGAGCCTGGGATGCTCTGGTCCAGGTGACATTAGACCCTTGGAAAGCCAAAGTCTGAGGTACTCAGAGTGCTTTTTCACAGAGGACCACAGACTTGTACTTCTCAGTGAGCTCGTTGTGAGCTGGTTTATAAATTTTTAGTTCTTGTAGGACAGGGGTCGGCAACCTTAAACACTCAAAGAGCCACTTGGACCAGTTTCCCGCAGAAAAGAAAACACAGGGAGCCACAAAACCTCTTTGACATCTAAAATGAAGATAACATTGCATATATCTTTTTTTTTTTTTTTTACCTTTATACAAAGTATATAAAAAACTGTAGCGAGTTGCATTTATGAAATAAATGAACTATTTCGGCGAGTGTCTGTCTTCTTCTGTAGTTAAACCACAAGATATCAAAATCTACCCGTATACAGCAATGCTGCTTTTTGATTGGCTGTTCAGTAGATATATTCTATTTGATTGGCTTGTGCGTGGCACGCAGCTTCTGAACTCTCGGAGGAACTCAGTTGATTTCCCCCAGTTCCATAGTTGAAGAAGTGCAACTTGGTGGACATCACCGTGTTCATTTAAATGCATGAGAAATACAATGTGTGGTGTGTGAGCGTGTGAACGAGTGGGAATGCGTGTGTCATACGCTGAATGCGTGTGACTTGAGAGCCCTGTGCTCACGCATCATCGATGTACTCCCGTGACATGCAAAACGGTCTTTGCAAATGTTGCACTGAACGCCTTCCTTTTCAGTCTTGGTGAAGTTTTCCCACACCACTGATGTTTTAGGTCGGGATTTGGGTTGGGTTGTGTCCATGTTTTTCTCAGCCGCTGCCTCGGCCATGGCTGTTTCTTTTCTGTGCGTCCTGCTGATGTTTACACGCCGGTGTCCATGGACATATATAAAGACCCGACGAATCGATTACAGAATTTGTTGGCAACTGATTTTTTCGTCACGACGAATCTACTTAATCAATTCGTTGTTGCAGCCTTAATAGTTTATTTAATGTTACAAGAGCATTATAATCTTTGAATTTAGAATTACAAAAAAAGTAATAAAATAAAATAAAATGCAATTAAGTATTTATTATTTATTTTCCAAATCCACTGGGAGCCGCAGCTTAGGGAAGAAAGAGCCGCATGCGGCTCCAGAGCCGCGGGTTGCCGACCCCTGTTGTAGGAAGAAGTTTGTCTTTTTCCTCTCCTCCAGAATTGGAGCTCTTAGTTGTGCAAGGCTCTGGTCATCAGTGACTTGAAGCTCTGTAGTGGAGTTCTTCTGGATGATGAGCTGATTGTTTAGCTTCTCCAGCTCTGCCATCATCTGCTCCCTCTGGGTTGCACTGTGCTGCAGGACCTCCATCTCCTGTCTCATCTTCTGACAGATGGTGTTATGCTCTGCCTTTACAGACCTGGTGACTAATTGGTCCTGGGATGTTTGGCCAAGGGGAGCCTGACTTTGGTTTTTGAGCTTACGCTGAAGGGTCATATTTTGCTGGTGTTTCTTCCTCTCCTCTGCCATCTTCTGAAGGAGAGCCTTGTTTTGAGCTGTTAGGAATCTTTTAACAGCCTGATCCCAGGACACTTTTTCACTATGAGCCCTCTCCTGCTTCTGCAGCTTCTGTTGAAGACTCTCCACAGTCTGTTCAGCATGGATCAAATTTTGCTTGTGTTTGTCCATTTCCTCTGTCATGCTCTTGAGGAGACTGTTGTTTTTAGCTGCTGAGGATCTTTTTGCAGCCTGGTCCTGTGACACTCTGTCACCATTAGTCTTCATTTGCTTCTGCAGTTCCTGCTGAAGGCTGTCCATTTGCTGCTTGACACTGACCACATCAGCCTGATACCTTCTATTCAGATCACAGTGAGCAGCTTTGAGTTTGTCCAGTTCTTCCTGCAGCCTCTGGTTCTTCAGCCTCTCCAGTTGTAAATCAACTGAAGCCTGTACAATGCTGTCTGAGTCCTTCAGCATAGGGGTTTGACCTCCACTCAACAGCATCCCCCCTAGTTTTTCTATGACCAACTCCTCCTGCGCTCTTTTCAGCATGTCATTGAGCTGGTTCACTTCTTGACGGAGTGCATCGGTTTGCATCAAGTTCATGAACTTAGCTTTTTTAACTGCCTCTCGATGTTTCCTCCTCTTCTCCCTCTTCTTTGCTAAATACTCATCGATCTTATTGTTCTGCACAGAGAAGGTCTTTGCGTTGGTCTTGCCTGACTGGAGAACAATCTCCATCTTGTTGTTCTCCAGCTTTTTTCTTTTCAGGGGCCCCTGGGTGGCCGCGGGGTTCCATCTGAACTTCATAATTCTCATTTTGTTTGTCTTTGTTAGCCTTCTGTCCCTCAATGTAAAATCACCTAGAAAAAGATCTAGAATGATCAGAGTGATAGGCAGCTGCTCTCTCTTCTGTCTCTCAGTGTAAAATCACGTTGAGGAAGATCAGCGTCTGTGCAGCTCACCTCTCTTCGAATTAGAAGAAAAACATCAAAGCATGATGACATCATGAGTGATGTCATCATGCCACATTTTTGAACGTAAACATAACGACATCATGTTTGGTGTCCTAATGTTTACATTTGTTTCCATGTTTACATTTAAACCATAGTCACATGGTTCCTTTGCAAGAACAGCACCCACTGGTGACTGGTTGCAGTATAGGCCCTAAACCCTGCCTTCCACAGCAAACTTAGTATAATTTATAACTTTAATTCAAACTAATGCATTTTAACCCACAAGAACCCACACCCATTTCCCCTCATTGGAAAATTATGTGCATTACAGAACAGACCAAATGGACTATAAATAACGCATTTCTAAACTTTTTTTCTTAACAGCAACCCCTTGTGTCAAAGATCTGAAAAATTACAAATTTGTCATATTGGGTGTTTACCGTTTTTTTCTCCTTATTTGAAAATAAATGAAATAATACATGTTTGTTGTTTAGCAACAAACATTTGCATTTATTTGCATTTAAACTGAGAGAATATCTTTACAAACAGACAAAAAATTTGGTCATCTCAAACCTCTTTTTTTTTTTGCATTAGAGAGAAACTGAACAATAAACAACAGATTCATGCAGAAAACCTGCCAAATATATGGATTTAAGTACATTAAACAGAGAACTGCTGGAAAACAAAACTTCTTTTGCATAATCAGCACCACATCTCAACAGTTTTTTTTTTATTATGAACAGCTTTTTAGTGAGTTAGCTTATGCCAAATGGTACGTTTTGAAGCAATTTTACTCCTATGTGAAGCAAAGATGTATGTCACATTTTAGAGTGGTGGTAGCATTAAGGTTGCAGGGTGCGCTACAACCTTGTTTCTCACATTTCACTGGCCACTGGCCAATACCAGTACGGACTCTCTTGGGTGGTAATGGGCGCCCCCTTTATAAATGCAGGAGAATCAGGCTTGTGGCAACCTCTGCTTGGAGGCGTCTTTGTTTGAGTGGCCTTTTGACACCGAGTAGTTTGTAGTTGCAGGGGTAAAGCAACCATGCATTGACCAGGCCTAACATGATGGTTTGCCACCTCGGTGATCTCATGTGGTACTTGCCACCCACAAATGCTTTGTCTGATTTCCTCCAGCATCAAGCTTTGTACAGTAGGATGAGAACCCTAACCCTAACCTTAACCCTAACCACCTTTCACCCCTTCTCCACCCTGGCCTCAATGGATCCTCTGCCTCTCTCAGCAAAACCTTTTTCATCCTAAAGTCGGCAACCAGTGTTCCTATGAAGTACATCTTTCACTGAAGAAGGTTGAGCACTAGCGACATTGAAATAAAAAGGTTGTCTGCAAACAAATTGTCCCTCTTAGTGCTGACTTACATTTGACATACACTTTTTCATTTCAATACATATTTATGAATTAGTTTGAAGAATTTCCAATGGGAATTTTTGTTTATATTTGTTTAAATAGTCTTTGACTTCACCTTCATGAAATATATTGATCAAAAATTATTAAATGGGCTTTGTTTCTACCTTTTTGTTTTGATTGTGACAAATACGTCATATGGGATTTTTCATGAACATTTTAAGAGTGAAAGCCGGATGTGACATATTTGTCAGAGCGAGCTACTCTTTTCTTGAATGAAATAACAAAATCATCATTATTGGGGTTGAAACATTCCTTTGTCACACAAACACAGCTTTCCAAAAGTAGAAGTGTTAGATTTAGTTATCAGAATCAACATAGCTACCTGTAGGTAATGCAGTCAACGAAATTCCTCTGTAAGTTCTCATGTTATCTAGTTTTCAACATGTGGGTGGGAGGGTGTTCTGGGATTGAACCTGCTGGCCAGCTGGGGCTTGTCTTAAGAGTTTACATGTCTTAACGTTTAACCCACCATCCCAAGACATGTGGGTTTGGTTAATTGCTCATTCCGGATTTCCCCAAGGGGATATTTTGAATGGTTGTCTTTATGCGTCATCAACGAATAATTGATGACTTGTCCACTGTGTTTTCAGCGTTTTATCTAATGTAAGGTGCTTCCAGCCCCTTCAAAGGCGGAGCAGATGTTGTCCGTGCTGTTATAGACTGTTACGATCCGTTCTATGGTTTCTTTGGCCTTGCTGACAAAATATGGCTGGAAGTTCTCTTATATTCTTTGGTTTGGTGTGACTTGCTGCATTTCCCCCCAAACTGTTGAATGCTGCATTTCGCTTTGGGAAACAATGAGATGGCCCTGCTGAAAAACTAAATTATTGCCTTTATGAGACACATGTCAAAAGAGGTCACTTGGTACGTTACTCCTGATCTAATTAACCTACTTACTTACTTACGCCTTACACCCCTGTTGGGGTATAGGCCGTCAACAAGGGACCTCCAGAGTACACAGTCACTGGCGTTCTTTTATATCTGTGACCAGGTGCATCCCAGTCTCTTGGTGTCTGCCTGGAGATCTCGCCGCCAGGTGTTTTTAGGCCGGCCTCTGTTTCTCTTCCCCTGAGGGTTCCAGGTCAGAGCTTGCCTGGTGGTGTTTGACTCTGGTTTGCCTAGTGTGTGCCCAATCCATCTCCATCTTCTTCGTCCAATTTCGTCTGCTGCTGGGAGTTGCTGTGTCTTCATCCAGAGATCGTTGTTGCTGATCTTGTTCGGCCAGTAGATTTTCAGGATTCTTCTGAGACATTTGTGAAGGTTTGTAGCTTATGTATTGTGAGCTTACTCGTTCTCCATGTCTCTGCCCCATAGAGCAAGACAGACTTAACGTTGGAGTTAAAGATTCTAATTTTTGTTACTTCCTGTATCTCTTTAGAGCGCCAGATGTTATTGAGGAGTAGAAATTATGTTCTTGCCTTGCCTATCCTAGCTTTCACATCAGTATCCGTACCACCTTGACTGCTGATGATACCCCCCAGGTAGGTGAAGGACTCTACTTAATCTAACATTGTGTCGCCTATATTGATTGGTTGTGTGCTGGTTGTGTTTATCCTCATGCTTTTTGTTTTTCCCTTATGGATGTTAAGCCCTATTTGTGCAGATGTCACAGAAAGTCTATTTGTCTTTTCTTGCATTTGGTAGTGATTATGTGACAGTAGTGCCAGGCCATCTGCAAAGTCTAAATCGTCCAGCTGTGTCCACAGTGTCCACTGGATTCTGTTCTTCCTTTGTTCCGTTGTTTTTCTCATAATCCAATCGATGGCTAATAAAAACAAGAATGGGGATAATAAACATCCCTGTCTGACCCCTGTCTTAATCTGGAACTGCTCTGTGAGCTGTCAGTTGTGTATTACTCTGCAAGACATTCCAGAATAGCTATTCTTAATAATGTTCACCAGCTTGGTGGGTACTCCATGGTGTCTCAAAATTGACAAAGTTCACATAGAGTGGCAAGTTCCACTCTAAAGACTGTTCTATGATGATCCGAAGAGTGGCAACCTGGTCGACACAAGACCGATTTTTCCTGAATCCTGTTTGTTCGTCTCTTAGTTGCTGGTCAACTGCGTCTTTCATCCTGTCCAGGATGACTCTGTTTAGCACTTCCCCTGGCACAGAAAGTAGGGTGATTCCTCTGTAGTTATTGCAATTTCCCAGGTTTCCTTTCTTTGGGAGCTTGTTGATAAGGCCCTCTTTCCAGTCAGATGTTATTTCTTCTTCCTCCCAGATCCTTTTCAGAAGTGGATGCAGCAGATTGACAGTGGTCTCCATATCTGTCTTAAGGGCTTCTGCCAGGATGTTATCTGGCCCTGCTGCTTTCCCACTCTTCAGCTGCTTTATGGCTTTCCTGATCTCCTCTCTGGTAGGTATGTCACAGCTGATGGGGAGGTCGGTCTGTGCAGGTTGGATATCTGTGGGGTTTGCTGGTGGGGGTTCTATTAAGCAGTTCCCCGAAGTGTTCTGCCCATCTACCTAGTTGGCCGTCCTTGGTAATGCCTTTTCCTTCCTTATCCTTGACCGGTCTTTCTGGCCTGCAATATTTGCCTGACAACTTTCTTGTGATGTCGTAGAGCTGCTTCATATTCCCCTTTCTTGCTGCTTCCTTGGCTTCTTCTGCTAGGTTTTCGATGTATTTGCGCTTGTCTGCCTTAATGCATCTCTTTACCGTTCTGTTGACCTTTGTATACTCTTCTTGTGCCTTTGCCTTTGATGCTCTTGTGCGGCTATTTGAAACCGCTGCTTTCTTCTCTTTTCTTGTTTGGATCTTGTGTTGGGTTTCTGCAGATATCCATTCCTTTTGTTGGAATTTCCTGTAGCCGAGCACTTCTTGGCATGTGGATGTTAGTGCGTTTCTGATGTGTTGCCACTGACTGTCAATGCTGCTCTCCTCTTCAAGCAGGTCCTGGAGAACTTCAAATTTGTTGGATAGTTTCAATTTGTATTCTTCTTGTTTTTCTGGCTCCCTCAAAAGGCTCACGTTGTATTTCTGTCTGTTAGCTGTTTTCTCTGTGTTGTTCTTCTTTAATTTGAGTTTCAGTTTAGCAGTTAGCAAGTGATGGTCCGATGCTACATCTCCTCCCCTTTTAACTCTCACGTCCTGTAGTGATCTTCTGAACCTCTTGCTTATGCAGATGTGGTCTATTTGGTTCTCTGTTGTGTGGTCGGGTGATACCCATGTTGCTTTGTGTATCCTCTTATGGGGGAAGATGCTGCCTCCAATAACAAGCTTAAGTGCGCAGATATCCATGAACCTCTCTCCATTTTCACTTGTTTCTCCAAGTCCATGTGTTCCCATCACCTCTTTGTATCCGATGTTTACTTCTCCTACTTTTGCATTAAAGTCACCCATAAGGATGGCGATGTCCTTCTCTGGATATTTGGCCAAGATGTTCTGAAAACTGTCGTAGATCTCCTCCTGTTCTTCTTCTTCACTGTTGTTTGTTGGAGCATAGCATTGAATAACATTCCTCTTTATCTTTCCCTGTGTTGTTCTGAATGATGCTGTGATGATCCTTGGTCCATGGGCCTCCCATTCTATCAGCGCTCTCTGTGCAGCTCTTGATAGCATGAGAGCTACCCCTTCTGTGTGTGGGGCATCATCCTCTTCATGGCCTGAGTAAAGCAGCAGCTCTCCACTCATTAGTCTTTTCTGGCCCGATTGCGTCCATCTTGCCTCGCTGATCCCCAGAAGTACAAGATTGTAGTTTTTCATCTCTTGTGCTATTTGAGAGGTTTTCCCTGCTTGGTACATTGTTCTCACGTTCCATGTTCTGATGGTAATGTTCTTCCTGGTAGAGAGAAGGATGGTCGGTCGAGCGGCTTCCAGGGGCTCCTGGCTTTCACCACACAACGTCATGTTTCTTAAAATTGAAGAGCTCCGCTCTCCCAGGCCTGTGTCCTCTGTTTGTTTTCTTGTCTGCGTTTCTGGAACTGAAATGTTTTACGGGGTGGGGTTGTTAGCCCCACGCCCAACCCCAAACCTGGAGGACCAGGTGCTGCTTTTCGTCCAACCTCTCATCTAAAACCTGCCCGGCATGGTTGCACCTACTGGGGGTATGAACCCCCTCCGGTATAGCCTTCAGAATCACGGAGGCACGCAAGCCTCCCCACCACGACAAGGTAGCAGCACAGGGGGAAGATCTAATTAACCATAGACTGTAAATTGACGTTGAAAAAAATCGTTTTGACCAATCAGAATTTTGGTTGACACAGCATGTATTGACCAGTAAGCCAACCAGCTGACTAGGACTTTACAGCCCTACACACCTGTAACGCCTTTTTATGACTGAGACTCTTTGTGTAAGATTGCAATGTAACTATTTTAAGCTACTTAGTAAGAATGGATGTCTTATCATGATATGTCCAAAATGCACATGCATCACTGTTTATGACTATAGGATAGAAAGCTCTTAATTTCTCACTTGGTTTTGGGCATATTGCAAATTTAGAGTGTTCCCTCTTTCCATACTCAGCTCTTTTCAAGAGATTTAGGGCTGGGAACAAGAACACTTAACACAATGTTGGTTTGGTACACTTGATTAAAGAGTCTGTGTAATCACAGTGTATATTTGGTTGAAGTGTGGAAGGTATCACACCCTCTGTGATTTTTTTCCACAGACAAATATATGTTGATGAAAAGAGGGGATTTTGTCTATTCTTGCCTCTCTGAAGAGCTACAGTTGGGATGGTAGGCTAATTGTGAATGTGGTTACAGTGTCAAAATCCTCTTTAAATCACAATGCTAACTGTATGTATGACCAAATTTAGCATGAAAGCTGACTATCTTGTCACAGCTTAATGTTCCACATTATTCACGTTATTCTCTCAACCTGTGTAAGACCATAATAAGTTTCCAAATCTCTTTATGGGCCCCTCGTTTATTCCCTAGAAATGTAGAATCGATATCCAGCTTCAGGGCTGCAGCCTTCCATCAATAAGTCATTTAATCAATAATCCCTTGAGGGTAGTGCCTCATGTCTGTTTTGGTACAGAAATTGTAAACGGACAGAATGAGTGAGTGAGAGTCAGTTGGTTATCTGTCTCAAACAATTGAATTATTACTCATTGAATTTGTGTATATATGCAGTAAAACAGCATCAATTTTGACCACAGATTTATCTCACTTTATCTAGGCAAGACAGATAGACCCCACATTAATTTCTTGTTCTTTTTTGCTGCCATTTAAGACAGTATGTCTTGGTAAACATCTCTCAGGTGTTGTTAGTTAACTCTTAGCTGTGGCTTATAAGTAAAGCATCAAAAGTGAGGAGATACGACACAGGGCAGAACACACAAAACAGGTGAAACGTCCCTGCAATGGTGCATATTCCTCAGCACTGCCCAACCTTTGCCTACTGCTCTATCCCCCATATATCCAAACCCTTGCTCTTATCTACCTCTTACACACACACTCTGTAACCACGGTAACTGTCTTTCACCACCAGACGTAGGGCAGTGATGTGCAACAGGCAGTTTCCTGCGGGGGTTTTACAGTCTGCTTTTTGCTCAGAGATGCAGAAATAGGGAGTCAGGGGACAGAGCTAATAACCTTGTTCAGGATCAAACATGCAGCACAGCTTATATGATAACTTTGAATTCTCACTGCACAGTCCAATGTGTGGAAGCAATTAAGCTGGGGGCTTGTATTCCTGCGGAAAATTGAAATGTATCTTACATCAATAGTCCTTTTATTCATTGGCTACACTTGGAAACAATTTCAGGCTGTATGGACCGGTTCCTTTGTTCATTTGTTTTTGAACATTTACCACAGCAAGCAACAGTGAGATGCTTTCAAGGATGGATTTTCTACCTTTGATTTTATATATGATGGATTCAAAAGCAAGACCTTAAATAAACAATTAACTACTAGAGCGTATCATGCACAGCTCTAGACGAAATACAGTCAAATATCCTTTTTATACCAGCACAGATTATAATAATATCATTTTATAGTGAGACTCGTAAAAAGCCGTTTTCATGATTTCACAGCCAACTCAAAACATTGCAGAGCTGTGTCTCTGAGAATAGCTGTGGGATTGCACCAGTGTTCAGTTCTCCTGTCCTCAGCGGAAGAGCTCTGTTGGCTGCAGATAGGAGAGTAAACTCAATCTGCAAGCTTTGAAAGGTGATTTGTGTAAAGACTGTGGCTTTTATCTGAGGAAGTGGCCATCCTTGAACTTTCTGCTGGATCTCTGCCCAAAAGAGAGATTTTGGTAATGGACTGTGAGAACAGGGCATGTAATAGGAAGGAATTCTTGTTGAGAAATCTTGGGTGTGAATACACAGAACAACAGTGTGAATGGAAATATCTGGTGGCATAAATGAGCTGTTGCAGTCAGGCAATGTCTCTGTTACAGGATAAGACATATTTCTGGACCTGGTGTCAAAGTTTGGCAGGTTTTTATGTGCATAATGATGTACTATGTGGCTCCAGACTGTCAAAAATAGAACAGGTGCTTGTTCTGCAAACAGGCAGACTTTGCAAAGCACTGTGAATTCTGACACTAAAGATGTGGAGTGCTGTTGAGTTGCTAATAAGCCTGCTTTTACTGTCCAGTTCATGGCAAGAACGAAATACTGAAACAAAAATAATAGGGAAAAAGTAAAAGAAACTGTGTTTTCCAGCCAAGAAGATGTTTCTTTACTTGTACAAGCACTCAAAATGTTACTTGATGTTAAATGATGAACAGATTTAACTCAGCATGTCATGTGGAGGTGTTTCCCTGTAAACAGTCAGATATGTCTGGACTTGTCTGGAGTTCACAAAGATCTTCTGTTTCCTTAAGTCGCCCTTCCCTTGTCTGGATATTATTAAGATCTCTGGGATGAAGATTTATGCTGTCTGCTCTCAGAGGGAGTGAAAAAAAATATGAGTCAAGCACAATGAGAGTCTCTGTCTGAGGTTATGTCTTGCCTTTACTCACGACAAGCTAATTTTTCTGCTACATCTGGGCTTCGTCAAAGGCAAACAAGTGTGTACATGCAACTGAATCACACTCTGCAGAGTAGATGCCCAACACCTTCACCTCTAGGTTACCAACTTCTAAACGTATGCAACGGAAGGAGAGCTCGTCTGAATAAAAAAGGCCGCAAAATGAAAGTAAAAATTATAGCTAGCTTGCAAGAACTCGAACATACATAAGCGTTCTCACGATGCCGAGATAAACGGCCTCTTTCAGCAGACATGCATGCTTGGTCACAGCTGGACTATCTGAAGTGACATCATAGAATAGCACACTATTGGCACTATAAAACAATGATATCAGTGTTTTCCTCTGTGGTCCCTCTCAGCAGGCCTCTAAACGTGGGCGCTGGGTCACAATGCTCCTCTGTGCCCCCTGACGTATGGCATCCTGGCTTCGATGTGGCCCTGGAAAATTCTTCGTGCCAAAAGCCTTCCAATCCTCCCAATCCCCCGCTGGCATCCTCCAGAGCTCACGCACGATTGTCTAAGGACTCAGCTTACACAGCACCAATAAAGAGTGACAGCTCCAAGGTGAGCGTGTTCAGAAAGATTCACCCGACCTCAGTGAAAAAAGAAAGAGACACCTCTGAAAAGTTAGAAGTTTGCCTGTTCCAACTAGGCAAGAGATACTGCATTTGACTGCCAAACTGGATCAGGCTCTCAGTGTGCAGATGATGATTTAACAGTTTCCACACACTTCTGTTTGGAAAAGAAATAGAGAAGAGGACTTTTTCTACAGAAATCTGACAGCCGCTCTTTAAAGCAAAGCCTTTTTACATCACAAACCTCTTGTTATCTTTTCATTTTGAGCCTGACCGGCTAAGTCACTCCATTTGTGTCGCCCCTCTGATCAGAGTCTGGCATTGATCTCAAGCTAACGGCGAGTCTGTCGTGCAAAAAGCGGTAACATAAACCTTATTTCTTCCCATGACAGAGTAGAAATTGGGGAAAGGGAAGGGAATGAGACAATTGCTGAGGTAATTACAGATTTAAAGGCAGAAGATTCTAACAATGCTCTCTCAAACTACTGCGCCTGAGGTGTTGTGTAAGAGCGGCTGATGTGACTGACGGAGTGGAAAGAAAGACGACAGAAAGGCAAAGAAGAAGAGTGAGAAAAAAGGAAGGGTGGGTTAGAAGCAGAGAACAGTTTGGGGCAAAAAGGTGGAGTAACAAGAAGAGGGAAGAGAGAAAAAAGTGTGAGTGAAAGGATGGAGATTGAATTTCGTCCTCTCAGGCGAGCACCGCCTGCAAGCAAACAAAGGATGAAAAGATGACCTGCTGCTGTTCTCTGAGTGACAGTTGGACACTTCCCCGTCTTCCTCCCTCTAACTCCCTCTCTGCCTGCCAGTCTTTCCTTGTCATTGTCCATCGTTTCTTTTTAAAACAATTAATGGACTGCCAGAGGGCAGACATAGCGCAGAGTCAGCAAACAAATGTGGGAGACTACCTGTCACAGAGCGTGCAGGCAGCTGAGGGAGAGAGGGGAGAGGGACGGGAAAGAAAGAGCTCAGGGAAGCAGAAAGAATAGATGAATCATTTCGGAAATGGAAATCTAATGGCAGTTAAGCTGCTTATTAATTTGGCTGACATTGGGACTCTGTGTGACTGTGTGTATGTGTGCCCACATGTGCCTTACTGCCATCTATTTTCCCCCTGTCTTTCAGGGAACACAACTGTAGTCACAGCAAAAGCAGATTATGAGATTAAGTAAAGTGCTTCTGGGAAATAAATAAAAAAAACTGGTAGATGAATGAAAAGAGAAAGAACAATGAGGCTTGAAAGGAATCACTTTCAATTGAACTTTTGTGTGAGGAGGGTGGTTGTAAAAGGAGATCTGGCACTGTTTTCCAATCACGCAGTCCTTTATTGTTTTGTAATTTTCTACAGTATATGGCATCTTGTTAGATAGAGGGCTGCAGAGAGGTCACTGTCGCTTTGTAATGGCTTCACCATGAGCAAGGAAATAAATCGCTAAATCAGTAGGATTGATAATGGCTCTGGTTGGGGAATAACCTGCGGAGAATCACAATGACTCTGCTTTTATCTGCTGTGCTTACAGCACTGCCCGTCCCACTTAAGATTGCCTCACTAGTACAGGATTTAATCCCACAGGATTAAATTGTTTTTACATGTGTAGCATCACAGCGGAGGAATTTGTAAACCATGGTAAATATGAAATCAGAGCTTTGATGTTAACTACTGCAGGGCCATTTTTTCTTCTTCCTTTTCTTTACTTCCTTTGTTTTTATCTCCTCCTCCCTCCCAGGATCCCGCTGTGTGTTTAGAAACAGGATCTTATAGTCTAAATTGAAAATGGGACTGCTCCACAACACTCAACACATGGCAGCAGATGTGTAGCAGTGTGTTGTGGGGTGGGGGTAAGAGAAAAAGTAGACAGAAGGAGGGGGATGAGAAAAAGAGAGAGGACAGGGAATAGTTGGAGAAGGAATATGACAAACGGAAAAGAAGAGACAGAGAGAGAAAGAAAGATGGCGGTAAGGAGTGAAGGCGAGGGGGAAAGATGAGCGACTGAGAGCAGGGGAGGGAAGAGGTATGGTGAGGAGTTTAGAGGCTCTCAAACACTTTACACTCCCAGAACAGCAGATGCCACATTCTGTCTGGCACAGTGATCTGTGGGCCTGCTCTATTTATACCCTCACTGTGTCACTTCAGGGCCAGTACAACACTCGCAGCGCGTGCACACACAGACACATCAAGCATCAGGCTTTTGCAGCTCTCCTGCAATGACTGAAATGAGACAGGTTAGAGGGGCTCCCTGTGAGGGGCAGTGATGGAAAACAACACGAGGGCCTTCACACAGAGAGAGAGGGAGAACAGGAGCGGGATATGTCTGAATGGATATTGTGTGTCTGTAGACGTGTTGAAAGTTAAATTTCAGAGTTTAGAGACAAAAACAGAGATAAAATAGATGCAGATTTTGCTTTTCATTCGTGCTTGGCTGGTTTCAGCTGGCAGAATGGTCCATGAGAAAAAGGAGGGTGAACAAACAGTGGTCTGATTAAGCAGCGGGAGGACCAGAGCCATTTGGAATCGCCCTGGTTACTCAGACTAACAGCCACAAATTACATCGGCTTTCCACTCTCACAATGACTTAGGCTGGGCAACTTGAACAGGAAAGTCTGAGTGAGTGTTAAAATGAGCAAAAGAAGGGTGGAGGGACGAAGAAAAGAAATAAAAAGGGACAATTTGGATGTTAAAGGCTGCAGAAGAATTACAGTCTCATGCTGTCTTTTCTTAAAAGTGGAGTTTAAGTGCTACAATATATGAATTGGTTCAGTATGCATAGTTTTCTTCTCATTTCGTCTTCATACTTACATTTGAGAGTTAGAAAAGTTTGACAACAGCACAGCCTTAATATAAGACGCAGCCCGCTGTGGACAAAAGCAGGGCGGCTCCACTCATGCTTTATGTGTAATCTTATCTGTGAAGCAATGTTGCATTGTTAAGAGGCAACAATCCTGCATGTTAAATTGGCTGTGTTTGTAATCAATCAGCCCAAATGTTACAGAAGCAAAACAAGGTTCATTACACATCCGGCTCAGAGCAACGACACTACTCCACACATCCATCAAGTTAACACCCCAGCACTTGGCCCCCCCAACGCAATCTGAATCTGGCTGGTTGGAAACAGAGGCTGCAAGTACAACACACCCGTGCATATACAAATAACAATAAATGCACACACGTGCACATTTGTCTGTGACCTATGATGTTGTATGCAAAGTCACACAAATATATTCTAATAGCTGAGAAAGAAGGTGGCTTTTAAGAACGAGGAATATTTTATGCAGGTGCCGTAAAGATGCCTGAAGGCAATCTTTAAAGGGTCACCTTTGATATGAAAAACAAAGGGATAAATCATGTGTGCAATAGCTCTGTGTGTCAGTCAATGTAGGCAAGTAGAGGAGGGAAACTGAAAGATGGAAACCAACACCTATATCTGGTCTACCATGCATAAAAAAAGATTAAATGGAAGCTTCAATGTGTGTGTGTGTGTGTGTGTGTGAGAGTGAGTTTGTGTGTGCCTCTGTGTAAACCTGAGAGGAAGCACTCCAGCTGTAAGAGGCACAGAGGGGAAGAGGGAGCTGTGTGTGTGTGTGTGTGTGTATGTGCACCAGTGAGCAAAGGAAAGAACAACAACAGCAGACTCATCCTCTTTGAAGAGGACCCCATCACCCCCCTCCACCTCCCCTTCCCACCACCTACACCGGCTATTGGCAAGCCATAAATCCAGGGTCTCATCTGCCGATCTTTCTCTGAAGTTCAGGAATGCCCACATGGGATTTGAGGCCCGGTGAGTTATGGCAACACCTGGGAGAGAGGGAGGGGCAGACACAGAGAGAGGGCACCTATGAAGGGCGACATGTTGACAGCCAACAAAGCTGCGGGATTAGTCATGGTGGTCAGCTATCTTTGGTGTGGGTAATATGCCTTTGAATTGCAGAATAAGCGTGGAATACAAGCTTGCAGACAGCATGCCAGCATACGTTTTGTCTTCAGCAGATGGGATCATGTAATACAGTCCAGCGGCAACTTCAGACAGAGGGAAAAGGGAGAGAATTCGGGGATGGCAGAG